ATCAGGTCACAAAAATGAGCAGATCAACCTTACACATATACCTCTATACTTCATGTAACTCTCACAAATTTAAGCTGCCATTTGGGGGGGTGGAGGACCCAGCTTTGGATGCCACGACGTTCAGCCTACATCATTCTTGATGCATTTTTGTTGATTCAAGCATTAGTATATATTCTGATTCATAAGGAAAGCTTCCTTGAAGAGAAAACCACTTGGCCTTGACGAAATATAAAGACCTAAGGTAAATTTTCCTAGATTTAATATGTTATGCACATGTACAGCAAATCAAGGTAGTGGTAACCTTTGAATAGATAGAATTAAGATTTTGATTTAATTTTTCAATTCAATGGGCGTCTCTCTCTTTATTTCCATCATGCATCATTGAATTTCCCTTTCCCCACACCTAAATTGTGTAATATCTCTCTTATTCTTCCTCTATTCATCATCATTTCCCTTCTCTCCATTATATTTCAATTAAAAAGGATAGTGGCTACATAGTCACTTATTTCTCATTCCTTGTGGATCAACTTGGACTTACGCTAACTAGATTTTAGTTAGTTTCAATCTAGATATTAAATTCTTTGATAGATAGGATCCTTGAGTTTTTACAAAATTCAAGAAGAAAATCTAAAACTATCAAAAGTCATGGTCATATCATCCTATAAAAGTCAAAAAACTACTTATGGGATGCTGCTGCCCCTTGTTGTGATGCCGCCAAGCCATAGAACCACTCACATCACATCTAGGTTGCCGAAGATTGCCCACTTGCACACTTGTATAGCTCTTGTGGCAATATCATGTGATCCTTCATCATTGTAGTGGATGTCTCTAGTGGGCCCATGAACCAGCCATTTGGTATGTGCACAAGCGTGACCACTCCAAAACATCGTATTAAGAAGCATCAAAAATAAAATCATAATGTCTTGATATCTGATGGTACTAATGAACATTTTTTAAGGAGCATACAAGTCGAAATACGCAAAATTATCTAAATTAAAGAGAGATTTAACTTCTAATCATAATTGATTTTTTTATGAAGAATGAGATGAAGAGATAGAAGAGAGTTGACTTAAGCACACAAAGGAGGGGAATAGATGAATCTTCTTTTGATGATTTTTCAATCACCAAGAGAAGGAAAATTAAGTGAGAAACAAATGGTGAAATGTGAGATGATTGTGAATTTCTCAACCCCTGAGTAAATAAAAATTTGAATCTTCCTTGATCTTCCTATGTCACTTAGGAGATCAATAGAAAGACTAAAGAAACTAATCTACTCCTAAACTACTTCATAATCACTCTTTATCCATCTCTACTTCCAATTAATACTCAACTTTGATGAATCAAAAAAGCAAAATAACATGAAAGAATAAGGATATAAAGTGTCATAAATCTGTCATACCTTGCTCACTCTTAAAAATGTGATCAATCTTAATAAATTTAGAAATCCAAATACATCATAGAAAGTAAGATAAGGATAGAAGGGTTGGATTTTATCATATGATCAACCTAGTGTCGCTCTAGAGATCAAAGAAATCGAATCCCTACCTACTCTTCAATTGGATCAACTCTTTTTGACCAAAAGGGTTTCAAGAATAAGATAATATAATAAGAAAATAAAACTTATTCATTCAAAATGAAATATAATACATAATAAAAGAACTAAATATATGAAAGATGCCTTCTATGTGTTATTTGGAGCGCTCAAATGAATCTCTCCTTGGAGTTCCTAAATTAGCTCAAAGATTGAAGTTCATGGAAATCTCCTCTTCTCCCTCTTGGTTGCCCTTCTCCTATGAACGGAATTTATTTCTCTCTCCTCTAGATGGCTTTTTATTCTCCCCTTGGTTGTACCCATTCTCAGCCCTTAGATCATGGAGAAGAGTGCGCAGCCCTTATATTAGATTTCTCTCTCCAAATGCAACCCAAAGAAGTTGGGCAGTGCCTTGGGTGTCCTCTCACCTTCCCTCACCCTTAAACTTATATTAGCCCTTTGATTGGGCTGATTGAGGGGCTGAGATAGTCCCAAGGGTTGTCTCATGAGGGAGAAGGGCATTGCTGATCAGATGGTCCCACATAACCCTCCCACTAATTAAGGAAGAAATGAACTGCCCTCCTTAAGTAGGCGATCCCTTAATTTGAGGGGAGGGAAAACATCTCCTTCTTATTGGGCCTCCTTAATTAATGTTGGCTATGAAGCTAGCCCATGGTCCTGATATGACTTGAAACATAATATTAAAATAAAACCCATTACCCCTTTAAAAAGTAAATATAATAAATTAGGCAGAAGGGAGAGATCAACATGGTAAATATGGACTCATTTGTACATTAGTTGACTTAGGGCTTAGAGATGCATAATAAACCATAAAAATCATATGCATCATGTTTATAATTTAAATATACATGAGTCAAAGCACTGATATTAATTCAAATTTATTATAAAATTCTAAAAATAAAAAACCTTTAAAATATTCATTTAAACTTCAATAAATCTTAGAATACTCAAAAAAGTTGGGAAAATATCTAAAAATAAGAAAAATACTTTGATCACATTAAATAACTATAAAATATTTAAATAATAATTAATACCTCAAATAAAATTTTATTTATAATTATTATTCAAGTAAAGCTTATGAATAATTAAATACATGCTATAAAAAATATAAAAATTTACAAAATTAGACATGTATTTAGAATATTGATCATATATTATGCTTCACCTATTTTATGTATAATTAAATGTCATTTTTTATCAAGTTAAATACTAATTGTCTAAATTATGCCATACTTAACATGCAGAATTTACATGTTATCAAAGCCTCTCAGTAGAGCCAAAACACAAAGCAGTATTCCACCCCAACATCATAGCTAATGGTGGTGAGGACCCTATACAATTAGATAGCCATTTGGTATCATGACATGTGCATCGAGATCACCTCATACTTCCACCTCACCTTGTGCATACACCGGCACCAAATCCTTCATTAAGTTCACCTCATTACGTGTATTTGCCCACCCTCTTCTCGTATCTTCATGTTAGTATAGGTAATTGCTTCAAAAGTTACTTGTAATCTTTTATTTATTCCTTTAATTTCTTTTTCTTATCTTTGAGTTCTTGCAATTGAGCACCAAGAGACAAAAAAAATTAAGTTAATTCTTACTTGAACAAATTAATTTTCATCTAAAATCTCATCATTACACCCTGCCCCAAGAGCTACAGACTGTAGTTGTTCATAATAGAGGCCCAAAGTCAGAGAACAGTAACCAAATTTTAATGAGAAAAATTAACGAAATGTACTCACTATAATATTCTATATTTTTTTCAATAAGAGTGAAATGGAGTAGTGACTTCCCCAACAAACCAAGCTGAGTCATCCCCCCAAGGAGCCCCTCTCCAATTCTAGAAACCTACCAGCCGCCGTCAACTCCTCTAGTAGCAATGAGGAGGAATGTGTATTATTTAATTTAATATGTATTTGCATGTTTTTGAAGTGGTATGATGTAAATTCATGATTGTATTTGTATCTTTGATGATTTGTATCATATGTATCTACTTTGATTTTATATATTTTCATTTATTTTAGTTATTATTATTTGATTATATCATGTGAGAGGACATGCACGACGTGATCAAACATAGTTTTTTTAAAAAATAATTTATTTTATCATTTTAAATCTCATTAATATAGACTATTATAATATTTCATCATGAGTAGGAAAAATTGTCAGTGAATTTTTCTATTCTTCCTCTTTTGTGTCTCCATTCTCACTAGTCTTCTAGAACTCCATAGGTCAGCACAAGTCCAAGGTAGTCTGGAGGCAATCTAGACTGAAGCTGTAGCTGAACAAACATCTATTCTCACTAGTAGAGAAAAAGAAGTTTAATCATAGTAACTTGGGCGACCAACGTGATCTTCTTCTATGTTCCCTCTCTAACACTTAGTTGTCTAATTTACAACGAGTGCTGAGAACAAATTAAAAATAATCTTTTGTTCATCTTCTCTATGGAGACTACTTAATTCCACTAAGTTTATTGTTTGAAATATCTTTATAATTCAATTTATAAATTATTAAATTTTGATCGTGTTGGATTACCTTATAACACAATGGTTAAGAAACATTAGTTCTTCCTCCAATTGATAATTTTTTGTCTCTAGAAAATTCTCCTTGATTTAACTTTTAGTATTTCATCAACTCCTCTACTAACCTATCATCTCTTCCATCTTTTTGTTGGCATGTTCCATGTTTGCTTTCATTACTAACTGCAAGGGGTTATGCATCTCCTCAACCTCCTCTTCCAGGAGTTTTAACATGTCATTGGACCTTGGCACCATTACATGTAATACTGCAATACCAGACTGATAAACCCTCAATCTAGAACAACTAACGGACAGTCAAATATAGTAATAAAAAGGAAATATGTACTAAAAATAGAACATTAACAAAATAAAAAGCTAATTGGGTTCCGAAGAACCCTAGAATTCGAGTGGTTCAACAAGACTCCTGCTCTCTCCACAGCCACAGATTGCCCCAAAACACTAATCATCTCCTAATCCCAACCCTAATACTCGATCTCTTTACTGGGCAAAAGACCGAGCTATCACTTACTGAGGGCTCATCGTGTTCCCGGGAGGAGTTGTCAGGTCCTTTGCCACAAGAGTTATTAGCCCCAATTGGCATCTGATATTCCATTTCGAATGTGTAAAGCCCAGTGGGGGCCTAATAGGTACAACCTGTAAAATCAATGCAACCCGTACAGTAGCACAAACTGTACAATTGGGCCCAAGTCAGACTAGAAAAAGTGTCCATAGTCTTTGTTGTTACATTTTAAACCGCAGGCACGAATTCACGCACTAGGGAACACCTTTTAAGTACCCATCAACATTGTTGCCTCAAATCAAATGATGTGTATACAGATAAACAGTCGGTGGTTTTTCGGTATAGTAACTGTGGTATGTGCGAGAACGTGGCACTAACTTCTGCTTCCTTACAGGTAAATATTCTTATGTTCGTAGGCCAAACCGCCGTTGCCTTTGCTGAAATGAAGAGAGAGCATCAACATACTCGGCCTCCCCAAAATCAGGCCACAGTGACTTGGAAAAGTAGAGTTCGGAGTAGGCAGATTGCCACAGAAGGAAGTTGCTCAATCTCAGCTCACCGCTTGTCCGGATAAGAAGATCTGGGTAAGGAGAGTTGATTATACAATTTGTCACAAGTTCTTCCTCAATCACTGCCTCCGTGATGTCAGCAGGCTCGAGCGTACCATCCTTCACTCGCTGTGCAATCTTTTGACATGCTTGTACAATGTCACTGCGCCCACTATAACTAACAGCCACTAGCAATTCTATCACTGCATTCTCCCTTGTAACCTCTGCAGCTTCCATCGCCAGCTTCTGTAGGGATGGTGGGAGTTTTGTGGCATCGCCAATGATGCACAATCGAATTCCTTGCCTGTTGAAGAGAAGAAAACAACAATATAAGGAAAACAAGCCACAAGTGAAGACACTATTCAAAGACAAGATTGCCTAGCCATTCCACAAGTGGGTTGAAGGACATGGAAACCTCTACATCACCGTCTTCAGTGGACATCTTCGGCCCTACTACCGTAAACTACAGCCGCAGGAAGGTCCCTCTGTTTCTGCCCTAGTCATTGACAGTGATGCATCTGAAGGATATAACAACATATATCCGTACGATCTTGTGTCGCGAGGTTGACACCTTGTCATATCGGCCATCCAAAACAGACAAAACATGTAGTCCTTTGAGGAGAGTTGGTGTTACTTGGGTCGGATCAGGCGACTCCCAAGACTGCCACAGCCCCGAGAACATGACTGGTATACCCCCTAGATCCCCAACGATGCGGTTGTCAGCCCCCAACAGGTCTGAGTGCCTAGCTCCCACGAAATAGTCGTCGTATGTAAAATGTATTTTAAAATGTTTGTATGTCATGCGTCTGGGAGTTTACATGTCAACAATTGGGTCTGCATCCTGGAGTGAATCCTAATCATCATGATTTTCACTAAAAAAATGAAACCGAGGTGATCTCCACGTTATATCTCGCATAGGTTGTATGGAGTAGAAGAGAATCCTGCTAGAATATCATCCTAACTGTAATTTCCAAAACAATTCCAAGATAATATTTCATTTGTATAAGTGATACAAACTTCAGAGAAAAAAACAGAAGAAACCTAGACAGGATAGTTACAATGACAGAATTGGCTGGATTTCTTTCCTAGATAATGATATTCCTATAAAGGGTATAAGTTCAGCTTTTCCAATGTATCCGGGGTGTAATTTAGTTCAATGAAATCTCCTAAATACTTCTAACTATTTCTAGAATACGCATGATCAACCAATTAATCCACAGCTGAAACTTGTAAGGGTCTACTGTTATAGGAGAAGCATCTCTATTTCGGCACATATCATGAGATATAGTCCTAGCTGCAAAGCGACTTGAGGAAAAGCAAAGAAAGACAATAACCGCAGTAAAAAAAAAAATACTTCCATCAAAAATCCCTCAAATAAATGGGAGGGGCACCCTTAAAGAAGAGGAGTTATAGAGGAAAGTTAAAAACCGTATCGATCTTGACAGCCATGACACACAGCTGTGGAACGGAAAATTCAAGAGAAACCTCATCCGAGCTAGGAAAAGTAAAGGTCAGGAGCAGATAATGTGTCCAGCGAAACACAGGCTAAAATTCGAAGAAGATCAGTTAAAGTTATTGATCACCACGGAACTGACATGGGACGGAAAGAAATTTCTAAAATGGCTTTATAACTTTCGAGATTGTAAGCGAAGATGAATAACGATTGCCTTTCTTTCAGCCATGGCATTCCATTAGTTTCTGCAAATTGAATAGACAAACACAAGTTTGGTTGCCACATGCTTTTAGGTGTCTTCGTTCGTTTAGTATGGAGACTTGAGTACCTCTCTCAAGACCACAGAAGAAGAACTCAGACGATCGTTAATTTACAGTGGTGATTTATATGTTCGACAAAGTGCTATAGACTGCTGTGGGCGTACCTCTTAAAATCCTCCAAGTTCTCTCGGATGACCCCTTCAAACAACCTCATCAGGAAATCCACTTCGGTCTGAAATCATAGCAAAGAGCAACTCAATGGAACTGGTTTGATGATTACTGAGGGATGGGTAGAGAATGGGCCTCACCTTTGGCCGGAGCCAGTTCTCAGAGGAGAAGGCAAAGACAGTAAGGACCTTAATACCCCAGTAGCTAGACAATCGGACAATCTCCCTTAGGCTCCGATACCCAGCCTCGTGTCCGGCCGATGTGGGCAGCCCCCGCTCCTTCGCCCACCTGGAGTTGCCATCCATGATGAACGCCACGTGCCGCGGCATCAGTTCTGGAGTAAGGCCCGGGGGAAATGGCACCAGCGCCGCCTCCGGGGGTTCCATCAGTCTCCTCTTATATGCTTCTTCTCTGGCTCCGACAAATGATGACCCTGCAGAGGAGGCTGCCGCAGAAGGGGGGACGCGGCAGCCGGAGAGGCGTGGGAGTGGAATACCCCCAAAGCCAGGGGGCGAGCCATCGAGTTGGTCCTCTCTTCCAGCCACTCTCCTCGGCCTCCACCGCCCTTCTGGCGCTACCACTGAACAACCGCCGGTGTGCCCTCCAAGAGGGAGACGAGGGCGACAGGAGGGCGAAGGAAAAAGGAGAGTTAGCATGATCACACTAGCCTACAGTTGTCGGTCACTGGGTTGTCTGCAGCTGCGGAGCGAGACGTTTTAAGTCCTTCGGGCTGTCTCTGCTTTCAACCCGTCTGGATTAAGGTGGGAAATGAGAGCGCAGCGTGGGAATATATAGCGGGGAGAAGATGAAATCCAGAGAGAACGAGAGAACATCATTATTCTGGATCTTGTAGTTTCCCCTCCCCCAGATGACCGGAAGCACGTGAAACAGACCAAAAAATAAAAAGTAATAATGCTACGAAATATTCTGCGGATCCCCTCACTTTTACCCATTGGCATCGGACTCCATTCGTCCCTCTTCGTGAGCCGCTTCTCGACCCTTCCATCCCATTAAAATCTGGATTCGATCTCCGCATGTACGCCACCGCCTCAAGTAGATTGCACGGGCGCCATCGCCCCAGCGGTCTCCCTCGAGTTCCGGCTGTCACACGGCTCTTCCACAACCATTCGCTGCGATGCTCACCCTGGTCAGACGAATGTAAAGGTGCCCATCCGTTTCCGGTTCTTGCGGACGAAGAGAAAAATGAAACTTTTAAATTTGCAGGCAAAATCTCAGATGCGTGTCTTCACTCACCGCTGTTTTCCCTTGCGTCTGAACGCCACAAAAGGCCGTTTCGTGAAAAATCATCCCCACTTAGATCAAGTTCTCCAAACTATCCTTGATTTGACCCAAAAGAATATAAGGAACGAGTGCATGTCAAGGGTAGGACAACCGCAGTTTCTAAAAATTGACATCACGATGCAGCTCGAGCCGCGTGTACCCTTGACTGGGGGGACCACCATATTTGCCAGATTGAGAATAGGGCACTGAGGATCTGTAGGGACTCAATTATGGCCTCGCAACATCAATACGTTCATTTATCAATCTTATTTTGAAAAGGACGTTTGTAAATTATTTTTTCTTATGGAGTTCGTTCCTTTTTCTTAATTGGACAAAATTGTCCCTTATACTGGTCGTAATATTTAGGTGCATAATGTTATCAATATTCAAAGACATATTATCTTTAACCTTAGGGTTAATAAATAAATGGAATTTTTTTAAAAAATGTCCTAGTTGATTATATTTACCATCTCTATGAGAAAGTTTGAATAAAAGGAAGTGTCATTATTGTTCTCTTCTTTGTTCTAACATATATTTTTGGTTCTATATTGTAATACCCCACTTAGAAGAGGAGTGAGATGATAACATTCTAAATGTTTTCTTTCTTCATCAATTCGTATCCCTCTTAACTTCCTAAGGATTTAGATGGTTATAATGATGTCACACACTTTTTGTCAATTGTTAGACCTAATGTACTCTACGTAATGCATTTTACACTGCTTCCTTAGATTCCACTAAATATTGAGTGAATTATGGGTTTTAGTATCCTAAATATTAGATTTAAAATTTTCCATCAATATTTGACCTTAGAACTCTCTACTAAATTCACAAGGGGCAAATTAGAGGAGAACCCACTCAACTCTTCTAGATTCACAACTTTATGAAGCCAAACAAACAAGACCTGATCATTTCTTATTACGTCACAATTCTAGGTGGTAAACAAGACTAGTATTGTTATTCTCTTCTAGATTAAAATTCTAGATCAGCCTTCTTAGGAATGAAATGTCATTCATAAGAATTCAGCTCAATACTTCTAAAAAGGCAACACTAATCATCAAAAAACTTTATGATCTTGAAAAATAGTAAATTGACAACACTAAGTGCTCAAGATTACAGAAAGTTTGTGCAAACTCCTTGGATAAGTGTAAATGTTGAAGATCGCTCTAAACTTTCGGTGGAGTATTTCTCTTGTCCTTCCTCTAGCTCTCCTCTTTCTCAATGTGAAAAGACACCTATTTATATACAAAGAGATTATTGGGATGCTTCTAATTTTCAATATAATGGGTGACTTCAATAATCAACTGATGGTTTGAAAAATGCCACATCTCACATCTTTAATTTAAACTCTAAAATAGTGGTTAATATTATAAAAGTGGTAATAATTTAATGCCTACTAATTTTGTTGCACGGTCGATTGCTTGCATTTCTCTTTCAAAGAGCTTTCCAATGAGTATGTGCATCCTTAGATTAGTGACACCAATTTACACCTAAAATTATTTATCTCAAGTTAATACATAAATGATGACCATTTTAACCATAAAAGAAGTTCCTAATTAATTTAACTACGCTTATGTGAATTTCATTTTAAGTTGGCAAACCTCTATAATTACTTAGTAATCAAGCTAATATATAAATAATTATATAACTTGTAAAGTTATTAAAATGCATATACAAATGGTCATCATCAAAATAACTTAGGCTCACCATCGACTCCATAGGGCCCATTCCTTCTCTATTGAGAATTACAATCGTAGGTGATCAATTACTATGGCTCACATTATGTAATAGATTTACATTATAATGGTTCAATGTAGATCTGATACCTACTCACTAAACTATTTTTCAAACTCAATTATTGTAACATATATGAGCATATATATTTATTATAAGATCTTTAAAACACATTAATAAATACTACAAACACCATCAATAAATTATAATAATTTCAATTGATGTAATTTTATTATGTTAATGTTGAAGACTAAGATATATTTGACTTTTGGAGCAATTATCATTTGATTGTTGAAAAAATATATAAAAGATTTAAAAAAATTATATTAAAAATGTGTGCTATCCAAGTTTATTTTTTGGTCAATACATTATATTGATATTGAACAAATTCACATGTGAGCTCAAGACTAAAAATGGGAAAAAACTTCCCTATAATTTGTTTACAAAAAGGAGTTGATTAAATAGCTACCTCACCTTACATTGGTTATGATAAAAGTAAGGCATATACAATACAACAAAGAAAGTCAAAATTCACAATAAAAACCAAACAGAATCATTCCACACTCTGAAAAAATATAAAAGCATTCAACGCAAAACCTATCATGAAAAATTATGTACATCTTTCAAGAATCATTTATTATGAATGCACTTATATAGCTAAGTTTAACTTTTCATATTGAAGTCCCACACTCCACACATAGGGAAGCTTTAAATTATGTGTTATACGATTTTATTTATTTATTTACTGTTGTAGTAGTTTCTTGTCAGAATATCACAAGATATAAATATTGAGGCCAATATAGAGTGTGTATCTAAAACCAGGCATTATACACACTTGAGATATCATAGGGCTAAGAATCTGAAAGCGAGTGTTATAGGTACTTCTATCAAGTTAGTCATAAATTTAGAAGAGGCAATGTGATGCATCTATCTTTAGCTATTCTACAAACTAATAGAGAACCAAAAAGGGTCAATTCAACTTCCCACCCCACCCCCTCAACTTGTTCACTCACTGATTTAATAGTAATTATAAGATAAGTGCCAAAAGATCTAGTGATTGTACTCATCACATGGCATACAATGATCCGTAAAGGTGCCATCCCTATTTGCATCTCTTTAAATAATTATCTAAATGAGTGATAACTTTCACTGATGACTTTTATGGAATAAGATAAATAAAATAGATGAAACATTTTTCCTAAAGATTTTATGTTGAAGGATATTTCAAGAGCCTAATGTATTTACCTATTTTAATGTTTGTAATATTATTTTTCGACGTTTTTTGTATGCATGTTTCAAAAATGCAATTATAGATATTAAATAATGCATAATCGTACTTATATGTTATCATGTAATACTATTAAACATAACAGTTCTACATGCTTTCCATTAACAAGTTCATAGGAAAAATATTATTTCTTGATGATTAAAACAGCGTAAGGCAAAAAATGACAATATATTTAAAAAATATTGTACATACTTTGGGAAGCTACAAGGTGGAGTGAGTTTTTGGGAAGCTACGTGTGTGAGTGCAAAGGAAAAGGAATTACTGGGAAGTGGTGGCGGCTGGGTGGGTGGGAACCAGATGAATTTGTCGCGCGGTTGTTTTCACGCGTCGTTGCCTTCTGGGGTGTAAGGCACAGCTTTCATTATCAGAGAACAGCATAACGAAGTTTACCCCGAGAAAACTTATCTACAATGGCGCTCCCCAACAGCTCCCAGTTGTTCCTACCCCTCCTGCAACCTCGTATAGTCTCCGGAGAAGTGTGGCGCGTACTGCCCCCTGTGGTGGCTGCCCTCTTCGTGGTCTTCGTAGGCGTAGCCGCCATGACTAGAGATGTCGAGGCCCGCCAACTCCTCTTCCACCGACGTCCTTAGCAGTCGCAGACGATGAAGTACGTAGAACAGCGGCCCCATGGTAATACTAACCCATGCCACGACGGATGCTACCTCCGTGGCCTGTGCCCCCATCAAGCTCCAACCTCCACCCATAAGCAGGCCGAACGGTCGCCTAACGCCGATCTCCCCAGATTCATACGCCTGCACCACCAGCTCCTCTTCGGCGAACAGCCCCGTAAACAACAGCCCCCACACGCCGCAACCCCCGTGCAGCTGCGCCGCCTCCAGCGGATCGTCGTATCCCAGCCACAGCGCCGCGACGTTAAGCCCCATCAGCACCCATGCCGCCACAAATCCGCAGATGACTGCGGCCCACGGCTCCACTACGGCGCATCCGGAGGTGATGGCGACAAACCCGCCGAGTAACCCGTTACAGACGTCAAGGGCATCCCAGTGCCCCGCGATCGCCCGCTTTCCGAACAAAGTGACTAGTCCTGCCGTTGACCCAGCGAGGGCGGTTGTCACGGCCGTCCGGCCGGCTCCGGTCCAGTTCCCTTGGGACGGAGCGTCTGGGTAAGCCACTAGTATCCGGTTGAACGAACCGGGATTGAATCCGAACCATCCGAACCAGAGTAGGAAAGTCCCGAGAACCACCAACGTCGCGTTGTGGCCCCGCATCGGCATCCCCTTGCCGAACGCGTCGAAACGGCCAATCCGGGGGCCCTCCACTACAGCCCCCCATAGGCCGGCCACGCCGCCGACGAGATGTACCACCCCGCTGCCTGCGAAGTCGATGGCTCCTGAACCGAAGAGCGGCTGGCTGTGATTGGGGTTGAGCCAGCCGGCTGACGACCAAAGCCAGTGGGCGACCACGGGATAGACGAACCCGGTGAGCAGGAAGGAGTAGACAAGGTAGGCGCCGAACTGGGTGCGCTCCGCGATGGAGCCGCTGGTGATACCGGCGACGGCTATGGCGAATGCCCACTGGTATAGAAAATAGCTGTAGTCGTAGCTGTCATTGGGGATACCGCTGAGGGCGAAGAAGCCCGTACCGATGAAGGGATTGCTATGAGTGCCCGAACCGAAGGCAAAGGCGAACCCGAAGAGGTAGTAAGAGAGGGTACCCACGACGGCATCGACAACGTTGGTAAGCATGATGTTCATGGCATTCTTAGCGCGGACAGACCCCGCGCACAGCATGGCGAAACCGAGCTGCATGACGAAGACGAGGTATGCCGAGAAGAGGAGGTAGATGGTGTTGATTGATTCGGTGACGCTCCCCTCCCATTCTGACGACCTAACCATTGCAGAAGACGGGAGCGCAGAGAGAGAGAGAGGGGGGGGGGGTTAAATGTATGCAATGTGGGGACACTGGTATTCAGGAAATAACACTGTCGACGTAGAATGGAAGCTGTGGGTTCTGGCCTTTTGAAGGTTAGATAGTGTCGTGAAGGGCATGTGATGAAGACCAACCAATGGATGGGTGGCTCTGGACTCTGGCGTGATCCGCTTATTGAGTGGGCTCAAATGAGCCGAATCTTTAATGGAGACCCACTACCGGTTGCGTGGGAGTTGAGAGGTACTCCCCCGTCCACAAGAAGAACCCAAAAAGCTGGGAGCTGTTTCGGAAGGCGACATCGTGCCAGATGCTCCTTATATTTAAATGCATGACAATACGGGCAACGTGAACCAATGAAGCATTGCATCGATTGGCTCCTCTCAACTTCGTCAAGCAACTTCTTTGGAAGGAAATGTCGACTAATCTAGCTTCCCAAACAACGTCAACCTCGTCTCGTCATCGCCGCTGTATTCTTGTCCGTAAAACCATCAAAGGCCGCCGTAGCGTCGCCGGACTGCATTTCGGAAATCATAGGAATTAGGGGTGATACGTTTTGTTCCTCTAAAAAATGTAGCCTACTTAAACACAAAGCGGATGAGTTTCCCTCTTTCGAAGGCCGGGGATTGAGTAGGATCGGGAACAAAAGGAAAATCACCCACGGGGTAAAAGCAAGCTATCGTCTAGCCATCCTTAAGAAGTCAGTCGTTGTAGGCGTTACCGATGGAGAAATTAAGAGTAATGATTACAGTTTTAATGATATTACTTCATAAACGTTCGGCTAAAGAGATGAACGGGCTAGCCCCGAAACCCGGTAGGGCCGCCCGTACTGGTCGTTTCCCAGGCTCCGAAGGAAACGAAGACGGCCGGGGCTGAGAACTCGTTGTTCACTTGGCGAGGTTACGATGTCCCCTTTCGGGAAAGCGAATGTGCTCTCCAATCTTTTATGGTGGTGCGTACAGTCACCACTTTTAAATTTGACCACCGACATTGACTCCAAGAATTCCGTCAAAGGAGTGGACTCCTCGGTCGAAGTCCTGATGCCGGCCAGGGAGAGGAGCAAACCGCTGCGTCGGGGGGTCAGAACTTTGAACGATAAAATGGCATACCGGTGGACCAGTCGATCAAAATCTCCCTTCGGCCTCCCTATCCTCTTGCCTACGGGCAAAGCCGCGTTGATAACCGAGCCCGCTGCGCCTGGCCTTCCGAGTTGAATGTGGCGTGGATCAAGTTCCAGGTTCATTGGACGACTTCTCCTACGATCTGTTGACAGGAGGAAGTGGGTCGCTTCGACATGACACTGGGTCCTCCTGAAACGAAGGAAGGTGGAACCTGGTACGTTCGTCGCGAACAACGGTAGGAGGTAGACCCTTCACAGGCGGCAGCTGACGAGGGAACCTAACGCTGACCTAAGGAACTACTCTGCCCTTGACTCGATCCTTTCTCCCCGTCAAATGATTTCGCGTTGCCGAGAATGGAGCGGTGTCACTAATCACAACAATACGATTAATATTAACAATCATACTAGTGGGGCAACCTGCACTAGTATTCATACACGTCTGCATGTGTATAAAGACGTGGCGGCCATCGGACTCTGGAAACGTCCGTGGCAGCGTTGGGAAGGAGAGTGTCCTCTAGCCTGAGAATTAGGAAGAAAGATCAGACAGATGAAACTTCAGTTGGCCATGCAGCCGGTATTGCTGCCCTGGTTCTTCCCCCCCTCTAACCAGCACAACAACTCCAAGGCGCGGCCGCCGCGGCCGCTGCACCGTGGTAATAAGCCCAACCACCGTGGTAATAAAAACGTGGCGGTTGACAGCTGTTGGGAACGTGACACTTTAAACGGTAGGAGGAAGACATCACAGTGGCCTCCCCGAAGAAAGAGGGAAACAGTATTTTTCCCGTCGCTTTCGAGCATTCCAACAAAAAATTTACGGAAAGAAACTCCAGCGGTGGAATTAAACTTTGCAGGCATCTGCCCTTCGAAATGGAGGATTGCCTGACTTGTCTAGGTCTATGGCTCACGACGACCCGACAAGAAAAATAGAACAGTAATATACCTCCTTCCGTAAACCTGGACCTTCTTTGCTTCAGGCCCTCTCGTTCATTCAACTTGCACTAGGCCAACGCGCATTTGGATTTCATCTGGCGGTGGCCACAATCTCCCACCAGCAGGCAAATGGTGAAAGGCACAATGATTCGGACTCTCACCGTTGTCCATGAAGGATGAAGGTGGCGCTGAATCAGGTCAATCGTCCGCTTCCAAGAGTCCATAAAATCTCCGCTATATGGAAGGGAATGGATCTTGCGGCTCTGAACTGTATCCGTTATCAGAGAGAAAGACCCGATGGGGCTTCGCCATACTGATGTCGTTTGGGCAATGCAAGGCTGATTCTCCGAGGAAACCTACGGAAGGATTTGAGTCCCTTCTCCGAAGATGGCAACCCGGAATTTCCCCCCCGCGAATAAACGTGGAGGTATTTGGAGTGGTCTATAAGCTGAGTGAACATGGAGGTCAGCAATGGAGGCAACCGTTGGGCTGGCGTGGAGCTGAGAGGACGCCACCAGTGAGCGTCAGCATAACAGCGACGCTGACTGAACGACCTCCTCGGGAACGGTAAGGGCCAGCGGCCGATCACAAGAAGACTGGCACGATGGTCTGATGGGTGCAGAAAGAAGATCGAGATCGACACGCTTCACGGGGAGGCACGCGGCAGAAGAACCACAAGAGACGAGCCGTGCCAATTGCAGGGGTGGGAGGGCATCCCAACGTGGGAGAATAAGTCGTCTGAAACAACTACGGTCATGAATCGATAATTGTGAGAACAAAGCCAAAAGTGAGATGTCATCCCCCTGTGAGCATTCACAGAAATATACAGCAAAAAAAGGAAAGAAAGAAGTCAACTCAACCTCATTCGCACATAATCTCCACGGAGAACAGAGAGCGAGCGCAGAGAGAGGCAAAAGGCCTGGCGAGATTCTCAAAAATCCACATTTAGCTCCCCAGGAGTGAAGGGGAAAGGATATGGTAAGCATACAAGTAGACACAGAAGCAAAACTGCGACGCCAAGCGCTTTGTATTTGTCCTCAGGATCGGTGATCTCCTCGGATAGAGGAGCGATCGGACCCCTCTGAAGGAAGAATATCAGAGCCACCCAGTAGAAGGCCACGTCATTGAAGAGTGAAGATATGCCCAGCAGGGCAAGTGCGACGCTGGTGATGCGGGTCGATGTCTGGTAGAAAGAAGCAGTTCAGCGAGGCACAAGTGTCGAATCATAAAATGAACCAAGAGCACCGCGTTTAGCACCGGCCTGAGACCGTCCACAACCACACATCGTCTACGGTGAAACAACGGCGAAAATAGTCCCTAACTCCTATAAAGAAAGGAAGAGTACCTTTCTTCCCCACAGAGCAAAGGAGATGCGGCCCCCATCAAGTTCTCCCGCCGGAATGCTATTAATGGCATTGATAAGAAGCCCAGCCCAAGCCCATATGACAAGGGGGTTGACCGACAACTGGCTGCCTTCCTTTAGGACGTCGCCAAGAATAAGCTTAGCTGAAGGAAACAAACAAGTAGTGCCAGCCCCGGAAAGAGTTATACTTTTCAAATACTTGTATTTCAAAGTGTCGTCACCGAGAACAAAGCTAGCAGATTATTACACAAAAAGAACGCGCCAATTTTACTGACAGTTTGGCAACAAAATTAACAATCACTAAAATCGTAAATTGTTCAGCTAAAGAAAAAACCAGAATAAAGAGAGAATATCGATACCGATTCCACCAGCGAGAAAAGATTCGTGGAAAATATCTGGGTTGATGATGATTCCAATGCCATCAGTTGGGGGTAAAATGAATCCTGCAAGTAGAAGAAGGATTCCCAGAGAAAATCCAGCCAAAGGTCCTGCAGCCGCCAGCCTCAAAAGTTTCTCACGGTTGGGTACAATATTTACAATTCTTGTAATTGCACCAAAAGATCCTATCTGAAACAAATTGAGGTCGAAAAGATGATGATGTTTCAAAAAGCGAAAACCATTGACCAGGCATGCGAAACAGAAACTAGATTATGCACGAAAAAGCTGTCACTGAATTAATCAAGGTTTATCATGCGTTGCCTATTTCTGCAATCCCCAGAATGGAGCTGCATGTTTTATGCATAACCCTCGGAGCAATACAGAAGTTCATTGATGCGAGAACATGGAATCAGGAAATAAACATCTAACCTGCCAACTAGGAACAAAGTAAGGGACTCCGAGTTTGACCCCAATATCTCCTGCAATCAAAATATGACCAATTTCGTGGGCTCCTAAAATAAGTGCAGTCACAAGGGCTCCAGGAAGACCATCAGTCAATAAGCCAATATTGTCAAATATTGATCTGGAACATCAGAAGTCAATAGCATTGAGATTAATAAACTTGTGTCAGAAGAAGCATCAGATACAAACTTCAAACTAAAGTGATCTTGGCTGTACTCGACATGATCATGAACAGAATAAGTAATAAAGAGTACAGGGCATTTCCTGCAGTGACATCATACTTCATCTGAGTACTGATTAATTACTAAAGCCAAGTCTGAAAACTTAATCCTCAAAGAAACACATATTTCCTACAGTGAAAATATGACCAATCTCGAGATTTGCAATGGGTGAAAGTTGTATCCCACTGAAGATAAATCAATGTGCAATAAACAGGAGAAATCCAACTTTACAAATGCTGGAATCAGTCTGCATGTTCCAGATGGTTTCCAATCAACTATGTCAGTACAACACTCTCTTACGCAATATTTGCTTCTTTCACAAAAAAGCAAAGAAAAATAATGGAGCTTAGTTTGCACTGGATACCTTCATCACACGGTTTAACTTTTTACCAGTACATTTCCTAGCCCACACGATCCCCACTTCTAGCCTTGAGTCAACTATGGTCCACCAGAAGACAAGCGTTGCAAGAAAAGGTAAATCTTTTTCCATCTTATTTCAAGGTAACAGGAAAAGTCACGTCTTTTAATAGAGTTTGGATCGGAAGATTTTGTTTGATCAATGAAAAGAATACTGGGAGAACATTATTTTAGCCCTGGGAACTACACTGATTCCTGCCTCATTGTGATCATAAATCCATGCTGATTTCTACTCTCCCAAGAAACAGTAAAATACAAAATCTTCATCATAGAGAGCGTGAACTTTCTAGTAATTAATGTGCTGTCAAACATTATAGAGGATGACAAACTTAGACATCTCTAATAATACATAAAAGGAGCATCTGGAACGTTCGAACTTAAGCAAAAAAATGTGTATGCCCTAATATCAGAATTTGAAGACGGTTTGAACTTTTTCCCAGATCAAGAGATGACAGTACAGCATCTGAGGACAGAAGTCGGAGTTAAATATTTCAGCAAATGAAGCAATATACCTTTACAGAATGTTCATTGTTAGGCAAAGAAAGTATACCTAAACGAGAATCCAGAAACATGACATGACTAGATGAAAGACCAGAAAGAAATCTTACAATAAATTTGACTGCAGTGCAGGCACATTCCGGAGTAACAAGGTGAAAACGGTGACAAGTCCAAATACACCAGCAGCAAACCACTCCGGCACGGCTGCAAATGCAAACCAAATGAATGTTAAGGAAGGTTTCGAAACGGATCCCATCAGGTCATTTATTCCCTGACATCAGGCATTCATGAGGAAGCACAAAACAGGAAATTCGAGATCATTTGTAAACAGAAGGATTGTCCCCATACTTGTTGATTCAGGCTGTAATGTACGCCTGGGAACCACTACTGCCACAGGTTTATCATCCTCTGGATTGATGAGAAGGAAAACTTTATATTGATCACCAAATCTATCCTGTGAATTAAATGTGCTGAAAATTACACAAAAATATGCCTGAATAATTGAGTATTGACACTAAATTTACGAAAGAAACAAAACTCGAATCACCTGTATCCGCTTTGTTATCTTTTCATAGCTTTTGCCTGCCTGTCCACGCAGATTTCCCTTAAACAACACCCCACTCTGTAAAGAAAACAATTCTCAAGATTAAAATAACGGAAATGAGAAATTCAGCCAGCTTTCAAGATTCAGTCATGGACATGACTGAACTCGATGTGTTTGAATGCTGCAATTAATCGACTAGGCATAGAAACCTTCCAATAAAGTTTCATTCATGTCATTAGACGTGCTCAATGACAATCCCGCAGCATCCTAGAATTCGATGTGTTTGAATGCTGATGAAAGCTTTGCAATTAATCATAAAAGAAAAAAAGTGTGCCTAATTATAATGGCTATCAGAATAAGTCCATAGAAAATCCAAGAATGCAGAATGTAATCCTCGTACACATAAATATCACAAAGTACAAAAGACTAGAAAAAATGAATCCAGAAATGCTGTACTAGAGTAACGTATAAATCTGAGCTCGAAACATCACCTCATATGGCTCTTGGCTTGTCACAAAAAATGTATCAAAACCAAACACTTGGTCCTTAAGAATATCAATCGTGGACTTTGGAATCCTGATAGGTTCACCAAGTTGCTGCAATTACCGTGAGTTTAAAATACCACGGTATTATTAGATATCCAGAACGGGAAGAAAACAATGAACTTAAAGCATAGAGCACAAGACGAAATTAAACTTCTAAAGATTAAACGTTTCCAACGCCCATTTACCTTTATGCCTGGAAATGGAGATCCACTTGCGACCTCTGTACTATCATCTTTCTCCTGCGTTGGTCTCAACTTCAGCACTATTTTTGCCGGATAAGTGACGATACAATACCACTAACATGATAAAGGTAAAAATGCAGTTTCTAACATTTACAGGTGATAGATATTATAAACTGACAGAGGAACACCTTCGGATCACTGTCAGCTGCAACATCACCGTCACTGATCTCAGCTGACTGGACTGAACTCGGAATATCCTCATTCACTGGCTGGACGATATCCTAGAAAACCGTAACAGAATAATCAAAAAACATTTATTTGCTAAAACCGTTGCTAACCTGTTCGGGTAAAAATTCATCTGAAGAAACGTGATATTTCTGTCAAATCATCTAATAGAACATGTTAATGACAATAGTAGCAGAGTTAAAGCTACAGTATTTGAAACGGATATAGATCTAACAACAGAATCCGAAGAGATATTACTGGAAGAATGGTCCTAATTTGGGAGGCCAAATGAAATAAATCGGTCAAAATCAGACAACTGAAATAGATCTCACCTGTTCAATGCTCAGTTGGGAATCAGGGGCTCCATTTTCTTGCTCTACACCATTGATGGAAGTCAATGACACCCCGTCACTACTAGCTTTCTTTTCCTGCAAATTGAACGTGGATCATTAATTACAGTGAAAAAACAGGCAAAAACGTTTTCTTCTTTCCATTGTTTTAATCTGATGAAAAGAACCCACATTCATCGCTCAAAAAAAACATCTAAGAATGATACCCTGCGACAAATCCCACACCACAATCAACATACGGCATGAAAATGCAACAGAAATAAAGGCAATTTTCCATGGACGACATGCCTTAAACATGAGAGAAATACACGTTTTTCCATTTATTTCGTCTACATCCCCGTAGATTCATTTGTAAAGTGGACCCCATGAATACCTCTCCATCGTTGCCCTCTGGATCCGTTTGCGCCATGGCTTGGCAAATTAACCATCGCCTCCAGAAGAAATTCGAACTGAAATTATCAAATGAGCTATAAGTTTCGTTGCCTCAATGAGTGAAGACTCAAGTCAAAGCCGAAAGCAATGGGCGCTAAAGATCCATGAAAACAATGGAGAGAAGAAGAAACCTAGTTAACGGTCTCATCTGAGGCCGGGAGCCGTACGGTAAGCACCGCCATCCAGAAGCGGCCGAGAGGAGACGACCGGAGTGCAGGTGATGATGGTGTGGAAGGCCCCCGGAGAGTGAGGACGAAGGGAGGTCCCCGCGAAACGCAGATGCAGGAAGATTCATATCTCTCTTCTCTCCTCCTGCTGAATGAGTGAGCAACACGGAGTGAACGATCTTTTTGGGCTAATTACGCTTCACTTCATTCCACGGCAGCCGTGGATCCACGTAGAAGTAAGCGGAGGGCAACCTCCTGCGGGGTAAGGACAGTAACGCTTGGAAACAACCTGGACTCCTCAGGAGGAGCCTACGACGACCTGCTTCTCGCGCCCCCACCCCCACCTCCCCCCCAATCAGCAGGAGGTATGCCTATCCGCCTCCCTCCCGCTCGCTCTCCGGAGAGTCCCTGTCTATGCATCTTATCTGCTTATCTTGTTCTTTTACGGGAACGGGGAAAATAAAAAAACAAGAAGAGATCTTCCCCCGCCCCCGGAGCTAGAGCACGGAAGTGACTCAAATGCCATCGCCGGGTATCTACGCCCAACATCATGGCCCGCGGGTTTACCGAGTCCTCGGCAAAAGCCACCCGTCAAACTGTCCCGACAAAATTTCAAATGATATCCAGACAATGTAACGCTAAATGCCCAAGTACCAACTTCTAGCTCATAATTAGGCATTTACCGCACCGCCCCGATCTCATGCCACGCCCAGTTCCGCCTCGTTCCTCAGCTGATTCGCATCTCATGCCGTCACATCTCTGGGCGTGGGCTATACTCTCATTTACAAGAAATACAAACCGTTTTCTACGTACGAAGGAAGCCTCGTCTTGTCAATATAAAAAAGAAAATGAAAAAGAGGACGATTTTAAGAAGGAGCGAAGGGAGAGATCCAGGCCCTTCCTGGATAAAACCATTTTGAAAAAATCTGTGTGCATACCATTCTGCGGGGCAAAAACTCGCGCGAACTAGGAGATGGCAGGTAGGCTTGAGGGGTCTGTGCGTTTTCCTCTTTCTCCGATGAAGATCCGTTTCTGAGACACTTTGATGTGAGTCGTTCTCCTCTTTTCCAGATAAGAACCTCTCTAAGTCCCCAGTAATCCGATCACCAGCTCTTTCCCCCACATGCCTTCCCCCCATCTTTCCAGAGAAGAGCATGATTACGTGCATATATTACGTGCACTCATAGCCGTGCATCCAACTTCGAGGGGCAGTGAGTAGAAGAAAAAAAGAGCATAGACGTTAGAGGTATCGCGCGGGGCCGACTCACGTTTGGGGAGCTTTGCGATCTCGCGGGGGGCGGCCTGGTGACCGCCGGTTCATCCAGGTTAACCTAGCCTGCGTTCTAAATGGTAGTCCATCCAAGTTTCAATTTGATAACACCCGCATTAACAACATGAGTTAACCGATCTAAACTTAGTCTTCTGTCCGAGAGACTGAGCTGAAAGTGGAAATCCAGATGGGTCCTCGCCGTCCAACCCCCTCAGCCGAAGAGGATAAACGGCCTCCTCATACGAGTTTGTACCTAGTCGGACCTCACATCACTTGCTCAGCCATCCCAACTAGTCAGACTCGGACGAACTCGGATAATCCAGCGTATGTCGGCTCCAGCCGGCCATGAAGCCGCTACCCAGGAGGCGTCCTGAGTCTCAAGCCCAACCCCCACGGCACCGAGGCATGGGATATCCATCTCTCCGGCAAGCGGGGATTGAAACCCGGACGTCCGGTGCATGTAGGAAGTTGCAGAGATTGACGGGAGAGGACACGAAGACCAGGCCATCTCCGAGTAGCGAGAGGTTACAGAGGACCGAACAGCGACCGTCGGGTTCGCGAGGATTGAAGAAGGGAAGGCGGAAGAACAATGGAATGGCAATTGTCGGAAAACAAATATTATTTATGATTCATCGTGGCATGAATCGCATAAAACTAGTTTTAAATCCTTGAAAAACCATCTGTCTGAGGATAATTAAGAGAAGAGAAGATGCAAACTGAAAATAACTAAAAAATAAAAGGTGAGGCGTAGAAGCTATGCCACCATGCATGGACCATCGTCATTTTATTGATAGGTACGACCTGAAGTAAGGAGATGGAAGGATCAACTGAATTCAAGGCATCGACACAAGACTTTACCTGGAGAAATTTATATTTGAGTTTCAATTCCAACCACTTGAAGTGGCGGTTCTCCTCTCTTTCATACAAACGAAACATGTTGTGATTATTGAATGCCCAAAAAAAAAAAAAGCCATAAATAAGGCCCTAATAGTAGAAAACGAGAAGTAATTTTTCTATATCTTTTAAGGCATCATGAAATTGTGGGAAGAGGCACGGGAGTCACTTTCGAAATCAAGAAGTTTCAAAGAGTTATGTGGAGAAGGAAGTCTAGTTTTTAAGGCGGAGTTAAAGGCTGGAAGAAGGGAGAAAAAGGTAAGCTTTTCACCTTCTTTCTCACTAGCATTTCATTGACTCCAAGAAAAGGAAGTATTAGAGACTACTGTAATATTTTTCTTTGTTTTAGTTGTACTTGTTCCCTTTTTCCGCCTCGTATTAATTAGTTTGAGTTTTGTACCTACCAGTGACTAAACGGGCCTACTTTTCAATGACTCATGTCCAAGCTAGGGTTGGATCGTATCCACTCACCAGTTTGAGGGTAAGTATTAGAGGCTACTGCAATATTTTTAAAAAAACTAAATTTTCCTCTCCTTTTTTTGCCTCGTGTTACTTGCTTTGGGTTTAATATAAATGAACTTTTTAAGGTAGATCCGACCTGACTATTGGGTCATGTATATAAGCATGTATCCATTGTTTTTAATTAACATAGTCGTTTTCGTCTCAATTTTCTCTCTCATCAACCCTAGAGGAGCCATAGCTCTCTCCAGCAACGGAGAGACTTACACGGTGGAGATGGAAAAGTCTTTAGTGATTGTGAAGCTTTGCCAAGAACCATTGTCTCCAAATGATTGGAAAAAATAAATCTTGAGGAATTTTTATTCTTCATTTGTTCTACCATCTCTATTCCGTTGTTCTTCCTGTGACTGTAGAAGTTCTTTATTTTGAACCATGTACATTATATCACCTATTTGACTTTAGTTTAGGCTGTTTGAACTTATATCATGAATTTAATCTTTGCACCATTGTGTGTTGTTGACTTATTTGAAAAAAATATTATTGCTATAAAATATAAATTGGTATTATTCAATTTGTGTTGTGACGTTTGGCATGTTTGTGGTGTTGCGGTCGCTTACACAATCACATACATTTGAAATCCACGATCAAATTTTTTGTTTCTTAGATTTGGTCTATGCCCCGATTTATTTAATAGCCCCTTTGTCGCAACAACATGTCACGGCTCTCAAGTTATCTACCAATAAGATAGGCAACACCCTATCTTCAACCAGTCCTTCCTTAGACAAATTGACTGGTCTCCTCCTCTCGAGCGCCCACAGCCCCTTTCTCATGTCCGCCTATCTCATTTGCGTTTTACAAATGAGAAGGGGCTTCTTTCTATACGGTCTCAAAAGACCCACGCCCAATAGGGGGAGGGGCAGACGGGCCATTTGCTTGAGGACGGTCCAGGGGATTGGGCCGCTTCTCACGTCCGTCTCGCGCAGGGAGAGAGGAGCCGCAACCGACAGTTTCCGGGGCTCTACTCCCCCCGTGCCACTCCACCAACGTCACCAGGAGCTCGGACCTGAGGCCATCTAGGAGGGTGTGGCTTGCGGCGGCATGGTAGGTCGTACTGCGTCTGTGAAGTGAGAGAACCGGCTCGGGAGTGCTAAAATATCGGAGGAACTCGCTGGAAATGGGCCTCTCTCTCCGAGTCCCATTTAGTCCTCCACGGGCGTCTCAGGCCCAGCTCAGGTAGGCAGATTAAGCGGGCTCCCCCAGTCCGGCCCAAGCTAATTGAGCCACGCTCTCCTCCCGTGCGCGTGCGGAAGATTTGGCTGTCCATCAGATTGGACGATCTCAGCCATCAGATCTAGGTCACACAATTCCTTCCCCTCGTCTCTTCTCTCGGGGATACATCCCCCGATGGCTAGTATAAAGCGCCGCCGCGACCGGTGTTGTCCTGGGTTTTCCATTGCACCGACTCGCAGAGGTTAAAGGGACGGGAAATCCGTCCGCCTTGGTGAAGCTCCAGCTTGACCTTGGCCCTCTACCGGCGCCCTTCCTCTCTTCTGCCCTTATATCTTGGAACCTGCATTTTTTCCTTTAGTTGTTTCTCAGCCCGAGAAAATGGCCATCAAGCCGTCGAAGCAGGAGAAGAAGGTCGTCTACGACCAGAAACTCTGCCAGTTGCTGGATCTGTATAGCCAGGTGCTCATAGTTGGCGCGGACAATGTCGGGTCTAATCAGCTGCAGGGCATCCGCTCGGGGCTCCGTGGGGACTCGGTAGTGCTAATGGGAAAGAACACGATGATGAAGCGCTCTATCCGTCTTCACGCCGAGAAAACGGGCAACAACAACTACCTCAACCTGCTCCCCCTCCTCGTTGTGCGTTAATGATACTCTCCTACGTGTTCTGTCGTTTTGTCGTTCTTGTTACTCTCGGCGTTTTTCTTCCATGCCCCTTGCTTATATTACCGTATGTGTATCGAAATCTTGCGATTGTACTCGTTTGATTGCCTTGCTGAATTTATTTGGTAATCAGTAAACATGCGCTGCTCGGTTCCTTTTCACTTGTTTCATGGATTTTTTTGTGGGGATGTTTTCCTCTTCTTTTAGCATAGTCGCGTTCCTGTTCTCGCGGCACAATTTTTTCCTAATATTGCACTTGCAATAGCAATTTTCTAGGCTGTGGCTTGTTCGTGATGCTTATATGTTAGCATGGATCGTATCGTCTCATTGCAGGGAAACGTGGGGCTGATTTTCACCAAGGGAGACCTGAAGGAAGTGAGCGAAGAGGTTGCCAAGTACAAGGTGTGCATTTTTCATGGTCCTTCAGTTTATTTTCTCTCAGGGGATTGATTGACTTCGTCATTCCAATTGAATTAGGGCGGAATCTTGTTTTTCTTGTCAGTTGTAATGGTTATGTTGTATCCGCGGACATATGGCAGTATGGAAATGCTGAAAAATCCATATTAATCCCATAGAATGTTGTATCTGCAGTAAGGTTGACCTGCTTTAGTGACTCTCTCAGGTGACCATCTGTAATCCATATCTGCCGGAATACTCATCTGTGTCAGAAATCGTACGCCGATACCTTTTTTATGCTTGGTGCGTCGAGTAATATTCCCGAACGGCAGCAAACCATTAGCAATATCTGCTTTCTCGTGTTAGGATGCCATCCTATGATTTTCCTTGGCGCATTACCTGATTGCTTCTGATATCTGATTCTGGACTCGCACGGCGATTGTTTGTCAGGCCTAGCTTAATTTTGATGTATGTTTGTCGTATAAACCTTGGCCGTAGATGAAGTTTATTTTTCAGAAAAAGTTAGTTTTACTTTTAAAATGATTGTCTGCTGAATAATATCTATCACTTATAGTGCGACATGTTTGTTCCTGATATGATTTTCTTGGATGTGGTCTTGAGGTTGACTTTTATGTCTTTCATCGCTTCATTTCCACTATGTTTTTCATCATTTATTGGTGTGCATCATTCTGTTTGATAGAAATATTAATATTAACACCTATATGCCTTATGCGCCCTTGGCGAGAACCAGGTTGGAGCTCCCGCTCGTGTTGGGCTTGTTGCTCCCATTGACGTCATCGTTCCACCTGGCAACACAGGGTTAGACCCATCGCAAACCTCTTTTTTTCAGGTATCCACCCTCACAACCCACAGCGGCGTCTGCTTGTTGTTTACATAGCCTGCCGATATATCACGTGGTGCTTCGTGTTTGTGTCTAGGTCCTCAACATCCCTACCAAGATTAACAAAGGTACTGTTGAGATTATCACCCCCGTGGAGCTGATCAGAAAAGGTGAGAAGGTAGGCTCCTCAGAGGCTGCCCTACTCGCTAAGCTTGGGATCAGGCCCTTCTCGTATGGTCTGGTCATCCAGTCCGTCTATGATGATGGGTCCGTATTCAGCCCCGAGGTTCTGGACCTTACTGAGGATGATCTGATAGAGAAGTTCGCAACTGGTGTTTCTATGGTCACCTCACTGGCCTTGGCCCTGTCCTACCCGACCCTCGTGGCTGCACCGCACATGTTCATAAACGCGTACAAGAATGTGCTCGCCGTTGCCGTTGCCACAGAGTACTCCTTCCCGCAGGCTGAGAAGGTCAAGGAGTATTTGAAGGTTTGCGTTCTGACACGCAAGGCAACAAAGAAGGCGCATCTCTTATTATCTTTTCAAAAACCTTTATTCTTTATACTGTTTTGTAACTGTAGGATCCCAGCAAGTTCGCAGTTGCTGCAGCTCCGGTTGCGGCTGATACGGGTGCCGCTCCTGCAGCAGTCGCCGTGGAAGAGAAGAAGGAAGAGCCCGCTGAGGAGTCAGACGACGACATGGGATTCAGTCTGTTTGATTAGAGATTTAGGGGGCCGAGCAGCCTGCTCTCTTGCTTCGACTTTTTTGAGTTCCAGCTTGCAGTGTTTTCTTTTACTGTTTATCGGCGGACTACCGATTTTGTAATTTTAGTAGTGCTCTTGATGGGCTGCTCACTCAGATTTTATGTTTTCTGGATAATCTTTCATTCTAAAGTTGGTTAGCAAAGCCGCTATATTTTAATTTTATTCTTTTTCGTTGATGAAGTTTCCGCTTGGGTACGTCGGCGAGGACCCTTTAATTTACGTTGGGGAAGGGCACACATAGGGATGTGCCTTCTCTTCGTCTGCGACGACCCTCCTCCCCGCACAAATTCGATGACCATTCAGATGTTCTTTTCTCCGCACAAATTCGATGACCATTTGGGTGGGATTGCAAGCCCAGAAGAGCCCTCCGCCAACTGTTCTCATACGCCATACACGACGACAAAGCAGGGTAGCGCCGCCCTCGGATTAAACACGAGTAACTCGTCCGCCATACCAACCTGCTCGCCCTCCTCCCTCGCCCTTGCCACCACCGAGTCATATCCTCGGTCCTTCACCTGCTCGCCTACCTCAGCCGCCGCCGCCGCCGCCTTGCGAAGACGCACCCGCCCCGCTACCACTCGGCAAACGAGCATCGCCCGGCGCACGCGCATGAACGCGAACTCTCTTTCCAGCTCCTCCGGCAGCGACGCGTGGGCTCCGCTACCGGTAGCGTGCATGGAGATGCCCTCCACCTCCTTACCGGAGAATCCGTGCCGGACGATCCAGCAAGCGGTGCAGAACGGGCTGCCGCAGGAGCCCGTGTTGCCGTTGCGCCCCAGTTGGCAAAGGAACGTCGCGCAGTAGAACCGGAGGCTCTCGTTCCCGTCCACGGCGCACCGCTCGCCGCTGCCGTCCACCCGGCTAGCTGAGAACGCGCGTGACCGCACCGCATCCCGGTACTCTTCGAACAGTGCGAGGGTCCTGGAGGAGTGATGAATCTTCAGAATGCGATGGATAGCGGGGGCCGTGACCTCGCTGCCTCTGCTGCTCCTTTTCCATCCAGACTGGAATATGATACGCACGATGTTCTTTCCGGCGTCGCCGTCGAGGAGCTCGGAGAAGGCGTGCTTCGTCGCCTGGTGAAGGTCAAGGATGTGCACCTTGTTAAAGATCTCCCCGCACGAGACGCAGGGAAAGACGTCTGCCCGCGAGGTGAAGGACGACCGCTTGACAGAGCCCGCAGCAGCATCCTTGGCAACTCCGACGGGTCGTGAGATCGTCTTCTGATCGACGGACTCTGTCCTTTCGGGATAGACGAGGTAATGACGCAGTTGCTTGTGCAGAGAGGACGACGGGGAGATGGGAAAAGATGTGGGACGCGATTGCTCCTGTTTGTTGTTCGACCGATAGAAAGAGAGGACGTGCCGGAGGTAGGATCTGACGGAAGAGGACCCGTGGGATTTTGCAGCGGAGCTCGCAGAGGGCGACGTCTTTCTTCTCTCTGCTGGGGGCTGGTTAGTTGATGTAGCGGCGGGGAAGAAGAAGACGCAGGCCACATGGAGCAAAAGGAAGATGAGGCGTCGTGACCCGGGGAGGAAGGATCGCGATTCGGCCATGTCCGTCGTCGAGGCGAAGGGCGGGACACGAGGAGGCAGCTTTGCAACGGCACCCGGCGAGGTGGGAAGGGGCCATCCCCCTGGTGGGGAGGTGCTGTTGCAGAAAGAAAGCTGACGAAAAGGGTGGAGAGCAAAAGGGGGCGAATAAAGCAGTACGCCAGAGAAGGGGCCTTGCGCTTGTATCTGCGGCGGGTGGATGAGAGGGAGAGAGAGAGAGAGAGAGAGAGAGGGAGCTTCATGGACGCGATAATTAGGGAATTGGATACCGTTTCCGCGTTCTCCCTGCGTCCCGGTCGGTTGGAAAGAGGCTGACAAAGAGCATCCAGAGGGACCAAACCTAGTGGAAGCATGATGTAAGCCTGGTTCATCTCGGCTGAGACCGCTTCTAAACGCCAAGATCACCCGGGGCCAAGGCACCGCCGGACTGAAGGAGACGAAGCCCTGGACGGACCCCTTCCCCGGCTGGATGCAATAAAATCGATGCCCGTCAAACGCATGAACATAGACGGCGCTTGATGAAGCGGGGGAAGCAAATCGAGGAAACGCAGCTGAGGTTACAGCGATTCGATTCGAGAATCAGCTTACTCAGCAACATTGGGCCATTTCAGCAGCGGCCATTGGAGCGAGCTCGAGACCCATAGAATGAAAGGAAGAATCGTTAGAAATCACAACACGCGCCTACACACAAGGATCAGCTGGACAGATCGAGCGCCACATCAGTTTGAAAGAGGGATTGGTAACAGGGTGGAGAAGACCCCAGACCTGAAAGTCGAGAGCATGAGCTGCCAGACTAGTGGCCACCGGAACTCCCTTTCCTGAAATTCGCGGCCAAACCCTCACGGCCCCGCGGTCGGCCCCTTGAAAAGCCCTGGAGGACCGCGGCAACGACAAGAACGACAACGCCGACAACTCACGATTGTAGCTCTCGAGACAGCGCGCTTCCGCGACTTCCGGCAACAGAGACTGCTCCAGAGTCCGCGGGTTGAAGCGTGAATTCGTGCAACGAGGACTCCTACGGCGCCATCGGACAGGAAGGCTCTACCGATCTCTTCCAAACGGAAAGTTCTGCTGCCTCCTCGAAGCGCTTCAAAATTCAGTCCGGCGTAACGGCAATAGTTCCTACCGAGTCTGAGCTCTCCCACACCTCCACACCCTCCGCGCCCTCCCTGCTCACAAACAACCGGTCGCCACCACCTTCCATCCTCCTTATCACCCCCCGTGCTGCGTGCTCCACCCTATCCACAAAGTTCCTCCGGAACGCCGGTTTTCTCTGCTCCTCCTCCGCCCCCGCCGCCACCACCACCGCCGCCGCCCTCTCCTCCTCGTCTCGCTCATCGATCGGTGACCACACCTCCAATCCCTCGGTTCTGCTCACAAAGACCTGCTTCTTGTAGCAATGCAAGATGCCGCCCTCGCCGCCACTGTCGCTCCTCAGCCCTGCGCTCCGCTCCTCGAGGTACACCCAGGGGTCGTCCCCCAGCATCCTGAGGTCCGCGACCCCTACGTCCCCCGATTTCCAGCATACCTTGTAGATGGCCGGCGAGGGCTCCTCCCAGTCGACGTCCGCGTCGGCAAAAGAGTCTCCGAATCGAGTACTGCTCCTCCCGGACCCGGGCTCCGTCGTCTCCCATACTGCCTCCCTCGTCCGGGGATCCCACAGCCTCATGTAGCCCGAGTACCCAAAGGCCCCCGCGCTGACAGCGGACGCAAAGAGCAGCCCTCGGCCCCGAACCGTCACCAGCTTCGTCGCCACGGTCGATTTGATGGAGCTCCCACTGAGCCGCCCGATCTCACCAGAGGGCCGCAGCGTAGCACGGTCCACGGCAAGGATGCAGTTCTCGCGGTGAGGGCACTCGAAGGCGGCGTAGATGGTGTCGCCGTCGGACCCGGGGTCGGCGGCTATCGCGGAAACCGTGGCCTTGTAGACCCTGGGGTCGGATGCGTCGGTCCAGTGGACGGCACCAATGTGGCGGCCGCGGGCGGTGTCGTAGAGGTGGAGCCCGGGGGACTCTGCAGACCCGACAACAGCGACGTCCTGCCAAGCGCGGCGGAGTGATGTGATATCGTCGAGGTGCGTCCGGACGGTGCCGGCGTGGGAGAGGGTCCAGTCATAGGAGGAGATCTGCCCGCCGTGGGCGATCCAGAGGGAGCCGTCCTCGGCTCCAGCAGAAAACGCGGTCGCCACCCCGTCGGCGGCCGGGCGGATGTCGGCGACGGGAGCAGCGTCGAAACCGATGAGCGGACGCGGGGCCGCCGCAGCTCGGAGGAGGGGCTCAATCCCATAGTAGAGTCCCTCCTCCGCTAGCTCCCTCATGGGGAAGCGGCGGGCAGTGGAGGGGAGGGAGCCGGTGCGAAGGATGAAGAGCAAGACGGAGAATATCTCCGGATCGCGGTCGATGAAGATGGGCCGGCGGCCGGCACCGGAGAGGACGGCAAGGAGGGAATCAGGACCGCCGGAGCGGAGGGTGGAGGCGGTAGTCTGGAAGATGACGCCGCCGACGTTAAGCTCGACGCGGTCGTCGGGTTGGGTGGTGGAAGTGTCGTGGGACTCCATGTCGTGGCCGCCGGAGAAGCCGCAGGGGAAGCAAGGGGGGAAGGCGATGGAGGAAGACCACACAGCGAGCCGAGAAAAAGGGAATCAGAAGGAGAGGATCCATCAGGGCCATTGACATTTCAACCCTTCACGATCGCCGCACGTTACCATGGAGTCTCCCCCGACCCGCGTCGACGGCAGGTGGGAAGTAAATGAATTAACCCGAAGGAAGGCTCCGCCGGCTCGCCCACGGGCCACGTCGCAGAGGGGGCCCGTGAATTAAGCCGAAACTGCGATCCAATAGCACCCAATGCTGACGACTCCGTGTTTAAGATATGGCTCGTATCTGTTTGAGCCTAATGTGACGAAGCTGGTCAGGGGCCACACATTATTGGGCTGCGCATTGGCCAAACGATGCTAAAGGAGTTGGGAAGGGGAGAAAGGGCTGATAGCTAATGAAGGAAAAAAACACTGAAGGCTCTGGAATGCCATTGGAGAGAAAGAAATCACCTTCGAGGTCCAAATCCTAGAGCAAAATTTGATTAAGATTGTGGAATGTTATAAGCGCCACAAGAAGGGCATATCAAGAGAGACTATACACGGCTAAACTATGAAAATATTGAAAAGAACAGGTCTTCTACCTGTACAAATGTTGTAGAACTGGATCATAAAGCACTTACGTGGATATGTTGTTAGCAATAGCTGCAACATAGAAAATATCGGATCCCTTGAATAATAGACATAAGGTGTTTGTATCACATGTTCAGATATAGATTTGTTTGACACTTATACATTAATTCTCTCTGGATTTTTTGTCGTAGGAAATGATGCCTCAAATGAAGTCATTGAAATAAATTTGATGATACATTGAAGACAATTGGAGATCTGAGAAACATTTGTGTCCTAAAGAAAACTTTAATTTCATTAAAAACATTATATCCACATGGCTTCACATTTAGTTAAAAATAGAATTTTGAAGATATTTAAAGAGGAGATAGTAGTTATGAAAGCAAAGAAACTAACATAAGATATATACAAATTGTTTGGGAATACAGTTTTAGGTGGAGCTTCATCAACTACACCAGAACATTTTACAATAGACAATACATCATTAATGGACATGAGATTCGTATGAAATAACTTTATCTGAGATGTTTGTAATGAGAGTCAAGACCTACATGTTAAATTTCTACAAATACTATGTTATGGGAAAGTATTATGTGCATTTTTATGTTTGGAAACCTTTGACTTTAATGCCCAACTATGATTCTACTACTTTGTATATTTTATTAATAATTATTTCAGGTAGTCTATGTTTACTTCATGGAACAAAATTCAGAAATTTTTACAAAAATTGAATTTGGAAAATAAATGAAAAATAAGACATAAGTCTTGAGAATTGATATTAATATAGAGCATACGGATTCAAAAGTTTTCAAATGTCATCAAGAGCACATGATTAAGGCATACTTCGCAACAAGAAAAGTACCACAACAAAAGGATGTTCTAGAGAAAATCAACATAACAGTTGAAGAAAGAGGTACATGAGATTGTGAGTAAACGTAATAAATATTACTTATTATCTACTCATAGGTCACTAAGAGTTGTTCCCAATGAGAAGGTTGTTGAAGAGACTTGGACACAAAAACAAGTAAACTATTTAAATCTGAGGATGTTTGGATATCTTAGTCATGCTCATATTACAAATGAAGAAAGATGAAAGCTCAACTTAAAATCAAAAAGTTATATCTGATTAGGCTACAAAGATGGAGTTAAATAATAAAAAGTTCAGAATCTAGCAACAAAGAAGACTATAATTAATAGCGATTTTGTATTTGATGAAATATTCATGTTAAAAACCCTTGATGAAGAGCAAGTGAACTAGAAATGAAAATACTATTAGACAGAGTATTCTAACGAAGGTTGATGAGAAAATCAATCAATTAAAAAGTACTAAAATGATATAATAACTTGAAAAAAAATTAAAATAAACTTGCAGTAGCGAAGCTAAAAGCATCATAAAACCACATGAAATATGATTTTGTGGATCACATTTCTTTTACTTTGACTAAAAGTGAAGATAAACCTTTATATATTTATATATTAGTTAATTAAAAGGAAAAAGATGAATGGAGGAAGCATATGATGAAGAGCATAATCACCCAATAAGGATAGGACATGAGATATAGGTCAGCCTCCTAAAGAATATAAAGTAATTGGATACAAATGAGTCTCCAAGTAAAAAGAGGAGATGTCATAAAAAGAAGGGTAGAAGTTCAAGGCACTATTAGTGGTCAAATGATATTCACAAAAAAATGAATAAAATATGACGAGATATTTTCTCAAGTGATGAAACAACAAATTAATCAAAACAACATTATATATATACAATAGAAAATGAAGATATGAAGTTAGAACAACTTGATGTGAAGATTAAATTCCCCCATGATAACTTGGAATCAATATTTACATAAGAGTAATTCGAAATGTTCAAAGAAATAATTTTATATCACTTTATTTATATTGAAGATGTTTTGTGCATTGACATAAACTTTAAGGTAATGGTGAGAGAAATTTGAGCCTTTAATGATTCAAATTGGTTACATTTGTTGCACGTATAATTGTTATGTTTATATAATATGTCTTTGAGAATGAATTTTATATTGTCTAAATGTTATATGAAGATGATATGGTGATAGCTACGAATTAATTATACTATAAAACTGAAATCTATGATGAATAAAGATTTTGGAATGACAAAAATAGTTTGCATGGAAATTCAGAGAAATAAAAAGAAGGATAGTTATAGATATTCTAAAAGAACATGTTAAAAATATTTTAAAATTATTTGGCATGAATGATACCAAATAGATTAGTATGCCCTTAGTTAATCACTTTCAAACTATGTAAAAGTCAAAGTTAAAAGATAGAGGAAGAGATTGAAAACGTTATCAACATATCCTATGTCAATGTAGTGGGTGGTTTTATGTATATCATAATTTGCATTTACTTGACATAGTTTAGGTCATTAGTGGGGTGAGTAGATTTATGAGAAATGTAAGAAATGAGAATTTGAAGTCAATTAAATAGATTTTAAAATGTTTAAAAGGTTTTACATATACTATTTCAAAAACAAGATATAGTATCAATAGGATGATATATAGATGTGGATTTTACACGAGATGAATAATTAAAGATGTACAAAAGGCTATGTGTACAAGGCAGTTGATTTCTAAAAATAAAGGTTGAGCATATGTTGGTGGCTAAAGTTGTAAAGGAAGTCTTGTGGATGGAATGTTTGCTAAGGAACTTAGAATTGATCAAGGTGGAGTTATGTTATATTGTTATACTCAAATTGTCATTTATTAGGGAAAGACTGAATACATCATAAAGAACCAAACATATTGATGAATGATTTCACAAGATTAGGGAATTGGTGAATTCAGGAGATATATTATTTGAAAAAATCAACTCTATAGAGAATATTACAGACATATTGACCAAGGTAATTATAATAGAATATTTTAACCAATGGTTTAGTGTGATTCAAGTGTCAGCATGTTTATAATGAGAATTTCTCCCCTTGAAGTAGTTCAAGATGGAACATAATTAAGAGATTTCCAAGGTGGCTGAAATATTAGCCAAGGTAGAGAGTGTTATGTCTCATATCTCTTTGAGCCTAGTGAAGACATTAGACAAGGGCCATTTACTAGGCCGTACATGGGCTAACAGAGGCGAAAAGAGGTCGGAATGAGAGAAAGAGCGCCGGTGCCGTATCTTTTATGTTATATTAGGGGGTACTTTTGTAATATCCTCATGAGATGAGATGGGGAATAAATACTACGTGGAAATGTAATCTTCCATGGTTTTTGAATCAACAACGCAGCCTGATTTCTCATGCTCTCTTTCTCTCTCTCACTCTCTCTCTCACGAGAAGATATGAACTCGTAATTTGCAGTGAGTTCTGGTTCTATTTCTCTTCTTCTTCCAGTCTTCATTCATCATTTTTGTTGTTTTCTTGTTTGGATTCGCCTTTCATCCTCACCCTCTGCTCATCTTGCTCCCTGCGTGGGACGACGACGGAAACTTGCGTCGGGGGCGGAAGAGGCAAGCCCAGCCCTCCTTGTAGCGCGCCGAGGCTAGGAGGGCCCTGATTTGACGTTGAGCTCGGGAGTCGGCGCGCGTATACCTTAGAGAGATGAACGAGAGTTTCCACAACTCAACTCTGATTTCCTTGCCGGGTCGATTTCAGGCGCCTCACGTCTCCTCCCATCTGGCACTCCACCTTAGCGGTAGACCCCGGTGTCGCCTGTTATGGAAACCTGGCGCAGTGAGTTCAATGCCCGGCTAATCGCCGCAGCGCGAGGAGCTTCCGTAATTGAAGGCCCCTCCCAGGGTGGAAACTTGCACCCAAGAGGATGGACAGCCCCCGCGCTCCTCGTCGGGAGGCTAATCCAGCTCCACCAGCGGGCTGCTGCCTTTTTCCCACAGTTGTTCAGGGATGAAGCCATCAATTCTCTCCTTGGCCCGATTCATCATCTCTTTCAACCGAGGACGAGGTTTCCTAAATCGCTGCCGCGCCGAGCTAGCACCCGCTTGTCCGAGATCTCCTTGGATTAATTTCCCGGGATCCTCGACGGCTACCGCCCGTGCGTTCGCAGCAGCTCCGATGATCCCCTTTCTTCATTAATTGCCAACGCCTCCCCGCATCTTCGGCATTCTCCTTCAAAAGCCCGCCGACGAACTAGCCGGTGATGAAGACTGGTGCGTAAGCATAGAGCAGAGAGGGGTGACGATCGAGGGCCTCTGTCGTCTCTTGGGGTCTTCGGCTGGTTCGCTGCCAATGGTGAGGAGGAGGAGCATGGGTCGGCAGAAGATCGAGATCAAGAGGATCGAGAACGAGGAGGCCCGGCAGGTCTGTTTCTCCAAGCGGCGATCCGGCCTCTTCAAGAAGGCCAGCGAGCTCTCCATCCTCTGTGGTGCCGAGATCGGGGTCGTCGTTTTCTCCCCCGCCGGCAAGGTCTTCTCCTTCGGGCACCCGTCTGTCGAGAGCGTCGTCGACCGTTTTCTCGGCGAGCCCCGGCCGGGAGGAGCCGTCGTCCCTGCCGGTGCGCCTCCCTACCCCGCCTTCAAGGACCTGAACCGCCAGCACACGGAGCTGTCTAACAGGCTGGAGGTCGAGAAGAAGAAGAGGGAGGAAGCAGAGAAGACCCTGAAGGCCGCGGGCGAGCACTACTGGAGGGACCTGGACACGGACGGCCTCGGTCTGGAGGAGCTGGAGAGGTTCAGACTCTCCGTCGAGCTGCTCAAGTGTAACCTCGCACAGAGGGCCGAGAAGCTCCTGCTCGAGGCCGCCACCCCAGCATCGGGGTCAGCGCCGACGCCCGGGAGTCTCGCCAGGTTCGCCAGCCGGAACCCATTCCTGGTGAAGGAGGAGGGCAGCGGGATCGTCTTCTGCCGCGGCGGCTTCGGGTTTCCCCATGGACTCCACTGAGGAAAAGGTAAGGCGGCGGATTCTCAGGGTGGGTCGAGATGCTGGCGGTGTCCCCGAAGTTTCTTCTCTTCTCTTTTCCGTAATTCCGCGAGCTGAGGCCGTGGACCACAAGAAATCCGTGCCAAACACAGTTCGATTGTAAACAATCACGACTCCGGGGATTCGACCGACCGATCGATAATGATCCTAACCAGCCGTTCCCCGACCCTTGATGGATCAGATCTCACGAGGTGTGAGCGGGCGCCCTCTCGCCACGTTCCCCTTGAGAGGACCGCCACGGAGGCAGGAGAAAACACCGCCGCTCGCCTTCGCCCAGTGGCGGCGCGCATTTTCGCATAAGCCCCTACTCGAGAGAAGCCCTGCGTGCCGACCCTTGGATAAGACACCTGTGGACAGCTTGTGCACATCGCACGCTGCCCTTGCGTGAGGTAGAGATTGGCAGAGATCCTCGGCCGTCCGATGAAAATTCAACGGCATTGGAACCTCCTGGCCCGGGTGATCCCTTCCTATTTACACCTCCCGGCGGGCGCCTGACTGCCTCCCACCACACGACGCTGCTGCTCTTGGCCTGAACGAAGGGAAGGAAGAAAGGAAGGGAGATGGCTTCGCTGGGCCTGGGTTTTGGCAGTGCCGCGGTGAGAGGGAGGGTGTTCGCCGCGACAGCGGCGGGGAAGAGCACCGGTGGAAGCGGCGAGGAAAAGGGGCTGCTGGACTGGATCCTGGGCGGCCTGCAGAAGGAGGACCAGCTGCTGGAGACGGACCCCATCCTGAAGAAGGTGGGGGAGAAGGATGGCGGCCGGTCCAGAGGAACCACCTCCGTAGCCGTCCCCAACAACAACAACAAGAAAAACGGTGGTTTCGGCGGCCTCTTCGCCAAGAAGTGAACTGGACGCTCCAAATCGCCGTCGCCCCCCTCTCACACACCTTGAATTATCATCCCTTCCCCACCCCTTCACTTCCCATTAAACCAGGAGCTCTTTCTTGCTGTGAGAGGGCGGTACTCTGTAACTCGCATTGTGCAGCGTGGGAAATCTTGGTAATTCGAGCGCACAAAGGGCCTCCCAATTTGGCAGCCTTGTCCCCCTCCCCTCCTCATCCCCTCCCCTGACGGATCTCCAACGATTCGTCTCCGCGCGATCGGGCATTCCCGGGCGACCGAAGATCCGGCTCATAGAGAGTAGTAGTACTAATCGTCCATGACTGCACCCGCCGTCGCCCCACAGGGGGGCGCGAGCGACAATCTCTTCCGCGGAGGAAACAATTTCTTTTCTCCCGGTCGGAGAGTCGAATCAGTCGAGCATCATGCGATCGTTCGCCCGCTCCGGCGACCCTCGTTAAATCAGAGTATCCCCTAGAAACCAAGATTTCGAACCAGCCCCGTCGTACGATCGCTAGAAGGACCCCGCTTCGCTATGCTCTGTTTTCGTACAGCCCATCGGTACTCGACTTCGTCGTTCTCCGCCTTACCTGTATCCTGGTAATACGCCTCCAACGTTACGTCACTCGTGCGACCCCACAAGCGCTGGAGTCATATACTGGCAACAGAACGCCAAGCCAGCCGAAGACAGGAGGCGGGCGCTTCGGCTCTCGGACATTCAGAGAATGCGATTCCGCCGATGTACTTGATTTGATATTGTTTCCAAACATCTCGAATGCCGCAGGAAAAACAGAAAAGAAGAAGAATTTCTGTTCTCTCCACCGTAGATTCTTCCGGTGGAGATTCAGAGAGATAAAATGAGCTAGTAGTGGTCGGCTCAAATTCTCCCACAAGACGACGGAAACGACAGGCAGGGGATCCGGACACTCGACGTGCCCCCCTCCTGCGAGCTTCGAACGACGGTCTGCCTCATTTCCTGCAGATCGAGGAATGGGAGACCCATCCTTTGAAGTATAGGGGGAGCCATCTTGAGCTTCTCCAATACGTAAACTTCAACTCGAGTCGATGATCTCCGATAGCTCGTTTATGGGATAACTTTTGTCACAAGGATGAGATAACTATGGCGGCCACATAATCCGGTGAATAAGATGAAGGTCGCCGTAAAATGCCGGGATTTCCATCGCCAAAAAGCACCGTAGGTTTGCCATGAGGCTTCTCCCTAGCTTCTTTCCGCGTCAAAAACTGCATACTGGCTTCTTCACCTCATGGCCAGGACTGCCCGGATGGCCTGAAGCTCATCTCCGACCAGTTGCTCTCAGTAGAGACCTGCGCCAACCGGCGGTGCACTCCCTCGAGGAAATGGGAAGCAAATCTAGTTAGAAGACAACCATCGGATGCCTAAAATGTGATTGAATTTCTGGTGAGCGACAGTGTTGGAATAAGTAGACCAAAGCTTACGGCAGCTCAGCCCTTACCCATCCAGCCATAACTGTCTCATTCAAGGACCATTGCCACTGATATCCGCTGCAGGTCAGGCCACTGCTTGACGCTAGCAGAGCTCAATGTCTTGAAGCCATTACCCAGGAGATCTAGCATCATTACGCAGGAGGTCTTCTGCGGTTTAAAGGGGAGGAAAAGAGGGCGATCTGGGGAGAGATGCTTCCCTCGAAATGCTCAGCCGTTTCCCCGCTATCATTCGATCGCTACGCCAAGAAGGAAAATCTTGAATGAAGGCCACGGGAAGACGAGTGATGATGCCCTCAAGTGGAAAGAAAATATGGTCACACGTCTCTTTATCGTGGGTAATGACTACAGGCAACGGCCTCTTAGTTGAGGATACGACGGTAATCAAAGCGTAGCACCTCTGCTCAGCGCGCACGCGGGCATCCAAACAAGATCTTGCCTGACCGTGAAAGCCGGGAGGAACTGAGATGAAGTTCCGACCGCCTCACATCCCCCGCGTGTCTCAGAGGAGAGCGGTCGTGAGGAAGATATTAGTACCCTGATCATCCCTTTCCGCCGCATCCCTCTCGATTCTCTTTGAAATCTCGCTCTCTCTGCGCTGGTAAACCTTCTTCCAGCTCTAGTCCTCCCCCACAGCGAGGCCATTATACTTGGTCTCGGCTTCTACGAATCTTCCCATTTCTAAACGCTTGCCAACACGATGTTGAGCAAGGAGGCGATGAAGCCTCATGGGGAGCACGCCCACTCCATTCCTCCTGGCAGAAAATGCCACCTGGTTGTTCAGAGAGTTGAGTTTTTGGGCCGTCGTTTACGCCGTTCCTCGGAATTCCAGTCGGCTGACTTGGGGAGTCGGTCCTCGCTTGAATTCGTTTTCAGTGGAGACATCAAACAGTGTAGAAGGCCCTCGGAAAGTTTATCTTCTGGGTTCGGGAGGACTATCAATAACCTGTGACGAAGTTATAAGAGTGGGCTAATATCATGTCTGGTTCTTCGGCATTTCTGTGGTTTACGGGTAGTGGTTGGTTGATGTTTCGGCGCTACTCGGCGGCTGTCCGTATGGCCTGCACAGATTCAAGAATCGAACTTTTCTTTTCCTCCTGAAGTTGAGAATGATCGAGAACTTTGTGCTGTATTCCATTCTTCGAGGGAGACTGCATCTTTTGACTTTTTATTTTTGGTGCAGTGAATCCGCGAGGTCCACAATCAAGGAAGGTCTCACATGATTTACTGATTGTGGCCCATGGCTGACTTTCTAGGGCCATTTCTCCGAAGCAGCCGTCGATGTGAGAAGATTATTCCGGAGTCCGTCCGGATTCGCTCTCGTTGCATCCGAAACTCACACTGTCCAGAGTTCTTCTCCAGCGAGTGAATCCCCAGTGGAGGCCGGTAGAGCAGTGTCGCGCGTTCAGAAACAAGTTTCTCGAGTTCAGAGACTCATATCGAGGATCCTTACAGACTAATTCGATGACGTTTATGTCCCTCCTTTCCGACGACGGTGGGTCCGGATGTTGGCAAAAACTCCACGGAATGATTGGGACAATCGTTCCTTGAGCAGACCCCGGCCTCTTTCCCCGGGGAGGATAGGGATCACCAGTAGTCATGGCAAGAACAGGCGCCATTCTCAAAATGATGGAAACGGCTGGAGTCTCTGACGATTATTCTACAGTTCGTGATCTTCGATATCAGCTTCGTCACGGTGTGGCAATCCCCGCAGACGCGAAGGTTCTTGACGACGTGGATCGTCAGCCCTGGCTCTGTGTTGAGAAGGGCGAACGAGATGGCCAGTCGTTCGCTGTGGCCGTGGAGAAACGACGTCTTCTCTTCCTCCACCACATTCAGCAGCACGGCGCTCGTGTCCGGCACGTAACCCACGCCCTCCATCCTCTTCCGCAAGTCGTCCCAGAGCCCGCTCATGCTCTTGTACTGCGGATGCGAGCGGTCGCCCACTCTGAACGCGTGGATGACGTTCTTGACCTAGGTCCAGCTGCATCCCGGAGTCTTGGTCAGGCCCGCGCGCCCCATCGTCTTCCTCACGCTCCTGGCGTCCGTCCACCTCCCGAGCTGAGCGTAGATGCTGGACAGCACCACATAGTGAGCGGCGTTCTGAGGCTCCAATCTCACCAGGTTCTTCAAAGCGACCTCCCCCATCCTGGCGTTGGAGTGCATCCTGCAAGCGCCCAGCAGAGCTCCCCAGACGCCCGCGTCGGGCGGCATCGGCATCCTCCGGATCAGATCCCACGCCTCGTCCAGTAGACAGGAGCGCCCGAGCAGGTCGACCATGCACGCGTAGTGCTCCAGGTTTGGCCCGGCGCTGCGGTCAGAGCCCATGGAGTCGAAGATCCTCCTCCCTTCCCCAACCAGACCCCCGTGCCGGCAGGCGGACAGGACAGCAAGGAACGATACTGAGTCGGGCAAGACGCGGTTCTCGGGCATTCTGGAGAACAGCTCAACGGCGTCTTCACCTAGGCCGTGCGCCGCGAGACCAGAGATCATGACGTTCCAAGAGACGACGTCCTTGCTCTCCATTCGGTCAAAGAACTCCCTGGCGAGATCCACCCGTCCGCACTTCGAGTACATGTCGATCAGGCTGTTCCCGATGACCACATGCGACTCGAACCCGACCTTGATCACGCCGCAGTGCAGAGTCAGGCCCTCCCAAAGGAGAGCAAGGTACGCGACAGCGGGGAGGATGCAGACGTAGGTGACCAGATTCGGCTTGAGGTTCTCCCCCCGCATCTGGTGGAAGGCCGACACGGCTTCTTTGGAACGCCCGTTCTGCGCGTAGCCGGCGATCATCGTGTTCCACAAGATGTCGTCTCCGGAACCTGCCGCCACACGGAACAAATTCTCGGCGGCGGTGAAGTCACCGCACTTGGCGTACATATCCACGAGCGCGTTCTTCACATGAAGGTCGGACCCGAGGCCGCTCTTGACGATCAGCCCGTGAGCAGACGTGCCGCGGGGGAGGTCGTTCAAGAGGGAGCAAGCAGGCAAGACGCCCACCATGGTCCCTGCATCCGGACGCAGCCCCGTCGCCCCCATTCGACGGAACGTCTTCATGGCGTTGGTGGCGTCTCCTCTCTGCGCGTACCCATTGACCAGTGCATTCCATGCGACGACGTCCTTGCAGGGCGAGGCGTCGAACAGGGAATGCGCCCAACGAAAGAGCCCATATTTCGCATAGATCGCCACAAGGGCTGTAACGATCGAGACATCCGAGCCGACGCCGGACCTCAGGACGAATCCGTGCACGCTCTTTCCCAGCTTCTTGTCCTGTACTTGTGCGCAGGCTGGAAGCACGCTGATTACCGTCACCCGGTTCGGCCTCAGGCCCCTCCTTTGCATCTCGGCGAAGAGGGACAACCCGTCTCTGGGATGCCCCGTCTGGGCGGAGGCGGAGATCACTGCGGACCATGCGACGACGTCTTTGTCCTCAATGCCGTCGAAAAGGCCTCTTGCCCCTTGAAAGTCGCCACATTTCGCATACATGGTCACGAGCGCCGTGCCCACCGAGACAGCCGAATCGATCCCCGCCTGCCCGGCATAGGCATGGATCTCCTTGCCCCTTTCCAGATCTCTCATCTCCGTCGCGGCCATCAACGCGCCCACCACGGATACCTGGTTCAGCCCGGCGTTGTCCTCTCTCAATCTGTCGAACAGCTCCAGCGCCTGCGTGAAGAGGCCGTTGCTGACGTACCCGGAGATCATCGACCCCCACGTGACGGCGTCTCTACTTCCCGGCATTTCGTCGAAGATCCGGCGAGCGGCCCCAACTCCTCCGCACTTGCAGTAGGTGTCGATCAACCCGTTATTCACACTTGGCAACCAATCTCTCCGGACCACAAAACCGTGCACGGCCCTGCACAGCAAGATATCTGATAGCTTGCAAATTGCCGGGAACAGGCTCAGGACAGTGATCGAATTCGGCCCCAGACCAGCAGATGCCATCCTAATAAAAAGCGTCAAGCTCGCCCGAGGCTCGTCGCAGTTGGTGAACCCGAATATCATGGCGTTCCAAGAGACCACATCCGTCTCAGGCATTGTGTCGAACAGCTCCCATGCAGTCCGGAGCATCCCCAATTTGGCATACATGTCGACAAGGGCGGTGCGTACGTAGATGTCGATGTCAAGGCCCCTCCGGGAAGCCTCACGGTGGACCGATGCACCCACCGCCACGTCGCCGGCCGCGGTGCATGCCCGGAGCACCAACGGAAAGGTGTACTTGTCGGGCTCGACTCCCCGGCTAAGCATGTCCCAGAAGCAACGGAGGGCACAACCGGGCCAACCCGCTCTGCTGTACGCTCTGATCATAGAGTTCCATGTCGAAACGCCCGCATAAGCCGCCGAGCTGAGGACGGACCTGGCCGAAGCGAGCAACCCGAGGGACGCGTAGCTCGTGACGAGCTGGGCAGCGGCGGTTGCGTTTGGGAGGACGCCCTGGACGGTGAGAAGCGAGTGGGCCGCTCGCAAGCGGTCGGCGTCTGCGCATGATCGGAGGATAGCCAAATAGTCGATTAGGAGGCGACGAGGGGCGTGGGCCGACTGCAATTCCGGCAGTTGAGCGAATCTCCTCCCCACAGACAACGCCCTCGCCACAGCAGCTGAAGAGTAGAGAGGCCTGGCTAGGGGGTGTCGGAGGAGCATAACTCTCGCGGACGCGGCATAGCAGCGGCAGCGCCCTGGCTCTACGATGCGAACTGAGCTCAGCTTAGGCGCGAATTCGTCACCGGAAGAAGAACACCCAACGTTGGGGGCTAACTGGACACCCAAGGATAGGTGAGATGCGATGAGGGCCCATAACGTCACAGCTATGGGTGTCCAAGTCTGACTGTTCAATATGATTGAGGCCCAGGTTGAACGCTCGGCCCAGGCGTCTCAGCCTCGGCTCTGTTCTATGGTCGGTGATTCTTGGATCAGATTTCGTTTATCCCGAAGGTGAAGTTGACCCAACTGGCTACGACTGTAGATCCCCCTCTGAAGCTGCGCATTTGCTCTCTAAAGCTCTCTCTCTCTCTCTCTCTCTCTCTCTCTCCAAAGTCTGGAAGAGGAGTGAGGCGACGGCAAGACGGACGGATCCCGCGGATTGCTTCCCCACTTCGATCGTCATTTCTGGTGCTACCACGTGTGCATTAGCACGAGTGGAGTCCCAACCGCAGCTCGCGGTGTTCCCGCGGACGCAGGCGCGATGATCGTCTCCAGATTTCCAGTCCCACAGCGACGTAGAAAGAGGAAAAGATAGACGGTTGGCGCTCAAGCACTCCCTCCCATCACCTTTCTCTCCCCATCCCTCCGAATCTCGTCTCTCTCCCGTCCTGTTTGGTTCTTCTCTCTCTCTCTCTCTCTCTCTCTCTCTCTCTCTGTCTATCGCCGTTCCTACAAACAGCGTTTTCGTCCTCCAGTCGAATTCCGAGTAAGCCTCATCACTACTGATGGCGTCTGCCGGGCTGAGCCCCACGACGGCGGTGAACGTTGTCACGGCGAGGCGGCGTGCGACGGAATCGGAGGTCAACGTGGAGAGTACGCCCCCGAAGGCGACTCAATCGGAGGAGGCTAAGGCCAACGGCCACGACGGGGCCGTCGACCAGCACAACCATCACGGCCACGTCCACCACCACCGGATGAGATCGGTGGCCCGGCGGGCGTGGAGGTGGAGGATCGTAGCGGCAGTCTAGTCAGCCGTCAGCCTTGCGTCCGTGCTGGTCGCCGCCTCCCGGTTGAATGCCACCGGCAGGGAGGAGGAGGACGATGGTGAAGGCGGCGACGGGTGGTTCCCCATCGACAACGGTAAGAGCAGGATCAACTCCGCTGTCCATGACGCGAAGAGTGGGTTGGTGAAGGAGCCGAGCGTGACGTAGACAGAAGGGGCCCTCACCCCCACGACGGCGGAGGTGAGACTAACGTGACGTGATGATTCCCTTTTTGCCTTTTCCTCTCCTTCCCAGCGCCTTTTTCCATCTGGTTTGAAGGGTTAGGATCAAGATTGAATAATTCCGTTTATTCAAGGTTAAAACTAATCGATCTTTTTTATCTGCTCTCCCGCCGGATCGACGAAACAATGGAGGAGAAACCCCCCGGCGCTCTTCTTTGTTTGAATCGGCGGACGTCACCGCGTCCAGATCGTTTCGATGCCTGTTCACCGCCACCATTCTTGCCCGACCAAGATTTGATTTCGATCCATTTACCCTGGCGCCTGCAATTCGAAACCTAGGAAGCTGTCCATCGTGTTTATAAGTTCCAATCTTCCTGATGCTTGCATGGGAGGAGATCCTGTGATGGTTTATTCATCGCGCTAGGGCCATAATCGGACCGATGGTTCTATCTCAATTGAAATCCCGGTTTCACCATCTCAACTCTCTCAGTCAGTCTTTAATGGTGATGACTCCCTTCTCAGGTCTTCGAGCTCTGGCAGAAACCGGCGAATGGAGGCAACTACTTCGAGTGCATCGAGCGCCCACGGAATCGATACAGTACACTCAATGATAATATTAATAATCCTAATAATACTAATATAGTTTTCTGAACCTCGGGCAGTTTCTCCTCAGACGTTCGCTTCTTCTTCCTCAGGGACGCAACCCTCGGACGGATACATCCTAGTCATGCTAATGGCGGCCTGAACCAGATGAGGATGGGGGTAAGCATGCCCGCGTCCCCTCTTCTAGACCAGCCGCAGCTGTCTCAAAATTGCGGTTGTCGTCTGAGATCTGCAGATCTCCGACATGGTGGCGGCGGCGAAGATGATGAACGCAGGGCTGGTTCTCCCTTTCCTGGATCACGCCTCCTTCTGGGCGGACCCCAGGTACGAGGAGAAGAGACGAGGCGAGGTACTCCCTCCGCAACCGTTGTACAGTAGTCGAACGTACTCATTCTGTGCATCGCTGCAGCGGCTTCAAGGACATATTCGACTGGAAGCACTTCCTCAATGTCTTGAAGGACGACATCGAGGTCGTGGAGTCGCTTCCTCTGCGGTACCGGCGGGTGAAGCCCGCAGAGAAGGCTCCGGTCTCCTGGTCCAAGGTTAGGGCGGACGGACCAGCTCCCCAGATCTCCTCCCGATCTCGAGGAGCGGTGGCGGTGGATTCACTAATGTAATGCCCTGTTTCCCTGGACAGAGTAACTACTACAAGCAGGAGATGCGGAGGCTTCTCCTGCGACGAAAGGTCATCAACATCACCCGCACCGACTCCCGCCTCGCCAACAACGGCATAGCGCCGTCGCTGCAGAAGCTCCGCTGCCGGGCCAACTACTGGGCCCTCCGCTACACGGCGGAGATCGAGGAGATGGGGAGGAAGCTGGTGAGGAGGCTGAGGCGCGAGGGTTGGGAGAGGCAGCGCGAGCCCCAACCCTTCACCGCCCTCCACCGCTCTCCACCTGAGGTACGAGAAGGACATGTTCTCCTTCACGGACTGCACCCACGGCCTCTCCGCGGAGGAGTCGAGGGAGCTGGAGGCGATGCGTTGGAGCACGGCGAACTGGAGGGACAAGCTGATTAACGGCACCGACGTTCGGCGCCGGGGGGGCTGCCCGATGACCCCCCGGGAGGCAGCCCTCCTACTCAAGGCCATGGGCTATCCCTCGGTCACGAACGTCTACATCGCAACCGGGGAGATCTACGGCAGCCGCACCATGGACGCCTTCCTGGCCGAGTTTCCGAACGTGCACACCCACTCCAGTCTCGCGACGGCGGAGGAGCTGGGGCCCTTCGCAGGGTACAGCAACAGGCTCGCCGCTCTAGATTACGTCGTCGCCCTCGGCAGCGACGTCTTCGTCTACACCTACGACGGGAACATGGCCAAAGCGGTGCAGGGCCATCGCAAGTTCGAGGGATTCAGGGTAACCCTCAACCCCGACAGGTAGGTGACAGAACGTCCGATTTCCGCTGTGCTCCTCTCTGCCCCCGGAGAACGACGGACGAGTTCTCGTCTTCGTGTCGCCAGGCGGAGGCTGGTCAAGCTGGTCGACGAGATGGACGCGAGGGAGTTGACGTGGGAGCAGTTTGCGTTGGCGGTGAAGGGGCACCACGCGGGGCGGCGCGGAGGTCCCAGCAAGAGGCGTGCCGGGGAGACGGCGCAGGTGGAACCAAAGACCGAGGAGAATTTCTACGCCAATCCCTTCCCCGACTGCATATGCGCCGAGGGCGGCGCAGCTGCGAGGGGCAGCAACAGGAGGAGGCTCGGTCGCCGGCGATGAAACGAGGTCTATTGATTATTATCTGCGAGGCCAATGGTGGAGCGGGTGGATGGGTGGGCAAGCAGCTCCGATCTCATTCCCTGCGTTCTGGGAGCTGACTGGAACCGATTGTCATAGCTACGCATCCATTCGATTCTTTCTTTGTAGCTCAACCAGCAGCCGCAAGTAGAGGCTAGGGAGTAGGGATCATGCGAGAGATGTCGTCCTGGTTTCTCTACGGGGGACAAAATGGGGAGGCTCGACCTCGACAAAACGGGCGAGTCTATAGTGTGGTGTCATGGGAAAAAACAGTTTATGCGCATCCAGGGAATCGAACCCTGGTCAGTACCGTGGGAGGGTACTATGATACCACTACACCAGATGCGCTTGTTTGAAAATTTCATAACTTACTTATATATAATTCAAACAAATGCCTAGGGCTCCCCACCGCCTCCGTCCTCCATAAAACATGATCGTTCGTCTCGCCAAGTGTGTATGGTTTCGCTCAAATCTACTTCCACAACTCTTTGTCTGCACGTTTGATCTTCCCGCCGACGTCACGTCCGTAAGCGAGACCCGAGGTCGCGCGCGGGTTCCCTATGTTCTGCCGTTGATTTTGCTCCTTCTCCTGGGGGATGGTTTTTTTTTACATATCCAGGAACTAGTTTTTTTTGGTGTTGCGTAGTTTCTTCACTGCTGTGTGGGACTAGGGTTTATGCTGTTCTATGCTTAGTTCTCTATGAGGACGTAGCCTCTCGCCAATCTTTCGGTTTTCCTCAGATCTCTCTCTCTCTCTCTCTCTCGCTCGCTTTCTCTCTTTCTTCATTTTTTAACTTTCTCTGAGAACCTTGCCATTTCGTCCATTGTGGTTTCATTACGTGTCAAGTGAATGTATCATGCTCCGGAACTCATCCTAATGGAGCAGATTCCCTGTGCTTATATTACTGTTACGATACACTAGGGCACATTTCTGCACGTTTGACACCCTTGCCTGAAGTAGAAAGACTTTTTGTTTTAGAGTTGTCTGCCAATAACATATTTGCGTATTCACACTATCTATCTGTACGATGTGTATGCCGTGAATGAAGATGAATGCAAAATAGCGCCTGCAATTGGGCGGCCATTAAATGGAAATTCCATATGCTTGCTAGATTTTCGTGATATTAATGAGGAATACTGCAAGCCAAAGTCGCTTCTTTCGTATACTAATTTGTGAGTGGGTGGCAATGTTCAACATGTAAAAAATATTGAATCTCACTAATCCTGCTGGGTATTACATGGTCATTTTTTCTATCCTGCTGGGTATGATACATATTACTATTTTTTTCTTTCTTGATGCATTCATTGGGACGATGTCCCTTCAATCATTGTTAACTGTATCATTGCTATATTCATTGCATCATTGTTATTGAAGAGACCAATTTATATGCCTAGTGAACAGGTGCCTCTTTTGTAGATTTACCTTTCTTTCTACCTGCGTGCCGTATTTATTACTTATTCCTTTCCTTTTTACATGCTCGTTTATGTGGGCGTCTTTTCTGTTTTCAGGCTGACTTGTAATTTTTCGAGCCATATGGGTTTCGATAACGAGTGCATATTGAATATCCAATCACTTCCTGGTGAATATTTTTGTCCAGTATGCCGCACACTTGTCTACCCAAACGAAGCATTACAGACGCCGTGCACTCATCTCTTCTGCAAACCATGCTTGGCCTACATTGTTGCAACGACTTCCGCCTGTCCTTACGACGGATATCTGGTGTCAGAGGCAGATGCCAAGGTTTGAAAATCTTGTTCCAGATGTATATTCCCCCCCCCCTCTCTCTTGAATGGCTTCTCTCACATTAGCTTTCTGCAACAACATATCCAGCCTCTAGTTGAATCAAACAAGCTGATCGCTGAGGCTATCGAAAAGATACAAGTGCACTGTCTCTATCATAGGAGTGGGTGCCAATGGCAAGGAACACTATCTGAATGCATTACTCATTGCACAAGTTGTACCTTCGGAAACTCCCCTGTCGTGTGCAACAGATGTGGTGCACAAATCGTACATCGCCAAGTACAGGAGCATGCCCAGATCTGCCCAGTGAGTTAGGCAATCCCCTATTTTTCTCCTATGTTTAATTTTGTACTTCGCGACTGTAAGTATACATGTGGAAGTGCAGGGTGTCCAGCCTCAGGCACAGCAGGCGGATGATGTGCAGCCTCAGGCTTCAGCTGTGCAGAACCAGGGTGAGTCTCAGCCAGTGGCTCTTGCATCTCAGGAATCATCCTCCCAGCCTGTAGTGAGTTCTGGAACTCCCACTCCTGGTGCTACCACCGCAGCTGCCGTGGCTACTTCCACAGTTCCTACCGTAGGCCCTACTACAGATCCCGCTGCAACAGCTGTAGCTCCTGCTGGTCCAGTCCAAGACCAAGGTCAGCCTAGTGTTGCCTCACAACCACAAGTTGTACCGCAGGTTCCAACACAGGAGCAGTGGTACCAGCAGTATCAGCAGTACCAGCAGTATTATCAGCAATACCCTGGATTTGACCCATATCAGCAGCAGTACCAACAGTATGGCTATTATCAGCAGCAAGTTCAACAACAGTATCCGCAAGCATATGGGCAATCCCATCCAGTGCAGGGGCAGCAGCATTCTCAGGTGCACGCTCAGCAACATCCTCAGACACAGCATCAAGCACATCCGCAACAAGTTCAACAGCAATATCCACAAGCGTATGGGCAATCCCATCCAGTTCAGGGGCAGCAGCATCCTCAGGTTCACGGTCAGCAACATCCCCAGACACAACCTCAAGCACATCCGCAACAACTTTCTCTTCCCCAGGTGCAATCCCATTCCCATAACCAAACCGTACCAGTCGGTCAGCAGCCCCAAACACAAGCACTGCAAAGCGTGGAACAACCAATTCATGCACAAATTCAGCAGCAGCAAATGCACCCATCGACACAGTCACAAGTTCTGGTTCAGCCAATGGGGCAACAACAAAGCCAGATCCCTCAGCTTCAGCCCCATTCTTTTCCTCATGGACAGCCTCCTCATCTTCAACATCAGCCGCGTCCACAACAGCAACAGCAAATGGTTGGGCAAAATCAACCTGGGCAACCCCAACAGCAACCACCGAATGCTCAGTCACATCCTAATTTTCATGGTCAGACACAATCACGACCTCCAGCTCAGCAACCCCGACTGCATATGCAGTCCCAACCTCATCCTCGACCCCATTCCATTTCTCAGCCTCCTCTGCAGTCGCAACTGCAGACCCAGGCCCAATCTCAGTCCCTGCACCAGCCACATCCACTGCACCAAGCTCCTCCCCAGTCTCAATTGCATCATCTTCAGGGTCAACCACAGCCCCAGCCCCATCCCCAGCCCCAGCCCCAGCTGCATACTGCTCCAGCCCATACTGTGACAGGTCATCAGTCTTTTCCTCAACCGCATCTTCAACCTCAAATGGCAGGTGCTACCGCACATCAGCGTCCCATGCACCTGTATCCTCTGCAGCATGGGGTACCACAACAGCAACATCAGCATCCTTCTCCGATGCCTAACCAATTCCCACACCAGCAGCCACCGCAATCCCAAATGCGCCCCCCCCAATCTCAGATGCCAGTTCAGGGTCAACAACTAGCACCTATTTCTTCAATGCAAGGTCCTCATCAGCATTTCCCCCCTGGACAACAACAAGCTCACCACTTGCCACACTTGCCACATCTGCAGGTTCATAACCAGGTTCGCCACCCACCAAATATCCACGCTCCACAGCATCCTAACGTTTCTCACCAGCAGCCACAAACTTCTTCTCATCATAATCAGGTGCATCCTCTGGGATCTTTCCCACCTCAGCCTCACATTCCCACCCAGCATAACTTACGCCCCCCTGGCCAATTGTATTTGCAGCAACCACTCAATCAACCTCAGTTACAGCCTGCGAGTCAAACAATTCCCCAGCCTGTTTTGCCAAATCATGCCTTGGCACATCAGGAATTTAAACTGTCTCCTGGGGGTTTGGATGTTCGGTCGCGTGTTTCTTCAGAAAATCCCACTGCAGATCCCCGTCCTCCCTTAGAGTCTGGAGGCCAAGAGTCCGCACTACCTTCATCTCCTGCTAGTTTAAAGCCTTTCAATGGTGAGAAGGAAGCAGATGCTAACTTAGGTAAAACTGCCCTTCGGCAATTTGATGTGGCATCGGATAAAACTGACGACGTTTCAGAGGATTCAAAGATTCTTAACGCTGAGGCTCATATTATGGATGAGGAAAACGAAGATAAAGTGGCTGAACGGGTTGACAAGGAAAATGCTGGATATGTTGCCGATGAAGAGGGCTCCGCCTCTGTTCAAAACGATGACGTTTCTGAGGCTAAGACTTTTGTGAAGGACGATGTAACTGGCTCATCTGAACATTCTCCGAATAGAGTTTCACTTGAGCACAATGATGGTGAGAAGAAGTCTGTTGAGGTCGAAGGAACTGAGAGCAAGTCAGATGGAGGTGATAAAAATTTGATGGTTCGACATGGTCAAGTGGTGGATTCAGCAAAATTCCCAATGCATGATGACACTAGCAGAAATCTTCCATCTCAAGTTACAGCTGAAAAGGCTCCTCACCAGTTGGCTCATCAGGAATCTACCAATAGTGGTGAAAAACTCATCATGCAAGGGCCGCGTAGGGAACCAATAGGTGCACCCCCTGCTCATGACAGGGCTATTCCTGGTTATCCTGACAGAAATGTTCCCGTTTTCCCTAGCCAGGGTCCTTCATCTGGTGATCCTAGACAGTTTCCCCCTCCAGCTCAGATGCAGCCTAATTCTAATGTTGTTGGACCTCATTCACATCCTCCTCTATTGCATGGCCAGGAAAGATATCTCCAGCAGGCTCCTCCTCCTGGTCCTCATTATACGCAAGACATTTCATCACAGAGGCCTCCTGCACCAGAGAGGATGCTGCCTAAGCAGATGCCTTACCTTGGTCCCAAGCAAGAAAGATTGTTCCAAGAGCCAACCCAAGGAATACCGCCTCATGGACAACCATTGGCATCAAGCCAAATGAGACCTTCTCTCATGTCCTTCAATCCAGATCCTCTTCAGACGTCATTAGGGAAACATCCGCCAGGTGGATTTCCTGGTTCACATTCATCTTTAGGGCGAGGTCCACCCTCGTTTGTGCCGCCAGTGGGGTCTCAACTGCAAAGTCAAGGTTTCGTCGTACCATCTCATGATGCTTCTGGCATGTCAAGAATTTCTCAGGTGGAGCCGTATGCTGGAATACCTATGTCAGGGCCACCTGCTGGGTCTTTTGGTACAGCTGCTGCCATGAATGGCAGAGGACCCCCTACTCATGTTGAGGGACAACTGATTCGATCGCATCAACCTGGTCCTTATGATGGTCGGCAGCCTGATCACAATCAGGCATTGGAGAGTTTTCCTCATGGAAAGCAACCAGCGGCTCAGTCAAGTGTGATGGCGATGAATGGTTTGCCAGGTAGGGCTGATCCTTCTTTATCACAAGCTGCAGTGGGGGAACGATTTATTTCAGAAGAGAGGTACAAGTCGATGGCAGATGAGGGATTCAGGCCATCTGCAGATGACCATTTTAGACCATATGTGGATCCGGTTAGACGAGTAGTTGATAGAAGAGATTTTGAGGAGGATCTTAAGCAGTTCCCTAGGCCATCTGATTTGGAATCTGAAGGGGGTGCAAAGTTTGGAAATTATGCAACTTCATCGATGCCTCTTGATAGGAGTTCACGTGCTTTGGGTCTTGATGGTGCATCTAGGTCGTTTGATAGAGGAATGCAAGCCTTCGGGCAAGAAGGGGCGCCCAGAATTAGACTAAATAGTCCAGTCTCTTCTAGGTCAGTGCCTCTTTACAAGTCTGGTGGCCCTCTTCCAGTCAACAGTGATAGTTCATCAATGCGTCCAATGGAAAACATGGAGAGACAAAGATCCTTTGATCTCAGTGATGACCATTCTGGAAGGAAGGGTGATACTGCTCTTCCTAACTTTCATAGACCTGGCTCAGACTTTGGCCGTCATCGTATTGATAGCCTACATCTGTTGAGAAGTCCTGGAATTGAACTTTCTGGCCTACCACCTAATAGATTCGGGAGCATTGCCCATGGGCTTGTTGGTCGAACCCTTGCTGAGGATTTTGTTGTGAGAGATCTACCAGCATCGGGTGAGCTATACTAGCTACGCAGTCTTACCTGTCTTGTTAGCTATGCATTTCATGAAATCATTCTATCTACTTCTCTCCCAGGTATGCTACCTAGCCATTTTCGCCGAGGTGATGGAGAAGTTTTGAGAATGGGAAATCAACTTGGTTCTGGCAACATGCCAGGAATGAGGGTTGGTGATCTTGATGGTCGTGATATGATGCCTAGTCAAATGCGCAGTGGTGACCCCCTTGGAGCTGGAGCTGGAAGTTTTCACAACCATTTACCTGTGGGTGAATTGGCTGGTCTAGAAAATGTTCCTCCGCATCTGTATTCAAGGGATTTCTCTCGCTTTGGTGATTTTCCTCCGCATGATTTCCCTAATGAGCCTCGTGGTTTAAGTTCTGTGAGTATCCATTTTTATTCTTTTGAAAGATATCTGTTCATGAGCGTGATACGATAGTCGGATTGGAGTAGAGAAGTTTTTATCTTTGTTTCGGTGTGTAATTTCTATAGTACTGCTGATTGTATGGCATCCTTGACCCCTCTTGTTTTTTGATGTTTAGGGCTCTTTCCAAGGTGGGCAGGATCCACTAGATAATTCTAGAAAGAGAAAGCAAGGGAGCATAGGTTGGTGTCGGATATGCAAGGTTGATTGTGAGACTGTTGAAGGTCTGGATTTGCATTCTCAAACTACGGAGCACCAGAAGAGAGCTATGGACATTGTGTTAAGCATAAAACAAGACAATGCTAAGAAGCAGAAGTTGTAAGTTATTTTCTGAACATACTGTCTGCTGTAAGTTCTTACTTTTCGTTATTGTATGTGTTGTGGTTATGTTCACGCCTAAAAATGGTTTAATATGGTGTGAAGTTCTGATTCCTCTTCCTTCAGGTCTTCCGAAGAGCATGAAGAATCAAACAAGTCACGAAAAGCTGGTTTTGAGGGCCGTCCTAGTAGACGCTAGTGTTTGGTAGCTTGCAATAGCCATGTTTTCTTGTCAATCACATATAATTTCTTTCTTGATGGGTTTCTTTTGTATCAGAGATACAGTCGTCTGCATCATCCGTATGAATTTTATCGCCTAGTTGATTTCTCAGCTTCTTTTTTCAGGTAATTGTTACAATTTGTTGGGGGTGGTGCTTTGGAATAGAAGTTGTGGCACACTAAAGTTAGTGGATAAGTGTGAGTTGTTCAGCTACTACAAAATGTTTTCCCCTTTTCTTATTGAGTTGACAGTTGAGGCTGTATTTTTGTCATCAGAGTTGTGCTTTTGCTATTAACGAATTTATGTTCACAGCTGCTTTTTGCTGGTTGTTGTTAATTTTGTATTTTCTAACTTTCACTGTTTTGATTCATGGAATCTATTTTGGATGTATCTATAAATTACCCTGGGGGTGCATTTTTTTTTCTGGTAATATGTATATTCGCATGGGCTGTGAGATACTGCTTTCGTACTCAGATCCTGCGAGTAGAATGGTCTGTATAGCAATGTGTGACTTCAGTTTCCCCAAGATTCTTGGTTAGTTGGTTTGCCGACCAAGGCCTGGTCTTCTTACTCCTGCTACTGCAGGTGGGGTATGGATGGGTTCTTGTGATTTGACATCTTCCCAGTTTAGCACATGTGTCATCTTTATTTTTCTTTTTCCCATCGATGATGTCTTATTTGTGGCTTTTATACAGCCATAATTTAACGTGATATTTTTCTTTTCCCTTGAAATAAAATATCTCCACGCTTTTTGATTGTGGACCACTTGTATTTGAACTGCTTTAGATGAACTCAGATCCAGCGTTTTCAATACTTAGATGAACGCTTTAGACATTGACGATGTCTTATTATTCGTTCATGAAGAACGGATTTAGATTTATTCAACGTGGTCGTCTATTGGGTAGATAATTTTCTGTGGGCGATCATTTCAAGCAAAATGCCTGCTTTGAGTACTGAATCGTTTACTAAACAGTGATGGTTGCTGGCTGGTATACCAAACTATTCATAGGAAATGAATTAGTGGAATAATTAAGTTGGCGCTGGGAAAACTTGTACTGTTTCAATGGAATATTGGACATAATACGCTTGTTATGTCCTGTTAAATTCTTCTGTATCAGTCATGCAAATCTGTTTCTGTTGCTGTTTTCAGTAGGTTGTGTTTAGTTTCTTTATTTTTGCACTCTGACAATAGAGAATGAGAACTTAATGAAAGAAACACAATTAATTATGTATGTGTCAATTTCATTAAAGCGAGCATAATTAGTGTACTACCCATATAAAATTTAAAATTTTCGTATTGAAACACGGTTAATTATTTGTCGATTTCATTAAAATGAACATAACTAGTTTGCTTTCCACATCAAAAATGTTAACTTTTTTAACTTTTTAGTATAATGATGTGCATATCTAGATTTAAATGAGTCTATTAGATGTAATGACCATGTCTTCGGATTAGTGCCGCGGGTTGGTTTGGAAGTCTTTTCATGATGTCGATAAATATAGAATTTCCCCACTTCACATTTTGTGAGAAGTTCGGGTGCTTGTGAAATAAATTGGTCTTTTGTCCGTTTTTTTTGCTATTTCTATACATTGTGCAACACAGACACTGGAGTTTCTTCATAAATAATTACATAGTTAGACCTAGTGGAAAGTTAATTTCGTTGTTAAGTATTGTGGGTTGCTTCTCTTTTATCTCTAAATATTATGGTATTATGTGCATTATCTAATATTAACTGCCGTTGTTAAAGTCATTCCATGTGAAGTATCATGCAATGCTGTGTTGTGAGCTCAGCGTCCTAGTTCGTTGGGTTAGCTCTTGTGCTCGCGATTATGGTTAAGAATGTTGACTAAGTTTCAAATCGGGAGTTCCGAGTGGCGTGATCAGAAGACTGTGTCATAACCATGCCGCATCCGTTCGGAAAACTCTTTTACGAATGCTTGTGGAGTTGACCATATTATTATTGTCAGAACCATCTTAGGGATACGCCAGTGAAGATGTTCTTCGTTTCTGTCATCATAACCATCTTAGAAATTTCATATGTTTCAGAGATGGGATTGGGGTCTAAAAATCTTGAAAATAATGGAGCTGAACGGCTGCATCACTTTTGTGTGAAGTGTTGATGTCTGGTTCTAGGAGTCTATTCGTGCCTGTACTGTAATGCAACCTATCACACAAGCTGTGTCTTTTGTGGGAGTTTTTCTGAGGCTTGTTTTGTCCACACTACCACATGATCAGTAGATTTGTCATGGAGAGGATGCTGATTAGAAAAGAGTTACCAATTCCCTGATATGTTGGATTTTAATGTGGCCTTGATGGGTAAGATATTGAAGTTGCTGTGATTAAGATGCTGGGAGGGATACAGTACCCTAGTCATTGCCTGGTAGAAGGTAATGTGGGATCATCTTTCTTTTAGGTGGACATGGTTACCGCCGTTTTGATATGCGATCTTTTGTGAACAAAATGGGGTAAATAGTAGAAATGAAGTGATCCTATGGAATGGGTCAGTCAGCCAAACTCAGGAAAGAGTCATCCGGCTTTGTTTCTTCGGTGTTGAAATAGATCTGTATATCCTTTTTGTAGGGATCTGTACGATGTTAGATGATTTCCCCCCCCCCCCCCCGTGCAGCTGTTCGAGTCATTTAAGACACGTTAGATTCTGACAGTATCTATTTCATCGATATGTGGCGTCCACATGGACCTTTGTTCAGTGCAGTGTACCGCAATAGACGATGCAATACCTCAACGCAGTGTATATATATATTTATAGATAGACATTTGAAGATGGCGTGAGTCATAATCAACATGCTTTAGCATCAGTATTCAGATTACACATAGAAATGTCTAAGATAGCAGAGATGGTTGGATTTGTATATTCTTTTTGAACAAATTCTACCTGATAAACTAATGTTCATTTTTTCTCTCACTACCCACTAAACTAACGATCCTTTCTCATCGACGCTTAGTTGATCTGCTATTATTTGACACTCACTGTTGGGTTTGTCTTTCTTTGTACTCCGATTGCCTTCCTGAGAATGAACCACCGTCTTTTCCTTCATGTCACCTGAAAATAGATATCAACGTCCTATTTGCGTACGTGCTTCGCTGAAAATTCGCTCAGCAGTATTTACCTTTCGTCTGGAGTTGAGAACTTGTCTCCTAAAAAATAAACTAAGTTGAGAAAGTCTGTTCGCCAATTTTTTTCCAAGGACACTGCCGACTAATTGTACAAGGAAACAGTGGGTGATAGAAACTTTTAGAACAAATAGATGAACATTGTTCAGAAGAACATCACAGTAGACTATAACAATTTAGACTGATTCCGTTGATATTTGGAGAAAAGTTGAAATTTGTCATTGTTCTGAAAGGCATGAGTACGAGTACGAGTACTCTATTTGGAGATATAGTATGAGTCCTTTGCACTTCATGTGCTCAAAAAGACCGTAGGTAGAGATTCTTTCATCGTATAGGGGAATGTTTGATGAAACCAATTAGACTTGCATATCCTGTGATTGTTTCTCAGCAGGTGTGAGTATCTTGTTCAGGCATCAGTGTTAGAGACCTTTGATGTTCGTTTCTTTTACTCTTATCCCACAAGGGTTAGGGAGATACAATGATTGCTGAATAGCGATTTCACCCGAGATGTTTCTAGTTCCCCAGGAATTGAATGATAGAAAGTAAACTATATTTTACTTTGGAGAATTTATCTATCTTAAAATAGACTAGTTAAATTTTCTGCTTAATGTTGATGATCATTGTTAACGGAAATTTCATAAAAATTACTACTATTATTTCAAAGTGTGACTCTGTAATTGTGTGTTTTTTCTGGGTCATTAGAGTGTTCGTGGAAGGAAGATTTGTTTAATTGCATGATGTTATAAAATGGATTTCTTTAGTTACTTCTGATGGATGATCAGTGGTTTTTTTGACAAATATTATTATAGTAATTTTCAATAAGGTTGTTCTTGTGTAGCAGTCTTTCTCAAACACCTTAATGTTATCAGGCGGGGGTTTTCCTTTTCATGTGCTGTGGACTTTGCAATTTCCTTTTGTTGGAGGTGCTTATTCCACATCTATTTCAATGTTGCGATTTTCTTTATTTTCGATTTTTCTTCTTTTCTTCTCTAGCTTCCCTACTGGGTGGTCTAAAGTTGTATGGTCTATCATTAGAGAAACTTCTTGGTATTTTTCTTGAGGTAGATAGTCAATTTTAAAATTCATTCTTTTCAGGCATTATTTGAGGCACTATGAGGCATCCGAAGTTGCTGCGTGAGGCAATTTGCAGTTTTTCAAGAAATGTCCCTGGATCCTATAGGTTTTTTCTGGCATAAAGATTACTTAATTATTCCACAATTGTGAGTAACTTTTAACAGAGTGTTGTTGATCTCGGATTTATAGGGTTAACTGGCCATGTCAATGGTTTTTATTTTTTACTGATTGACTTATATTTCTGATCCTGTCGACTTGATTGTTTTTTCTATAGTTTTTTTTTACCCTTTATCTCTAAGTATTCTACAATCTATTTCTTTGTGCTAGAAGTACGTTTATGTCTAGGTTCAATACTTAAGCATAATTTGATAAGCGAAAACATTAGCCAAGCTCCCTCTCTTTTATGGCTCCCCTTGGTTGCTAGATTCATTCAGTTTTTATTAAGGTTAACTTCAGGAACTGTTCTGTTTTAAAAGGACATTCTATGATCATGCTAGGATGTAAAAGGACACCATATTTACGTTAGAAACAACACAAGATAGGATGTCCTAATAAACTTTCGTTTACTGGGATTACAAATCATTAGGAGTTGTTGTCCTTCTTGGTCATCCTTATCTGATGTGTCCCTCTTGTCTGTCCTGAGGATTCTGGACTACTTTACACCATCGGGTAGGATGGTCTGATGGAATGAATTTATGGTGCTCTGGGAGAGCTGTTACATAAGTCTGCATCCTGGAGGGAGATAACTACATGAGATTTTAGCTGCTGGATTGGTTTAGAGCCTTCAAAAGCAGCGGAAATCTCTTTGGGAAAATGTAGTCGTTAGCTTTGTGTATGCTTGGAATTATCATATTTTGTGAGGCTTAAAGAAAGTAAGATAGCAGAAACTGTGAGGATTTTCCCTTCGGACTCGATAGAAAAATCTTTCTCCGTTTTCCTTTTAAGTGAAAATTTTTGGTATTAGTTCCATGTGGGAATCTTCTTTTCTGATCAACAAGAAGAAGGGAGTGATCATCATGGCTTCTTAGTGGTCATGAAATACAGAAAGAATAGTCGTATGGTTTATCTTTGAGAAGGTTTTAGTTGTCCTTTAGATAGGTTCGCCCATGGGCTTTTCTTATTCTTTGTGCTTGAACTTGGTGTCTATTAGATTCTTTATTATGTTGTTTTTACTTAGTGAGTTTAGCATGTGGTGTATGTGTTATTTATCAAATATGTTGCGTTTATTCTCTTAATTTAAATTATTTTAATATATTTATAGAGTATTTACCTTTTTTGATTAAGCATTAGTTGGTCGCCTTAAAAACCCAATAATCATTAGGTCTAAGATGGCTAGTTAAACGAAACGGTTCTGAGAATTGTAGCTCTGATGGTTTCTTCTCCGCATGGTTCAGTGGAGTATTTCGTATTAACAATGTTGTCTAGGATAACCTGAGTGAAGATTTGGTGAAGACTTTTCTCCTGTGTGCGTCCTGTGGCTTCTTTTAGTCACAGCAATCCTGTCTTCTAGTTGGATGGAGTTTCTTGTTTTACAAGGGAAGGGAGTTTGATGGTATTTGTAAATTTTTGGAATGACCTTCTCGTTTAATTCCTTTTCACCCCATTTTTGGTTTATTGTTTTTGACAATAAACCAAATCTGATTTTTTTTGGGAGCATATATGAGGCAGATTTTGGGAACCCAGGAAGATGTTATCTATTAGTTAATTTTCTGAATGGATGACTACAATGGTAGCTAGTACAGCCGTACACTGTATGTTTTGAATGGAGCCTGCCATCAATCCACATTGAAATTTAGGAAATGGTGTGCGTTCGCTAGTGAGACGCACTTTTACTTCTTAATCTACACCTGAGTTACACTTGAATGTTTTCGTTCACCTGAGTGGTCGAATGAATGTGATGTGTCGGACTACTTGACATGCCTGATAGAATGGGTCCTTAATCACGGGTGTTTCTGTTTCGGGACCGTACAACTCTCGGTTGCTCTCAAACTTTGTGCTATACAGCATCGATGATGAGCTTCTCATTGTTATCCTTGCACTATGATTTCTAATGAAGAAAAACATGGGGAAATATGTTCTGAGATGCGTTTCACTCCTATCAAGTGAAAGTTTTGTGCTCTTTTGTCACTTGTTAATTGATTAATGGCTTTGTTTATACCTGTGTTTTATTCCTACTTGTGGTATTGGGACCTCCCGTTACTGAGATGCTCCCGAAGTTCTTGCTCTGTGTAGACAGCATCAATGATGTGCCCCTCAGCGTTATCCTTGCACTGCGATTGCTCATGAAGAAAACCATGGGAAAATATACTCTGAGATGCTATTAGGATGTCTTCCTCGGATTCCAGTAGGGATTCTTTTGTTCTACATTCGTTCGTCGATGGTGTCTGTTTGTTCCTGTTTTTTTCTCCTCTCGGCCTGTGGGGGGGAATCATTGTACGGATGAGAGGTACGTCGCTTAGGCAAGCTGTGTCACGTGAGTTGCTGTGTGACAAGAGCTCTGGCTTCCCCCGTTCCACTTCCCCTCTTCTCGGGTCTGATGCCTTTCTAGTGGACTTTGCTATTTGTCTAATTAACGGTGTATTCTGAAACTACTTGCTACCACCGGCTAATAAATTGTAGGTGTTTCTTTTCTTGCGAATGATCAATCTGTTTCTTTCAACAACATGGCTTCTTCTATCCTCGGTCCCTTCATGCTTCAAATCAGACTGCACCCACATGCTTCTTACATCCGGTCGTATTATGGTTTGCCTTCGACCGCTATTGCCATGTGTTCTTACGCAATTTCGGCCAGTTAGTCTGAAGGAGATGTAGATGGTCAGATTTCTCTCTGCTTTCGTTTCGTCATAATTATAACGGGTTGAATCGATGGATGCGGAATTCAATGATGCATGCCCCCTTCGGAGGTTCCGAGCAGGGGTGGTCAAAGCTTACTTGCTCGTTGTAAAGGGGAAACAGCTGGGGCCTCATCTATTGTATGGTGCTCTTGCGTGACCTCGTTGTTCTTTGCTTCCATTTGGGCGATTATCGTAGTACGGTTATGGTGGGGTTGTTGATGCTCGGGGAGCACGACAGTTCCCGAAAGCTCTGAAGGTAGTACGATGACGGGTGGGCTTGTGTCGAGCCAACCTAGTCGACGATCCGTCGCTTGGCTTGCCAGTTCGGCCCCCAACCAGCTGTTTCATCCCCTGCAACGAGGACTGATCATAACCTTAGCCGTCGTTGGCGTCGGCACAGTAGGTGCGTGAGACCCTGTTCATCCAAGTGGGGGCAGTGAGGCGGATGCTTCCATGTTCCGGAAGATGGTCTGCGCCGAGCACGGCATCGAGGTCACCGGGCGCTACAAGTGTAACACGGCTCCGTGCAGCTCGAGAGGCTGAACGCTGAGAACAAGGAGGCTGTCTGCGGCTGGTTCTTCCCCAGGGCTGTGCTCATGGATCTCGAGCATCAAATCATGTCATGGACAACATCAGTTCCGGCCCTCGCGGCCAGATCCTCCGTCCTGTGCCGGGTCACCTCCACATGGGGAATGCTGCTTAGATTCTATGGGCAATGTGCCCTCTTGAACCATTCCCGTTTCCCTTCTCCCACGACCCTTACAGTCGACGCTGTTTGTGCAGCGGCTTGTGCAGGCCGTCTTCATGTTGGGTTTTGCTCCGTTGACGTCCAGCGTATAGTTCAGGGCTGATCCAACTTTTGGGGGATGCGCAATGCGCGCCGCCTATACCCGCCACGGACGCTGGCTCTCTGTGCCTAAGCAATTTTCGGACGGAGGGTGAGCACCTACCATGTGAACGAGCAGATGATCGACGTTCAGAATAAGTCACATTTTGTGGAGTGGATCCCCAATGATGTCAAGTCGACTCGGTGTGCGAAATTCCGCCGGCCGGGCTGAAGACGGCTTTCGCCTTCATTGCTAACTTGACCCTGATTCAACACAGGGTCCACGAGCGATTCACGGTCATGTTAAGAAGAACGGCTTTCTTCCATTAGTGCACCGGCGAAGGGATGGACGAGATGGGTTCCGAGAAACACGACGATCTCGTGTTGGATTATCAGCAATGCCAGGACGCCACAGCCGATGAAGAGGAGACCCTGAGGGAGAGGAGGACGGGCCGAGGAGTATATCCAAGACCTAGCAACGTAACTTCCAGTCTCCATCTCGAACCCATTTATTGCCGATGTGTTGGTGTTTGACAGTGGAAAATGCTCCCCCTGTTTCAATTTCTTAGCCGCCGGGAACTGAGAGATGATTTGGGGAGGAAGAAATTCTGGAGCCTAGCCTTTTTCTTTCTAGCATCGCCTTGATCGCTACTGCCCTTCGATCGATGAAACCAGGTTATCGCCAGAAAGCTCGCATCATGTGGCAGTTTCCCTTCATTTTTGACGAAATCATGTAGTCAGCTAGCGTTGAATGTGATTTGCTGTGGGCTCAAATTGGAATCAGATGAGCTCCTTCGAGGGAATTCTCTTGCAAATTGGAATCAACTTGTGCTCCTTCGGTTGGCCACTGTTGCATTCACGTTATGCATGTCTTTGAAACGACGGCAGGTTGCGAACACTGTAGAGCACAATGTATACGTAGATATAATAAATAAATCGAGAGAGAGAGAGAGAGGGAGAGGGAGAGGGAGAGAGAATTCAACAAACGCATCCCCAGACCAAGGGTGAAAGCAAAATAGCCTTCACAAATAATAATGCCGTCAGTTCATTCCTTTCGGCTATAGGCAGATTAACCAAGAATGCGGCAAGGATTGGAGGTTTCATTCAAAATTCCTACATATGATCATATTCGCGGTTTCTCTCTCACGCTGCGCGGAACTATTGGGGCCTGGCATTTGACTACAAGCACAAGACTCCGCTCCCCTACATCCACCCTTCCTCCAAGCAACAAAGATCGACTCCACAGATTTTTAGTTTGCAATAATGTTGCCCATCTTCCAAGGTTTTCTTTGTTTTTGGCCTTTTTTGCTATATCTGGGCACTGATCACCACAGCAATACCTCGGGACCGGAACCAGCGCTCCCTGTTGTTTAAAACGAATTCAGATTAAAAACCCACAGCCTCTCTTTATGTAATCCTGGAAAAAGATCATAGGAGAAAATATTTGAAATAAACTTACGATCCATAAGAATTCTCCCCATGAATGAAGGATCAGTCATCGTGCTTCTGCGACGATTTCGTTAGCTTCCACTTCTATGAGCGTCTCATTTCCGAACATCATGATTCCAATGGTTGCCTGCAAGATTTCTCCGGAATCACTTTTGCATTCTCAGGGACAACAAACAGGGAAGGAGCTGCCAGCCTCGGAAAGGCGGGCTTTTGATCAATGGGTCGCAAGAAGGTGACGACTCATCAAATAATTTCCAATCGAATGATAAGAAGATAATCGTACGAAAGATTCGGGGACGCGGACCTTGCCGGCCTTGCGGTCGAGCTTGTTGAGGAGGCCACTGTAGTTCATAAACGGACCGCATAAAACCCGAACATTTGAGCCTGGCACCAGTGATTCAGAATCCTTTCCAGTGAGCGATTTAGAATCGGTTCCAGCGGCTTCTGAAGCTTTCTTTGAGCGCGATCTGGGCTTTGCATCTGGTTTCGACCCCCCTCTGTTGCTCTTCCGCTCCACGACAGCAGGGGCAGCATCTGCCTCATCTTCCTCAAACGATTGATCATACAACTCCTGCTCTCGTTTGGTTTGGTGAAATATGGCTTCCATCTCATCAGCTGCGACCGGCTTGGGCTTGTTTATCTGCCGCTTCCTTCGAAAGAACGAGAAAATCAGTTCAAATACTTTTTGGTTTTTGCCAAATAGAATATCTATGACAAGCATGTCGCGATCGTTGGATGCTACGGGTTTCAGAGAATGGGCAGATTAATGCTGGGAGAGTGAATCAAGGATGAGTTAATTCTCACAGAATCATCGCGCTTGGACTAATAAGAGGGGAAACCAGTGATCGAATTTCCAAATGAACTGGAAAAAGGGCAAGGGATGGAGGCCCCAGCTTCCACATATCACGGAGCAACGGATGCTACAACTCCCATGTACGAGGATGGGAATTCCCCTTCCCATCTTGTGGAACCAGTAATCTAATTTATATACTCATTCATGCTTCCAGGAAGTAACCCATAGACCACCAACAGAGGATTTCACCCGCCAGAAAAGGTTACGCACAAGGATGAAGCAAACTTCACCGACCCCAGAAAATTGCTAACAAAGACAGATCAAAACACCCCAGAAAGTTAGTCGAGTTTTCCTCAATGCTGCAGGACATGCGATGCGTGTTGAATGCAAGGGAAGGCCTTCTAGCCGCTATGGATGTTGCACAGATAGCATATACTACAAGCGGTACCTGTTTAAACGTGTGATGTTGTTCCACGAGAGGGAGGGAGGGAAGGAAGGAAGGAAGGTTATCGACCATGGCCAGCAGGGTTATTTGGAACAGAGCAGGCTGAGTCAGTCCGAGTCACACGTACGTAGAACCCTGACCAGCCTCCTCGAAGCCAATCGTACGCCCCCATTACATCATAAATATTTTTTATCCAAACTGGAAATACCGACGAGCAGAGGGCAGTCGGGGAGGTGGACGATGAGCATAAGACGGAGAATGGAAGAGGGCAGGGTAAGGGTACGGATTTCACTGACGTGTTTCCGACTTTGGACCCGAGGAAGCCTCCGATTCCATCACATTCTCTGACGAAGTCGTGGAGCTCCTTGTTCAACACGCAGTGTAGGAACGCGCAGCCTGGGAAAAGAGGTTTCGGTTTGACCGCGTAGGATCCACTCTTCAGCTTCCTCTTCACCTTCACAGCGGGGAAATACACCTGAACGACGACATAGAAGACGGGGATGAAGGCAAAGAAAGAATCGCTCGAGGATGGAGGAAGAAACTGCGAGGCAGAAGCAGAAAGATTGCCTTGAAGTCCAAATCGGGGTAGTTCCGGGCGAGAACACGGGCGAGGCGCTCCGCGGTCTCCTGGCCGGTGACCCGGGAAACGCGGACGACCCACCACTGAGGACCCAGCAGGGCGAGGTTGTCGAGGTTGAGCTCGTCCTTCCAGGAGGCCTTATCCCGCTTCTTGGGCTTGTGGAGGAGCCTCTCCTCGACCTCCTCTCGCCAGTTGCCGGCGGCGGCGAGGCTTTCCCTCCTCTCATTCCTCATCTGCCTCCGCTCCCTGGCGGTCAGCTGGGCGGTCCCGTCCCCGCCGGCCTTCAACTCCGACGAGGACGAGCCGAGCGCTGCCGACGCCGCAGCGAGGATTGGGATTCGAAGGGAGGCGACCCTCCACCCCCGAACGGCGATCGGGGCGGAGAAGAGGGAGGGGCCGCAAGGATGACTCCGCAGCGGCAGCCATTGCTGCTGCGCCATCTCCCCCTCTCTCTCTCTCTCTCTCTCTATCTGCTCCCAGCGTGCCGCCACGGATATTGTTTCCCCTGTTAGCGCCCCAACGGGGCAGTCACTTAGCGGGCCGGGCCGAGAGCCCGCTGTCCGGGCCAGGCTAGTCCAGACTCTCTCTCTCTCTCGCTATCTCTCATTCACGCGGGTGAGGCACCTGGGTCCATCAAAGGAGAATTTCAGAGACTTATCTCCTCGCCATCTTCTTCCAGCCCCCTCCCCCTCATTTCTGGCCTCCTCTGGGTTCGAATAAGGCGGTGTCCCTGGTCAATGGAAAGCCCGGCCCGGACTCTCTTCCTCTTCTTCCTCTTCCTCTTCGTGATCTTCTCCGTCTTCTCTGGTTAGTGCGACTGCTGCTGTCTTAGGACTTGCATCCAGCTTTATATTTGGCTTTAAATCTGGGGAAAAAATGTTCAGGTTCGAGAGTTAACCTCCCGGTGAGCTTACCCTCGCCTCGATTGCATCGAAGATCCGTCCTTGCTCCCCCCTCGCACGTGGGATCTGCCAGGAATGCCATAGCGGAAGCCAGTCAGAAGCCGCCCTCTCTCTCTCTCTCTGCCCGCCCCCAACGCCACCTCCTCTCCTCCCCTTCTCTCCTTGCCACCTTCCTCTGGTAGTAATTAATGGACTTATTACGTGGTATTTATGCATAAGAAATGTCGAGTAGCGCCGCAGGAGCGACGACCTCCCCAAAGCGACCATCACTCTGAATACACACTGCGCTGCTCTCTCCTCTGTCTCCTCGCCATCTTGGGCGCCTGGTCCCTCCGCAGCGCTCTCCCGACGCGAGCCCCGCTCCGGATTTCCGCTGAAGTCGTCCTCCTTCGAGATCCTCCCCCCTCTTCCGGGGCTTGTCGATTCCCGCTCTGGATTTCGCGTAGGTTCTTTCTCCCCGGGATTTCTCTGGGCACCTCGAATCGTCCTTCTTCTCAGAGCGAGGCCCTTTGGTGTCTGTTTCGACACACTTGATTCGCGATCGGGAGCCCGCCCGTGGATTGTTGCGGCCTGAGCCGGCGGCATTCTCTCGTCCTCCCTCGTCTTGATCCGGACATGGCTTCTGCTTCATTCTCCGGAGCTGCGGCGGTGTCGGATCTGCTGCGGAGCTCGTGCAACAGCGTGAACGGCGAGGCCTTCCCGCTCAGGTCGCTGGGTAGGACGCGGCTGGGAGTGGGTTTGAGGAGGGATAGGAGGGACTCTGACGCAGGGGTGGTGGTGGCGAAGATCCGGAAGGAGAAGAGGCACGACTATCCGTGGCCTGGGACGAACCAGATCGACTCCAATGCCAAAGGAGGCCAGCTCAGCTATCTCTCTCATTTCAAACCCCTCAAGGAGAAGCCTAAGCCCGTAACCCTGCCATTCGAGAAGCCCCTCATGGATCTCAAGAAGAAGATCGTCGACGTAAAGTCCTCCTCATCTCTGCCTCTTTCGCTTCTCATTCCGATCAAGACAGTATGTGCTCGACACGAATGGCTCTGTAGTTCTGGAACTATTTATCTCATCTTTCATGTTCAAATTTGTGGCTGCGCGTGGAAGGACTCTGCTGCATGTATGTTGTTCGGTCGCAAAGGCGTTTGGTTCACCTGATTTATTCCTTAACAACTTGCATACAGATGTGTGGAGTGGGTTGGAACTTGGTGGTGAGATGGATAGCTTTTAATCTGTGTCTGAGCTTGTTAGTCTCTATTTGCAGGTGAGGAAAATGGCGGATGAGACTGGATTGGACTTCAGTGACCAGATCAACTCACTTGAAACTAAGTATCAGCTGGTAATTTCTGAATATGATTCATATCTTTCCGTGCAGAGGAAGTAGCGTTCTTCCCTGCATTTCATTGAACGTGTATGCATATAGAGTTACAGGCTTGGAGTTGGCCAGCCTTTAACGTTTGCTTGAGTGACAGGCTTGTGTTGGGATATATTCTTTGAATTTTTTGAGCTCTATTTTCACATTAGTTTCTTTTTGACGTCTCTCTTAAATACTAGGAGCTCTTGATTTCAGGCTCTGAGAGATCTGTATACTCATCTGACACCCATACAACGACTGAGCATTGCCCGACACCCAAACAGGCCAACTTTTCTTGACCATGTCTTAAACATCACGGACAAGGTTTATTCTCTTTTTACTATTTAAAGCACCAGTCTTCCTTTGATTCTTGTTTTTAGGATGCTGCCTATTCGATATCAATCACCGTTTTATTGAAGCAATTACCTTTCTGTCTGTGCAGTGGGTGGAGCTCCATGGAGATCGTGCTGGTTATGATGATCCTGCTATTGTTACTGGCATCGGTAGCATAGATGGTAGAAGTTACATGTTCATAGGACATCAAAAAGGTAGAAACACAAAGGAGAATATTGAGCGCAACTTTGGGATGCCTACTCCTCATGGGTATGAAAATTTTCACCTTTATCACAAGGAAACATCTACCGCTACCTAATTGTTTAACGCATTAACTAGTAAACCTAATGTATCACCGAGTTCCGTTCTTAATGAATTGGCAAGAAATACAGTATCAGCTGATGGATTCCCTTTTATTCTCTATGTTGAATTTTTACCAGCTACCGCAAAGCTTTGCGTATGATGTATTATGCTGATCACCATGGATTACCTATAGTTACGTTCATTGACACTCCAGGAGCTTTTGCAGACCTTAAATCTGAAGAGATAGGCCAAGTATGTATTCAGCCGTACCTTCAAGTCATAGTTCATTTTTTGTAAATATTTTTTAGTTTTGGTGTTACTGTATTTGCTGACCATATTCTTCATAAATCATTAGGGCGAGGCAATTGCACATAATTTGAGGACTATGTTTGGCCTAAAGGTTCCAATAGTTACAGTCGTCATTGGGGAAGGTGGATCTGGTGGCGCACTTGCCATTGGATGCTCTAATAAATTGTTGATGATGGAGAATTCGGTATTTTATGTTGCCAGGTAATTCATTAATTCATAGAAGTGTTTTATATTTTGATATTGAGTCTATATCCATCTGATGCAAGACAGTTGGTCCTAACTTCACTTTGCTATCTGTGGTGAGGTTAATATACCTACTAAATTCACATGGTCTTTACACTTCGTGCTTGGCAAGAGGTTAATCTTATGTCCATTCGCATTTTTTTGGCCACGAGTTTGGGAAAGTCATCCAGAAAATCAGAGCACATAGTAATATCGAAAAAAATTATCTTTGACCACCAAATGAGAACCCTGGGACAGGTGATGTGGCCTCATTTGTTGCAGATCTCAAAACCAAATGTAATGGAATTACGTACATCACAGAAACATACAGAAATAAGTGACAAAATAATCTGTAACAACGGCTACGATTTGCTGTGATAGAGAACATAAACGACCATGATTTTTGTATCACCCTCTCTCTATCGAAAATGGGAAAAGGTGGGCTTGTGTACTAACCAAGGCGTCCACCCACTCAGGTTAACATGCTAAACCCACATCCAGAATCAATAAGCTTCCTCTCCTGCCCTCCTCCCCTTTTCCAGCTACCTTCATACATTGAGCAATCCAATAAAATTTCTTTCTTTTTCGCTTTTGGCTTTGTTGTAAAATTTGAATCATGCTTACGACCTTGTAGTTCTTATTTATTTAACACGTGAATTTTTACCATTTGAAATCTATTTACTGCCTTATATTCATTGCGTGTTATTAAATGAACCGATATGCAGCCCAGAAGCGTGTGCAGCGATCTTGTGGAAAACCTCAAAGGCTGCCCCCAAGGTCTCCTATCCTCAAACTTTCTCTATATAAACTAAGTTTCTTGCACGAAATATACGTCTGAAACATGAAATATGTACAGGCTGCCGAGAAGTTGAGGATAACTGCTTCAGAGTTGTGCAAGCTTAAAATTTCGGATGGGATCATTCCGGTGACTATCTTTATCAACCTTTACTTTGTTTCAACACGGCATACAAAGATCAACAGTGTGTCTTTCCCTTTTGATGATGCGCTGTTCTAAGGAGTGGAAATTATTTTTTAACAGAATTTGGTTCAAATTGAATGTTTGTATAGTGTGCAACGTTCTCGAACATCTTTCTTTGCTGCTCTTTTGACCTAGAGCAATGTCGCAATTTTATGAGAGGAGGAAGATGTTAGCTGTAATTGTTTCATGCATTTTCATGAATTTATCTTCTTGGTCAATTAGTTAGGAGAAAAGGAGTGGGTAGATGCGGCGGTTTGGATGAGGTAGTTGTTATGCAGGTTCGTGGGCGTTGAAGTTTCTGATTTTTCAACTTCTCTGGGACCTCTATACGCCGTTTGTTTCGTGAATCTGGATCTCCCTTTTACATTTGAGAAGAATTGGAGTAAACTTGACTCTTCAGAACTAGTATCCAGTCCAAGTTTATCATTCTTTTCTGCGCTTCGTTCGGCGTAGCTTTAATCTTTTACGTCTCATTCTGTGATTTTTGAATTCTGGATGAGAAGTGAGATTGCATTCTTGCAGGAACCTCTCGGTGGTGCACATACTGATCCCTCTTGGACCTCACGGCAGATAAAGATTGCAATTCTTGAAGCAATGGACGTGCGCGACAAATTCTTACATTTCAGTTTCGGGAATCACACGATTTTTATCTAACGTTGATAAAAAAACGTTTTCTGCTGCGTTCAGGAGCTGTTGAAAATGGAGACTCCGATACTGCTGCAGCATCGGATGCTGAAATTCCGCCATCTGGGAGGCTTTATAGAGGGAGAGCCTGTGGAACCTTCAAAGAAAGTCAACATGAAGAAGAAAGAGGAAACTGTCGTACCGAAGGAGCACACATTGGCAGACCTTAACCTTGAAGACGAGATCGAAAAAATAAAACAACAGATTCTCAATTCTAGAACGGAGGCGGCTTCTCAGACCCCTGACCCGGGTCTGCATGAGATGATCGAGAAACTTAAGGAGGAAGTTGACCAGGAATTTACCGAAGCCGCGAGAACAATGGGCTTCATGGAGAGGCTGGAGGCTCTCAAGAGGGAGGTTGCGAAAGCCGGAAGCTCCGCAGAAAAACCGCTGGATTCAAGCTTGAAGGAGAAGATTCAGAGAGTGAGGCAAGAATTTAATGAGAGCCTACCCCAGTACCCCAATTTCGCCAGCTTGAACTACAAGCTCAATATGCTGAAGGACGTGTTGAAAGCCAAGAAAGCCTCCGAGGGAAATGATAAGGCCTTGTCCCTGAAGCAGGAAGTCAACAAAGCACTGAAATCGGTCTTAGAGCGGCCCGACATCAAGGAGAAAGTGAAGTTGCTGAAATCCGAGATTTCCGATGCTGGAGTGTTGAGGTCGTCTAACTTGGACGCTGGTCTGAAGGAGCGCATCCTGAAGGTGAAGCGGGAAGTGGAGTCCCAAGTGGCCACGGCGTTGAAGACCCTGCAGCTGAGCGTTGAGTTGGTCGCACCCAAGGCGGATATCAAGTCAGGAGTGAAGGAGTTATTTCAACAACCGCCCTACGCTGATCTTGGAGAGGAAATGGAAGATTTGGAGGGCCAGATTGCCAAGAGGATCGTGGACACGATCGAGTCAACGGACCTCAACGACAAAATAGAAATGTTGAAGCTGGAGATGGCGAAGGCCGGGCCCTCGCCTGATCTAGAAACGAGGAGCAGGATCGAGTCAATGAAGCAGCGGCTCAAGCAAGATCTCGCGGAGGCCGTGACCTGCTCACAGTTGATCGATAAGTTTGACAAACTGAAGCATGAGATCTCCAGACGGAAAGAGAATTCCCCAGACTCTGCAGAAAACCTCGAGGGGACTCCTGAATTCCCAGGGATGGAGATCAACGTGGGCTCCAGTAGCCTTCTCTAGTTCCAGTCTTTCTTTCTCTTTCTAGGCGAATTCAGGATGTACAAACTGAACTTCGAGGGATGGATAGCCATTCATGGTCAGCAGAAGTGGACTTCTTTTTTCCTCTGGTAGTGTGTGGATGCTCGGGCTCGTGAAGTTTGTGGGCGCGGCGCATCTTTCTTTTTTCCTCTCCACTGTGTGAACGTTGTTCAATCATTCTCGAGGCGCCCGGTTGATCTCCTCTCGTCTGCCGTTTGCCGGCCTGAGAAAGGCCCGGGCGGGGGGGGAGGCGTCAGTTCAAATAGAAAGACGCTCGTTTCATTTTTAGAGAAGATGGCGTCCTTTACGTGATAATCGTGAAGGACGGGGCTCCGATCCCAGGCGATGGCGCCGGCGATGGACCCCAGGGAGCCTCCGGACATGGCATTATTGGAACGGTAGGGGTCTGATCATGTCCTGGATCGGCCGCCGACTGGGTTGGGTGGCCCTGTGAAGAAAATCAGGAGCAGCAAATAGATCCACAGACTAGGCCCTCCCGAAATTCCCACCAGATGTCTGAATTAGACGCCTTCTGCTTGCCAAGCATCTATCAGAACGGCGTCTGATTCGGAAAACTCGTTGGCTGATAGGCTAATCTAATCTAGCGGCCTCACGTAAATGGAAAGGCGGGTGGACGACGGATTTCCAGCGACAGAGAGAGAGAGAGAGAGAGAGAGAGCGGCCGCCGACAGACAGAGGAGAATGAGATGATGACGACGATGAGTCAGTCAGATGAGATGAAGCACGATGTCGAGGGGTAGAGGTCGCATTTACAGATAGACAATCACACGTTCTGGCAGAGAGACATCACCAAGTGAATTTACAACCACAGCCAACCCCGTCCGGCGCCCATCGGAGGATCACAAATGGGTAGCGAGTGTAGGAGATGAATGAGCGGTGACGCGAGGACGTGAGCTTAACCTATGTTGTATGCCAAACGAACAAGAATAATAATATGCGCGTTGAGGGCGATGAAGACCTCCACATCTATTCCGGGAGGATCAAAGGGGAGGGAAAGGGGGGGGAAAGAGGGAGAGAGAGAGAGAGAGAGAGAGAGAGAGAGAGAGAGAGAGGGATTCAGTCAGAAGGCCTGGAGGACGGGGCGCTTGCCAAGACGCTTGATCTCCTTCTCCATCCGGCCGGTGAGCATGAGGCCAAACATCCGGAGGTCGCAGAGAAAGGACCAGAGCGGATGGCCGAATGTGGCGGGGGTGTTGCCCTCCACGAAGAAGTGGCTGTACCAGGCGAGGGCGTAGCCGATGATGGGGCCGACCAGGAGCAGCCAGCGGCTGACAAGCGGCGAGCAGAGCAGGCAGAGGAGGGCAACGAGGGTGCCAAGGAAGTGCAACCGGCGGGTGGCCGCCTTGGAGTGCTGACCCACGTAGAAGGCCCAGAATTCATCCAGACTCCGGAAATTCATGGCGGCACGAGGGCGATGATTCTTCCAGAGATAAGGCCCAGACACAATACCGACCGACCTGACTGGATACCCTACCCGTCTCTTTCTCCCCTCCCTCCTCCTCCTCCTCCGCCTCCTGCTTCTAGGGTTTCTTCCACTCTTCCCCTTCCCTCCCTCCCTCCCGTTGGTCGCCGAGGAGCGGTGGCAAGAGAGTCGTCGGTCGGCGTCGCCCTTCCCCCGTCCCGTCCCCGTATTTAAGGAAATTTTCGGAAAGGCCCCTGTTTTTTCTCACAAGTACCCGACTATTCCCGAACTTCCCATCACCGGACAGCCGTCGTGAACCACGCGATCGATGACAAGGGAGGGGCAACAAAACGCAGGAACGGAACGGAGCCTCGGTGAGGCGGCTTGTAGCAACAACACACACCACGTGTCTAACGTGGATGAATGAAACAGTCAGGCCAGTCAGTCTGACTTCGGGGATACAGTTGCTTCTCGGCGGCGTTCATGGGTCGCTCGCTGGTAGAACACCACCGTAGGTGGCGGCTCTTATGGCGCAGCAAAAAGTGCAGGAGAGGAGGGGAGAAGGGGAAAGGAGGAGAGTGCGGTTATGGAACCGGGCATTCGCCGATGCCCCATATGTCCTTGGCGTACTGCGAGATGGTGCGGTCGCTGCTGAACTTGCCGCACCCGGCGGTGCTCAAGATGGACATCTTCAGCCACCTCGTTCGATCCCTGTTCAAGCAGAGAAGAGAAGAGGAGGATGGGAGGAGGAGCGGTGAGACCATTAGAGAGCAAACGCGGAGGAGGCACAGAGAGAAAGAGCAGATGGAGGAGCACCTGTATGCCTCGTCCACCGCGGCTTGAGCGGCGATGTAGCCGGGGAAGTCGTGGCCGACGAGGAAATAGTCGCCCCGCCCGTACCCAGAGTCGCCTTCCAAGGAATCCAGCAGTGGGCTGTAGTCGTAGCTGCCAAAGGCACCGTCTCTGATGAGTTTCTTCGCGTCCTCGAAGCGGGGGTCTGGCTTGAACTGCGAAGACGGCGGCACGGCGCAGAAAAGAGGTCATGACGGCGATCGAAGAACAACAATAATCATGGCGGAGGGCTGTAGCAAGGGAAGGCTGAGGGATGGTCACCAGTCCGTCTTCTCTCTGCTTGCGGAGCACAGGGACCTGCTCGGCCCTGGCGCCAAAGAGGAAGAAGTTCTCCTCCCCAATCTCTTCTCTGATCTCAACATTTGCGCCGTCAAGGGTTCCGATTATCATGCAGCCATTCAGGGCGAATTTCATGTTGCTGGTCCCGCTCGCCTCCATCCCAGCCGTGCTGATGTGCTGGGACAGCTCGCTCCCGGGGATGAGCATCTCCGCGACGGAGACGCTGTAGTTTGGAATGAAGATGACCTGCTCCCCTCCCGGGGTTGATTAGCAGGTGACTACTACCGATCAAATATATACAGAAAAGGAAAAATGGAAGCTAGGGAAAGACGAATTTTTTAATGGCAACATTGATAGATAATCATCGACACCAAGGGACTCTTCCTCGCCTAACCGTCCACGAGGACAACACCTCTAGGTGCTCTCAGTCAGAGAAGATGCCTATAAGCAAGCACGGAGGCAGAGAAAATCTTCCGAGGCCTAGACCTCGACCTAGTGTCATACCAAGTGAAACAGTAATATTTTGTGATTTTACAGAGGAAGATAACCACGTCCCGGTTTGGTGAACAGTCATTTCACTCCTGGTCGAGTCAAAGGAAAAGTCTCTGGCCGTAATCGCACATACTGAAGCCTATTTTGGGTGAATAGAGTCAAATATGCCGAGATCTAATATAAAATATGGAAACATTTCATGGGGGTCACAGGAGAGATTCGTCTTGAAATGATAATGATTTTTAAAGAAACCTGTTCATCTACTTGGTAAAACCTGAAATTTCGATCGAGTGATATGGAGGTGTCAACTGGCACTGCCACTGCCACAGACTCATAAACTGACACACAGGATAGTATCTAGTAGGCGTAGGAGGAACAACAGGATATCTATTGATATCCAGTTTCAGAACGGAATCTGACATAGATAACCCCGGGGAACTCCCATTTATGAAAATACTCAAAATTGGTCGACTACACCAGGCATTCAATGTGGACGACGAGTTCAAGGGTCGACAGAACCACCACAACTTAGTTCAGATACTGTAATGCTTGGCCACCAACTTGAAGTCACTCGTGATCAAGAAGGGTCCGATGGCTACGATGATATCAAATCATAGTCGTTTTCTTAGTGTTTTTATACAAAAAATAATTGAAAAATGTCCATGGTAAAACGATATAAGAAAACCAAAATTTTGAATTTTAAATCACCAAATGCTGAAGTATTTATGCCAGTAATGAAGGAAATAATATACAGATGCCAGATTCTATTTTAGGGCACAGCTTAAGTTTATTTTTGTCAAATAAAAATGGAGTCTAAGTACAAATTAACTACAGTAAGGGTATTGCGGTGATACAAGGAAGAATCAATACCTTTAAAAGGTCACTTGTTTCAGAGTCATTGTTGACTACAGTGCCGACATCATTCACCAGCTTGACTATTCTTTTAGCATTCGTATATGTGGCAAATGCCTTTCCCCCAAGCATGATGGTGCGTGGTGTTGTTCCTTTCCTTTCTTCAGGGGTCATTTCCTTCAAACATTTTTTTTTCAATAATCACAGTTTTAAGCAGAATTGCACAGAGCGCAATAGAACAAAACTTTAGCAGAGAAGATTCCTCCCACTTATGAGACAGTCTGGGTAAAACATGTTATAATCTATCCATATATTTATACAACATTGATTTATTTGACATTCCATCATGCCTTCCATGCCCTATCACACAATATCTGCAAAGTAAAAGTTTGAGTAGGATCCTACCATAGATAAAAGCTCGATGATCAAAACAAAATGGGATCTGTTTATACCTTCAGTTTCTTGTATCTATGGACCACTCCAAGAATGTTCAGTAGTTGCCTCTTATATTCATGTATACGCTTAACCTGTATGTCGAAAAGGCTATTGGGGTCGATCCTCACACCAGTCGCTTGGGAGACGTATTTTGCCAGGCGGTGTTTGTTAGCCATTTTTGCTGATGCCCATTCAGCTTGAAGTTCCTCATTGTCAGCAAACTATTAAAAAAACACTGAGTATACTGGTGTAACATATGAGCAGATCATTAAATAGAGTACCAAAGATACATCAGCATACTTTACGTAGCCCAGTAAGAAGATCAAGGTCAGTGATCCATTCGTCAGTAGTCAGCCACTTGGTGATTACGGCACTCAATTCAGGGTTACAGAAACGAAGCCATCGGCGAGAAGTGATGCCATTTGTTTTATTCTGAAACTTGCTAGGCCATAAGGAGACATAGTCTGCAAACAACTCAGACTTTAGAATGTTGCTGTGCAGTTCTGCAACACCATTTACCTGAAAAAATTTCATGAAAAGACATTCAAGGCATTAATACCAGAATCATTAATGTGGGACAGTGAATGACTCGCATAAGTCTTAAATGAAATTGTGAAACACAGCTACACCGTTGTCCAAGGATTTACATCACATAGTTACATCTAAATGAAATCAAAGTATCTGATTTCTAGCCTATCATAAGCGTAACACTGAGATATTGAATTCGAAGTGAAAACATAAATCAAAGACCATGACAAAATCAATGGATGACTTCCTGGGATTGACTTTTTTCGGTGATTTGCTTCCCTCTTTGATTAGGAGGATGAAAATATACCAATAGCCATCAATAATACCTCAAAGAAAGAAAGAAAAAAAGATACTTTCAACTATTTTACAGGAATACTCGATTATCATTGCAAAAGAAAAACTTTTCAAACGGAAGATCTCTGGATTCTAAAATTTTAATATAAAAATTCTATCATTTTTTTTGCGAAGCACAAATTTCTGCGAATAAATAATTATTCAGAATAATTCATGTAAAATCTATTGTCTCAAAGAACAATATTTTAATCCTTGAAAAGCAGCACACGATAGGCCAGTTTTTTTCCCCTTACCGTATGTGAGGAAACTACACACAGATTGGCCATTCTCACAACAGGCTTCTCTGTATTAGAGTAATCCATGATGCGCATGCTGGAAAGCTTGTTCTCCATATCTTGTTGTGTAGAACGTACCATAATTATGAACTGTGAAGGATACAAATCACCCTTAATCACTTGGTTTTTAAAAAGGTTGTAAAGTATAACAAAGAGGCAAGGATAAGATGCTTGCCCGCTTGTCAATTTCATCTATGATTTCCATATGACGTGGGAGAAGCTTTGTTATTAATTCCTGCGACCATTTCTCCAGTGCCTCAGGCAGTACAGTGTGATTGGTATATGCAACTGTCCTGGTGCAGGAGAATCAAAATTCATAATGCAAACAATCTTACGGTATATATCAGATATCAATTAAATTTGGCTTAAAATGGCCCAAAAGTTTGGAAAATGTTGAAACACCGATGTTTGCACAGAAACAAATCGCATCAAAGAACATTAGAAACCTTCTTGTCAAATCCCAAGCTTCATCCCATCCAAGTCCTTCCTCATCCATCAATAACCGCATCAGCTCCGGAATTGCAAGGGTTGGATGAGTATCATTCAGTTGAACAGCAACCTTAGTAGGAAATTCAGACCACTGTATCTGGCCTTTTCCACATCTCCTCTCCTTGAATCTACCAATAATATCCTGTGGGAACGACACTTAGAAATCATCATTTACAAGCAAAAGGTTGCTTCCTGTGCTTAGGCTTATACAACTTGAGAAAAATTCTTCATCGACAGATCTTAAGCATATTATAAATAAAAGAAAATATCATATAACAGAGCCAACACGCAATGAAATCTTTTCTTTTTCAAGGAAAAAATAGTATAATCTAAGAAGATATGACTCTGGATCACCAGATTTCAGTGCGTTGTCTTTTCCCGGAAAGCACCAGGAAACCCGCACTCATTCCTGTACACATACATATCGGCATAGGTAGCTGTGTCACGCTAAGTAAAGCTCCTCTATTAAAGGAGGTCCCCGCTTTCGACCATGAGCTCCTCAAAACGACAAGATGTTCCTCTGGTTTTTGTTAGCGGAGGAAAACCAGTGATTCACGTATCTGGTAAATCTCAACAGATATAGAGAAAGATGCAGGGAAAAACGAAGCCCCAGATATCATGACAAGTAAAAAAAACTAGGACACTGAGCCACACCAAGTAACATCTTTATGGGGGAAAGCGCACCATAGACCAGGAATTTTTAGGAGAAAAATACAAAAAGACATATAAAAAGAATAAAAAATGGAATAAAAGTGGATATTTCAGGATAACAGAAGGTAACGGAGTTTGTATGTTCGAAGATTTTGTTTCATGTTTCAGCTCGATAGTCCATACGAAAATTAAGGACTAGACGTATATTTAATGGGATATCCCAAACTTTCAATGTATGTGCATATACCACTTTATAGAGATGCAGGCTTCCTATTTTGAAACCATAAAAACTCTAAACTGAAAAAATATCAGCAGTTAAAATTCTAAGCCCACATGTGAAGCTCAAACTCTCTGCTCTACTCACATTCAATGGCTGCATGTGAAACACGAATGCTACATGGCCCATGTGATCTGATCTGAGAGATGTGAACAATTTATTAAAGAATTATCATTTAAATTTATCATCGTTTCCCAACGGTCACGCCAAGACATATCCAAACATAGAAGCAAGTGGCTGATCTTTGAGTTTTCGACAGAGAGTTGGAGGGAATTAGAAGTAATCAAATAAAAAAGGACACAGAAATTTGTAGTCTTTTCATCAGCAACGTTTAGTTCTTTTCAAACCAGTGTTCTAAATTTCGAAGTTCTCAACCAAGTATTGTATCCAGATTTCATCAGATTTCTTTTGTATCAGATTGATTTTCTTTGTACCATTTAATGGTGTGCTTCTTCGGCCAATACACGTATGCTAAGTGAAAATAAACTATTGTTTTGAAAATTAGTTGATCTAAAAATGGAAAAAAGAAACTTCCTGTTGTTTTCATGATAGCGTGGTGCCAAATGAAATAGTCTGTTTTGACTTTATATTACTGAATCCATCCTCAGATAGAACAATCTCTTAGTTACGTATCCATTTCATGGGTTCATTATACCTCACAAAACCAATTAAAACTTGCAAACATAAATAATAAATAAAACTCTTAGGAGAAGGAGGGTGTGCACCTCTAAAAATAGATACATAACTAAAAGGAAGATGGTAGCGTGACATTAGAGGGGAGACAAACATAGGAATGATTATGTACCTGAATGGAGGCACTACAAAGGAAAAATTGTTGCTTCAGCCGCAATATCTTTCCGTTCTCTGTGGCATCACCAGGATACAAAACTGCACAAATCTGCAACACAGGTAGACCGTAATCAGGAGCGTAAGGCGAATACATGTTCATAACAATCTGTTGTGGAGCTTGACATAACATAAGCATCTACGAAAATGTGGGCTACTGTAAACCGTAACAACAAGGGTAATAAAATAGATCCCCAAATTATTCCCATTTTTTTTCCCTCTCAAAATAGCCGTTTGTGTGTTAACTACTGTTCAAAGACAAATAAGGTTCAGGAAATTAACAGATAGAAAATGAAAAGAGGACATGGCATACAGGTTTTGACAGGGTGAACTTCACAGAGATGCTGGAAGGACGAGTTATTCAATTTTTGTTCAACAAATACAATTGAGAAAAGCAAAGAAAATTCTCCTATTGGGAGCATATGTCTGACTTTGACGCTCAAGACAGCTTCTTTATGAATGGAATGTCAGAGGTCAAACCTCTTGAGCTCTATGATGAAGTTGTGCAGCAGATTCATACTGTCCATCATTAAACTGAAACAGATTAAACTTCTCAGAACCAGCTGTTGCTTCCCAGAGGCGAAGACTAATTGTATTTTTTGTTTTGTACCCTGGAATGGGGACATCGTAAGCCAATGCTTGGATAACTTCACCACCAACCCACTTCCGGCTGTCCAAAGGAGTAAAGATTAGAAAAAAAAATCGCAAACGTTTCTAGCACATCTGTAAAAATAAAAATAAGAAATATTATTCTGAATGTATAACGTAAACAAAGAGCTACTCTATAATTACTTTCACAAAACATAATTCCAAAACAAGACAGATAATGACATGTTCATAGAACGAGCACAAAAAATACTGCCCTTTGACAATCAACTCTCATTATCAGACAGAATTTCTAACAGGAATGAAGGTATAATAATGTTCCAATATTTATTCCTCTTGCTTACTTTAATACAAAAATACATAAAAAACGGAAATCTGATAACTCTAGTCCCTTTTCATCTGCTTGTACGAGATAATCTGAAAATGGTATTCAAAAGCTAAAATAGATGCCAGGCAGGGGACGAGAAGGATAATGTTTAGCACACATATCTCTATCAATTATAAGAAACAATTTAGAATTTTTCCAATGTAACAGATAGACAGAGAGACAGATACAAGTTCTGCTGGGAGATACTTACGATCCACTAGGAGAGACCTCCACATGGCCAAAGAATCTGACTGGAAATGCAACGTCGTGCCTGACAATCTCCCATGGATTGAACCTCTGAAAATGAACCATCAAAACCGAAGATAAATTCCTTTTCTTGTATCGAATCGAATAAAAAAATATAAATAATAGAATGGAAATTTTAATTGGAATTATCGAAGAAATAAAACTGTTAAATTTAACCTCGAGCCAGTCTTCGGCAACTTCTTCTTGTCCCTCCCAAGAAATGCGTTGTTTGAATAAGCCATATCTGTACCGCAGACCATAGCCCCAAGCAGGTAGATTTAATGTTGCCATTGAATCCAGAAAGCATGACGCAAGCCTTCCTAAGCCTCCATTTCCCAGAGCAGCATCTTTCTCCTGCAAAGATTTTTCCCTAGTTCAAGTTCAACAACATGATTTACCATTTTTGTAAATAGCAGATCCATGTTTCTATTAGACATTCATACGGGATACCTCAACAAACAGTGAGAAGGTGGGTGGAAATGTTAATCACGATCTAGCATAACGAATGCCTCATATGAGCATAAATAGTAATAGTACTAATTGAAAATCATAATAATCGAGCGATCAAACCATGACTAAGAGTATTTGAGGGACGAAAATTTTCTGATCCGTCAACAAAGACATGCACTGGACGTACATGGGACAAAAGCATCCATCGATCAAGGTGGAACCCAATCAGAACAAGGAAACAAAATCACAAAAGGGTACTTTTATTTCTGGTCGGCAGTCTGATTCCACCAAAACATTTTTTACACAAAATTCCTATTTGTGAGAATAGGTCAAATACCTGCTAATGGTGACAGAGTTCCGACAGATATCAGTTGGCAATGACATTGAGTGACAGAGATGTAAAATAAGAACATCCATGCGTAGGTACCAAGATAAAATTTTAAAATCAATGTATGAAAAAACTAAAATGAATAAAAAACAAAAAAAACACCGGATGAAGACGGAGCCTAAGCTCTAGAGAAAGAAATAGAATACAAGATCAAATCTTCACAAAAAGACTGCGTATGCGTAAAAGAAGAATCACATACTTGCTCAGCTATGTCTTCAAGTTCATAGCCTAGTTTCTTCAGAGCATCAGCATACGAATCAAGGAGACGCAGGTTTCCAACTGCATTGGTCAAAGCTCGGCCTTGCAGAAATTCCATTGAAAGGTAGTAAGTCTGCTTTGGATCAACTTTATGAAAGTGGAAATACGTGTCGTTCCATCGCTGCAAAAGTGACGAATCCCACATACCATACAGGATTAACCATAAGGAAGTCATTAATTTGTAACATGAGAGTAGCATCGCATGTTTCTAGTCGAGGATAAGAGTGGCATCGTAGAATCATTATGGCTCGTCACGATGAACATGGAACAGGCCAGTCGCAACGGAACTTACTTGTATCAGAAGGTCACGAACACTATGCGCAGTGGCATAGTAGGCTTGCTCCAGCTCAAACTTGACAGGGGAGAAACAAGGACTATACCGTGCATGGTAGTTGATGTTGGATGCTATCTCCGAGGGCTCTTGAGCCAAAGGGTGTGCCACTCCTGGAACCGTGTTCGTGACTCGCGCAGACTCCCCACTGTTTCCCTTGAACGCAGACATCCTCAAATCCTAAATGCCACCGTTCTGGCAACCTCAGAAAAGGCAGAAGAGGGTGAGTCAGCGACGTGAACCAATGAATAAAATCAGCTCCGAAAATAGGAGAAGACTCTCTTTTTTTCTTCGAACCGGTCCATCAGAGACCGGAAATGCCCCGTCAGATCTATGAATTCTAGTTATTTACGGTCGTGCGGGAGTGGAACGGACGATCAGATCCCTATGGTAAGCAAACGAGTAAAACAGCACGATAAACGACGACAGCACTGAGCGCGAATTCAAGAGGTTGAGAAGATCACAAACAGTTCTCTTTTCAACACGCGAAAGAGGATCAAATCGGCGAAGAGAGAGAGGGAAAGTGGCGTGCTCTGGACCAAAGCCAATTCGAGCAAAGACTACGACGACGAGGAAGAAGGAAAAAGAAAAGGCAAAGGTGCTCGATCGCACCGTGAGCTCTCACGGGATCAGGGAGAGGTGGCCTCACGGGACAGAACGCGACGCAGGGGCGAGCGAGTGCAGGGCGAGAATGAGGCGGAGAGAAGCGTCCCAGAAGAGAAGAGTTCAGTAGAGAGAGCATGGATGAATGGATGGAGGGAGGACTAGACCGTAGGAGAAGGAGAGACCAGCAAGCCGGTAGAGAAGCGCTGGCAGCGAGACATTTGGAGCCTCCACGCCCGTCCCGCTTTTTTGTGGGACCCGACTTCTCCGCTTCTTCCGCGTTGCATCGACCGGAGAGAGAACGTCACCCCTTCGTCCGCCTTTTGGCGTGGCGACTGTCATTTATTGACACGTTTTTCCTCTCCGGATTCCGCGATTTCGTCGGATCCGGGTCGAACCGGACGGAGCGGTCTTCAGACGTGGCATGGTATGCCAACGGAGTTCATTTAACTCTTTCACTGACCCAATAGGAACGGATCGACCCATTGGGCCGACGAGGAGCAGGAGGACGGATGGGCCCACTTTCTCTGGCCCAACACAAACCCGGAGGGAGAGCTGAGGGACACCGTTCGCTGCTCTGCTCCTCCGACGGAGTCCGCTGAAAGATGAACGACGGCCTCCGGCATGGCAGCGCAGACCCGGAGGAGATGAAGTACGCCGTTATCTATCGCCAGTCTCTGCTGCTGCGAGGCTCTCGAAGAGACCCTCCGCAGTCGGCTGAAGAGGAGGGCATCATCGGGTTGGCGGCGAAAGAGGCGAAGGAGAAGCTACTTATTACCACCACCACGCGATTCGAGAACACAAGGAACGCGCCACTTGGCTCTCTCTTTCTCTCTCTCCTCACTCTCTCTCTGCACCGTCACGAGCATACGTACACGAGCACAGAGGCAACGCCTCCGCTCCGGCAGGTCGCCCACGCTCTGAAGAGTAGGGAAGGGGAAGGGAGACAAGTCAGGGAGCCGTCGTCGTGGAAGGGAAGGGAGGAACCCAAAAAACAGAAAAAAAGGAAGGCAATATTTTGTGGTAATAAGGTAGTGGTGGTGGTGTACCTGAGCTCAACTCATGCCGGGAAGATGGGGACAACAGAGGCGGGGCAGTCGGTCCTCTTCCCAGCGAGGGAGTAGTAGGCGAGGATCTGGGCGGGCTGCTCCACCGTGACGACGCCGTCGGCCTCCTCCAAGTGGAGCTGCTGCGGGGGGATGAACTCGATGTTCCAGAAGCGGCGGGCCATGTTCAGGAGGTCGGTGCCGTCCGGGGAGGCCTTGTAGCCCTGCACCCAGATGTACCTGAGCGAGGTCAGCTGCAGCACGGCGAGCGCAATGGCCCGCTCGCTGAAGCAGCAGCCCCTCAGCTCCAGCTTCTGCAGGTCCGGGCAGCCCCTCGCGAAAGCCAGCAGCCCATTGTCGGTCTCCCCCACGTAGCCCAGCAACATATACCGGATGTTCTGGCTCAGATCCCCGATATAGCGGAGGCCTGTGTCGGTGAGGCCCCCCTGCCGGAGGTAGAGGGCGAACCTCCGCAGGGATGTGCACCCCCTGAGCAGCGCCCGCACCCCGCTGTCCAGCGGCAGGTCCGTTATCCTCTCCTCCCTGTCCAGCAACACCAGCCGGAAGTCTCGGAGCTTCTTGCTGAAGGTGCCCAGCGACGCTAGCGCCGCGTTGGTGATGTCCGACACGTAGACCGCCAGGTACTCCAGCTCCGGGCAACCCTGCGCCACCGCCGACAGGCCCCTCTGCGAGACCTTCCCCTGCTCGTCCTCGTACTCGTCCTCCCCTCGCTCTATTCTGAGCCTCCTCAGCTTCTTGCATCTCTCTGCCACGATCTCCAGCCCTCGGTCCCCAATGACGTTCCTCACCTGCCATGTATGGATGCAGCTCCCCTCTCAAATTACTTCCCATTGTTGGACAGAGATGGAGAGAGAGAGAGAGAGAGAGAGAGAGAGAGAGAGAGAGAGAGAGAGAGAGAGAGAATAAAAGTACCTCGAGGACCTCCAGGATGGGGCATTGCTGAATCAGCTGGCAGTGGTCCTCGGTGCTGAGGAAGGTGAACTGGAGGTCCAGCTTCTTGAGATTGGCAGCGAAGGGGAAGATGATGGGCATCTCATTCGTGCCCATGAAGCTGAGGCCCAGGCGGCACAGCCGCGGCGGGAACCGGATGTTGCGGTACACGCTGTCCTCCCCCCCTCGGTCGTTGAACGAGCCGCCGCCAAACTCCTCCAATGCAGTCGCCGCAGCAAAGAACCGCACCAGGTCCAGGATGTCGCAGTCGCTGATCTTCAGGGATATCAGAGACATGCAATTCGTCGCCAGCAGCACGAGGTCCTCGCATGAGATCCGCAGCTCCGTCATGTAGAAGTTCAGGCTCTCCAGGACGCTGTTGTTGACAGCAAGCTCGCGTAGCCACTCGCCGTCGTTCTCCAGGATCGAGCTCTCCTCCAGAAATAAGGTTTTCAAGCGACTGCACATGAACCATGCTCGCGTCAGTCGGGCATTTCGAGCACTCGAACACGGAGGCCCAACATGATAGATAAGCCAGTTGACCAACATGAACACCGGTCAACTGAAAGATCTGACCCTGTCAATGTTCTATGCCTCCGACGGCTGTGTAACTAGATTTCAGCCACATCGATTTGACGACAACGGGCAGCCTAGGGGTCATGAAATATTAGTTTAGGAACACCTGGGAAATTTCTAGGCACATTTGAGTCCCCAGCCGAGGCGGGCACTGCAACGTTTGATGATCTAAGCCTCGGAGTCATGTGCACGAGGAAAGTTAGAAAATAGGAGGGAGAGAGGGAGGAAGGGAGGGCAACAAAAGTCTCCACAAAGCTGGCAGTAAAATCTTGGGATGCATCGAACTGCGGCTCTGAGCAAAGATGAGAGGGTAGCCGCTGACGGAAAAGGTAAATCAGAAGAACGGGGCAGGCACTGAAATAAAAGATCAAAGAATATACGAGGGTATGTAATTCATCTGAAAAGTAAAACCGATATGAAAATACAAGCCTGCGAAAGTAGGAGATGGGCATCAAAGGAGCCAAATCCTTCGAGGGCTCCAAGTTTTTCAAATATGGATGAATGTTTTCTTCCTCGTCGTGCGGAGTGCCATGCATGCATGGATGAACCCCAGGTGCAGGAACAGGCAGACAAACCCCATGAATGCTCTCATTCCGAACGCAATCCAGCCATGGACTGGCAGAGTACACACACGGACCAGATCCCCAGGAACCTTCACTGTGATATTAGAGTGTAAACGCACGACCAGACAAGACACGCCAATCCTTTCTAGTTTTTTGCAAATAGGCCAGAGATAGATGCAAGTTTTTCACGAGGGAAAGTCGCACTGTAAGTGATAGCCTTACAGAAACCCTTGGGAACTTTAAAGGCACTAGCCAAGAATCCAACAAACTACTCAAAGCTCTCGTGAGATGCAATTCAAGTCTTGTGGTCTCCTCTTTCCAGAAAGTCAACATCACGGAAGTCAAGTCAAGTCAAGAGGCACCACCCGTGACTCGGAACCATTTACTTCATCATATAAACGAGCCCACATGAAAGCTTCGGGGGGTTGAAATTTGGGGACCCCTCCTCTTCAATGCAATGCAGCGATGCTCATTCCGTCACCTGTAATAATGCTACAGCGCCCTTGGATGCCTCGGATAAACTTGAAAACTTCAAAAATGAGTGCTCCGTTGGCATCATGTTATGACCAGAAGGGGCATTCGGTTGCCAGTCCAGACTTGCAGAACTGGGAGCACCGATTCCCAGTGGATATCCAGGGGAGGGAGAGGGTTGACTTCACAAGACACATCCACCGGGATAAAAGGGGAGAGCGGGGGAGGACGATCCCCTTCATCATCGTGCATAGAAAGAGACCCAGCAGAGCAAAATGATGGCAATCAGTAAGCGCGCACATTGCGCACCCGCAAAATGGGGAGGGGGCAAAGAAGTTCCAAGGTAGGTAGGTATGTTGGCCACCAGCTTTCCATTTCGCGAGCAGAGCGACTTCCCAGGCCGAGTTGTTTTGAGCTACCCAGGAAGACCAGCATGAGAAGGACAAAAGCAAGACAAATGGTATAAAACGGAGAGGAAGAGGAGCAATCAAGAGGGCCGTAATCATATTTTGCGGCAATTCAACCTATCCACGCGAATTATGGAAAGCATATCTCATGGTCAAGGAGAGCATTGCACCTGCAAGTGCGGCCGACTAGCTTGAGGGAATCCGTGGAGAAGCCAGAGCATTTGTCCAGCTTCAGTGCCTGGAGCATATGACCCCGGGCCCGGATGAGGACCTCGAGGTCGGCGTCCCTCACGATCATCCGCCGGAAGTGGATGGACTTGAGGCAGGCAAAGGCCTCCGCGATCACATTGATCCAGGGGCCGACGTAACCTCCCCAGTCCTCTGGTATGAGGTTGAACATGGCCGCCCGGGGCTTCCCCTTGAGCTTCAGTGACTCGAGCCAGGGGAACCTCATTCGCAGGCGATCTGGGGTGGTGGAGTAGCAGAGGGCGATGGTTATGTGCTTCCGGGTGATGGCGTCGATGTTGTACCACTTCTTGCACACCTGGGAGACGGCGTCCCGGTCCCGGGGGTCGTCGAGGTACCCCATGACGAACTCCAGGGCAACGTCGGATATGCCGAAGCTCATCATCCTGCTCAGGTTGCGGGCCGCCATCGGGTGGAGGTTGCGGGTGGAGACGGAGGCGACCGAGCAGAGATCCGCCCGGCAAGAGCCGGCCCCCAGAAGGAATCCACCCGCCGAGAAGAAAGAACGTAGCCCTCGACCAAGGAGGCCGGGGGGAAGGGGAAGGGATGGGGGAACCTAAACAGGAAGGAGGGCCTCTGGGTTTTATAAGCTCGAAATCTCCAGCCGCTGCAACCTAGAGAGCGGCCCGGCTACGAGATCGGGCGGGCACGTGAGCAGGAGAAGGACGTGAGCGACGGGTATGTGGAATTGTGCGCCCCGCACCACAGGCAGGAAGGAGCAGGGGGACAAGGGAACTGGAGGAGCACAGCTGCCGAGCATCGGATTCCGCACAGGAGTGCCCACCTTGGCCCGGCGGAAGCAGGAAACCGTAGAAATCGGGTGAGGTAAAGAAGAGGAAGGGAAGGAGAAGGGGAGGGAGGAGGGAAACCAGGACTAGGAGCGGCAAGACTAGCAGACGGGTGAATCAGAGCCCTCGATCCCGACCATCTCCACCTTTGGATCGCATCCTCATCGTCCCCCGCGTCAACCACGCCCGGAGACGATTTTGTCGGCCGCGCAATCCACGGTCACAGGGAAGCCGGGGGGGGGTAGGCGGGCTGCCCCATAGCCGGCGATTTGCCCGCCTGGAGGCCCAGAGCCACCAGACCTGACCCAGTCGGGGAGAAGCGTCCGCCCGGCTCTGGCAATCTCAGGCGGTTGCCGGGCTGCCGACCAACCATCCAGGGAGTAGAGCTCCGACGGCGTCGTACCTCTCCCGCTCAAGCCCTAAATCCTCCCCCCCTCCACCAACAACCTTTTTCTCTGCGCCCCGCCCCCCGAGATGGAAAAGCGGATTCGTGTTCTTGCAGAAGGAAAGCGGGACGAAGGGGGCGGGCCTCTGGGTTGAGTTGAGAGAGAGAGAGCAGGACAGATCTTATTCTCAACTGGGATTGGATTGGGCGACGAGGGTTTCATAAATACGGCTTCTTAGAATATCTTATCTCCTGGAGGGAAGAGGGAGGGTGCCCACAAACAAAGACCAACCCGAGGTCACGGCGCCTGACGCCGACTCCGATTACTCCACTCCGTCTCCGCCTCGCGGCAGAAGAAATGTGTTCCCGGGGCGTTGGGGTTCAGTTATCGACCGTCAGCTAGCCTAGCCACCCTTCCCCCACCCCCGGGGGATCGGACGACGAAATGAGTGGGGATCGCCGTCGATTAGACCTATCCCTAATTCGCAGCGGCCTGCAGCAGGCCCTCCCCTTACCCCTCCTCCCGTCTCCTCTCCCGTCATCGTCACGTTCTTTTTCTCTGCATCGCCGCTGACGCCACGCACCGCACGGAAGCAACCCGGGGTGGGGGGATGGAGGGAGTAGTCGGTCACTCGTGTGCGTCGATGGCCCCTCCTCCCTCGCCCGCGGGGCCGTTGAGGAAGATGACGACGGACCCCGATGTGACGCTTCCGGGCTCCACCTGCTGCGCTGCCTCCCGGCGAGGTCAAGCGAGGCATCGATCGCCTGGAATGACGTGTCGGGAGGGCTCGATCGGCGTATCCCCGGCGCCGTCAGCGCGGGCAGATTGAGGATTGGGGGATATCCATCTCAGATTGTTTGTTGGTTCGGGGGCAAGGGCGAGAAGGGGCCGTGGGTTCCCCCCTATCCTCCATTTCAAGACGGCACGGTCCTCTCTCTCTGCTCGAACGGCCTCGTCATATAGACTATTACCCAGTTGCGGGTGGCTGGCTCTTGCCCCCCCCCCCCCACCATTAGAGCCACAGCAGACTGACTGCCCAGTGGTGGCTTCTAGGCCGCCACAGAGAGAGAGAGAGAGAGAGTGAGAGAGAAAGAGATGAATATATTTGTGAATCAGAGAGAGAGAGAGAGAGAGTTCATGTACCGACGGAACATGGACGCCACCGACGGTCGTACCCTTGTCTGTTCGGCAGAGAAATCTCTGACAGTCTGCAGGGCCGGCCAGGCGGCGCGCTGTCGGGAGGAAAAAGGAAAGAGGGCGAGGGGAGGGGCGTCGGATGATGTGGGGATTTGAAATCAAAGACGACGGGATAACAGGATATCCGCGACGGGTAGAGAGGAAATCAACAGCAGCAGGAGCAGGAGCAGGGCAAGCAAACAATCCGGGGTGACGGAGGGAGCAGGGGGAGAAGTAGAACCCAGGATTTGGATTCCCTGCGAAGGGCACGGAAGGGAAGGAAAGAAAAAGGAAAGCGAGCTCACAGGAACAGGAAGCCCATGCGGCGGGGGACATTCATCCGGGAGAGCAGTGCCTCCGATACGTCGGAACCCCCAGTAGGAAGTCAACGGTCCCTCACGCTGATCCGATTCTCCCGCCAGCACCAGCGGCTCCCTTTCGAAATCGCGGTCAACGAGTGGGCCCGCCCGATCCCTGCGCGATCCTGCTGCATCCATAAATCGGTCAAAACCCGCGAGGAGACGTTAAAGCTGACTCAGAGGGCGTCGCCCCTATCCGTTCGGTAGTGGCCCGGAGGAAACCCCGCCTCATAGCAGCTCGTTCCAATGCCTGTCCGAACGGTTTGGGATCGGGCGACCTGGGGCAGGAATGAGACGAGAGAATTAGGTTGGGGGGGGCGGAAGGGCCACCTCGGAGGAGAGGCCATTCTTCGGAAGGATTGCCTCACTGGTGGGTTGGTGGTCTTCGAGTCGACAACTGTGGGGAATATGCGTATCTTTTTTTTTCTTTCTCTACACTTGTTCGGTACAAATATCCGCACCAGGCATCGTTCCGCCGCCCCTGAAACAACGACAGGTTAGTCAACGATAAGCGGTGGCCATGCCAGGAGGACATGGGATTCAATTTACGGCGAGAGCCGTTCACAAGGGTTAGAGTTCTCTGCAAGAAGTAGAGGAGTCGCCGCTGGCCCTACACACTGCCCTTAGACAGGATCCGACGCGACCAGATTTATTAAAAAAGAAAAAAGAACAAAAAGGGAAGCCCACCTCCGACGTCAGAGATACTTACAGAGAGAGAGAGAGAGAGAGAGAGAGGGAGAGTAGGAAGAAGGAGCTCTCAGAAATCCCTGCCCGGTCTACGGGTTGGTGGATGTCGGCGTATCCTTCTCTCCTTGCTGATCTTCCTCCGTAATCCTGATGCGGTCCGTCCTACGCCGTCCCCCCTGGAGAAAAAAAATGGTCAAGGTGGGTCAATCACAGCACCACATCAGAAAGGAAGTTGCCCGTCGACAAGGTCAAATACTCTCGAGAATCGACGCAGTCGCCAGAGGAGAGTGAGTAAGTCAACTAGCGTAGGTGATGCCATGCCACTTGTTGTCCCCGATCAACCGGTGAGGAGAGTCAGCGTAGATGCTTCTGACCGCGCGGGGAGGATGAATAAGGGAAAAGGCGGAGGAACACCTCGTCAGATTTCTGGGATCTTGCCACCATCCTCATGTACTGGTCCCGGGCCTCTGGACAGCGGGCCATGGACTGAACTCGGGCAAGAGCTCTCTCCACGCCGGCGGCCTTCTGCTTCCGACCGAGATGGAGGAAATCATATTCATCCGTCTCCTCTGCGTCCCCATGGCGGCCTTCGCCATTCGCCTCTTCGCCCCGAAATCCACGCAAGCCGCTTCCTTTGCGCCTCCAGCGCAGTATGGCCTTCTCCACAATACCCACAGACCAGACAATTTTTTTATACTGCCTGCGAACTCCGTGTCCCCTGACGTGTGCCTGAAAGTAAAGATGGCACACCGAGTAAAGAAATCACGCCGTCGTTTCAAAAGAGATTCATGTCAACCTGAGAGCAGGAAAAAAATAACATGAACCCGGCATGGCATTTTTAATTCAACATCTCAATAGAATTGAAGCATGATGATGAGGTGCATGGAACGGCACAACAAATGGTTTCTCCTTGCAATTATCCGCCCATTTGGTTAACAGCTTTCGAAATATCAGTCATTTAAGTGGTTCGAACAGGTAGACATGGAGATATTATCAGATCGCTGGAGAAAATATGAAGATTTCATGAATGAAAAGAAGATTTGCGAGGCTGCTGCCTGCTATGTCTAAGAATCTCTTATTTTCCTTTATTCCTGACAGGCATATAAATTATAATCGGTCAACAACACGACAATCTAATCAGATCTTCTACTTCTTCCTCTCCACTATTTTCTTCTCCCTCAGAAAATGTTGTAGTCCTCTAAGGATTCTGGAAAATGTCGAACTCTTCCTTCGGAAATCTTAACCCCAACATCTCGAAGGTTGGCCGTACACAGAACACATGAACTTATTGCAAATATGAGTCACACGCAAGTAAGCATAGTTTGTATGCAGATTCAATAGATCCATAAAATAAGACAACTCAATGCAATCCGGTCGTGGTTTTGCCAACTTATTCGATGCATAAGACGGTGCACATTCCAAAACCGGATCCGTGCCCAAGTTAGAAAACATATTTTCACATTGATTTCATGATGGTTGTTATTAGACGTCAGGAATCAACTTTTGACCACGGTTGAGTGAACAACAGGGAAGAGATTTTAATCAATCTCTTCGATATTTTGATCTAGATGATCCCATGTTGATGGAATAAGGCCAATAAAAATGTTGAAAAAGCTGATAGCAATAATTGATGATCATAATAAGTAACGTTAAAATCTGATCCATTTCTTATTCTGTTTTCTACATCTTCTCTCGTTTGAAAATCGGAATGGAATACTTTCGCGAAGACATTAAATTCACTTGGGTTGCATGTAGTACCTGAATTTTGACAATCTGGTTACGTATCTTCAAAAATTCTCTTCGACCTTTCCATCCACGGTACTTCTGCTGGATTTTCACAGCAGACATATGCAATGAATCGCTGAAATGAGTTGTTTTCTGGGATTTTCCGTTTAAGCTGGAAACTAGCATTTCTTCATCTGTAATGCCACAATTTTTCCCCAACTGCATCTGGCAAAATGAACGAACTCGGAGGGCAGCTTGAATTCGACCAGCTGCTTGGGCAGAGTTCCCTACTGCTGCAAGGGATCCTCTTAACGATAGCTTTTCTCCTTCGTATCCATCTAGAGTGCCCGTGCCGTCATCTCCTACAGTTTCAATAGCCTTTTCCGCCGCAAGGGCAGCTGCAACACTATCCATGACGCTTTCCTTCTGAACCAGCAAAGAAAGTTGACCTGCTAAGTCGACTTCAGCCAAGTACCCAGAAATGCCCTTATGCCCCCTAGCTGATGCTAAATCAGCAGCAGTCTGTCCTTCGGGATATTTTCTTGTTGGATCTGTCAGTGCACCAGGAGATGAGCCCAGTGTGGCCAGAGTCACCGCTGTTTCCTCCCTAATATCAACATTGAAAGGTTAGGGGGCAGCTACATAAGAAAAAAGGTTGGGCATAAATGGAATTGCAAGAGAAATGATACTTGCATTTCAAATAGAGAAAATAAAGCTAGGAAAGAAGAATTCAAAAAATAAAGAAACGGCAGCTTCTTTCAAGTAAAAACCAGGAGTTTATGTTAGCCATTATGCAATATTATCGGAGTACAACATGCGTAGAAAAAAAAAATGGCAAGTGTAGGCGAGCATGGCCCCGCCAGGAGACAAAATTAAATACCAAAATTCAGATGACATTTTTCATTTAGCTTACCAAAATAAATAAGGCTTATATAGCTCATTTTTATCAGAAGCAGCAGATTCTTTTACACCCTGAAAAAGGAGGGGACAGTTAATCTATGACAGGATGAAGTCCATACTAAACGTTTGATAACATAATAACTTAGTGGCCTAAAAAGCAGAAAAGCTTCTCTTCTGAAGGAACACTCCAGACACAAATCATCAAAAAATAGAGCATTCATACGGAGGAAGCATGGAATATTTCCTAGCACACGCAGGTATTAATTCTTCAGAAGCTAAGCCCTTCCACTGTGAAAGACTTACGCGACAAAGATTGTGTTGGACGACTCACTCGGGATAATTAGAGGGTACAGAGGAAATTACCTGCTTCAGTTTAGCTTACTGCTGCCATATGGTACACAGTATGATAAATTCATCCCAGCTATAAACTAATTGTATCTATTACTGACTATAAAAACCATCAAACTACAACGACGCTGACTGAGTGCCAGGGTTACGATGACATAGTTTTCCTACATGGTTCCATGCACCTTGGAAATCTATGCTACCCTTAAAAGATGGATTTCTACAAGAAGACAGTCTCCATGCATTTATGGTCAGTATAAAATCATGTATGTTAAAAAAAGAAACACCTTGGAAATTTTCATGACATACATTCCGGAAGATCACTCAAGTGCTTCCTTCTTCATCTCAACAACCAAATGTCAACACTATTGCATGCCTTGTAAAGACATTCTCTCGTTCTATGGTACAATGTTTTTTCCTTTTTCTTTTTTATTTTCTTTTGTTGGGGGGAAGAGTGGGTGGGTCCCGCCCATTTCAACCTAGAGATTCTCATCCAGCGTCACGCCATATGTACTACTCCTCTCGGATCACTTCAGCCCAAACTACATGAAAGCTGCGCCTTTTTCATGGGGATTTATCCATCGCAGAGATGCACAGAAGTTGTGGCTTTACCTCCGACATTTGTTTTTCCTCTTTAGAGGGTTCTATATGGAAATTCCAGATTGAATTGAGTCAATCGGAATTCTACATGACAGAACAAACGAGACAACTAGTTAGAAAGTGTCTTTAAAGCTGATCACATAAAAAAATTTAAAAACCAACCTGCCAAAATAGGCAGCCCAATGCAGTGCAGTCCAGCCATGTGCATCCCTGAAACTTGGACTAACACCAGCAGCAATTATTGGCTTCATTCCCCATTCATAACCGAGAGCAGCCGCCAAGTGGATGACACCTTGACCGTCCTCATCTAACACATTAGGTCCCTTGCCATCTTCATGAGATTTCTTCAAAAGCCACTCGTACAATTTGGTCTTCAAAAGCTTCTGTATCAAATTGTCCCTGGGATTAACATTGTAACTCTGAAAAGCCGCACAGCTTCTCTCCATCCTTTCCCATTCATTTTTTTCTTCATTCAAAACTGAAAAGAACTCCTTGATGGTGCATTTAGGGCAGTTCTCAATGAAACAAAGTTTGCTTCTGTCCACTCCTATGGATAGGATTTTTGCGAAACGTATCTGAAGATGCACTTCATCATTCCGATCATTTTTCCAGGAGAAATTCAAATCAACTTTAAACGTGTCACGATATTCAAATTCTCTAATCTCACTGCAAGCTAGCCGATCGCTACAGGTAACATAGAATGGAACTCGCCCGGGGGGGTGGGAGGGAGCATGACAACGGAGTACATTTCTTGTGAGAACTTCAGCAGAGACTTCAACTTCCCCAAACATACAGCACCACTTTATGTCGATGTGTTGTACCTCACCTAGGAAACTACCAGCTATCAAAACCTAAAACAAAACTCGGTTAGTCAAAAGTGAGAAATATAAATAGTTTTCATGAGCATAAATATAACACAGAAAGGTATCTGGTTTATCAAAGATATAATGAAATATTGGGGGACAGAGATCACCTTAGTTTCAGAACCTGAATAAGCCCAGTCTGGTGAAAAATCGAGAATACTAAATAACTGCTCTTGGGAGAGTGATGGGCCTAGTGAACCAATGTCTAACTGCATCTGGCGTGATAGGCTGGAGGTCACTTTATTATCATTCTGACTATCCAGTGCATTCCAGCAGTTACGAGAATCTGTACCCACCAATGATACATCACAGTCTTCACCAATCTCTTTGCTCATCCAGCTCCCAAAGCTATCAAGCCTTTTGAATCCCTCCTGCTGACCAGCGATCTTTCCACATAGGTCTTCATCATCATTTGCATGATTAGCCCAGTCACCCGCATGCCTTTCATCAGGAAGACAAGCTGCATATTCAGTATTTTCGTTCCTCTGAACTACCTGATGTGAAAAACAGTTATATGGATCAAAACGTGCGGGAGGGGGGAAAGTACAAAGTGTTTAAGACTGAATTTATAGACGCTTGACCTTGTATGATTCTTCTACAATACTGTTGAAAATATTTATAAAGTAAATCATCGTATCCAAAGCTTAAGAAAAAGAAAAGCATTACACTAAAGGTAGAATCTGAAAAGCTATACAGTAGAGTTATTTTTCATTCATTAGGCTCGGGGGTTGGGGTCTTCTAAATCCATAAGATCTGCATCTGTAGTGAGACTTCAGGTTCTTGTAAAATATAATTTGAGAAGCTCTAGAGGCTTCAAAAGGGGAACCTATTTCCAAACTTAGGTTGTTCTGTCATCAAAATAAATCAATGTAGACCAGAGGATTGCCTTGTATGAACTAATATTATTGTCTGACCATTGCAGTTTAGCACCAATATCATGCCAATCAAGATCAAGAAAAATCGTAAATTTAAAGCATATCTTTTGAACTGTAGAAGCAGACACATGAAGGATAATTTTAAATGTAACTTAATCCATGTTGCAAATGTAAGAAGCCTGCCTCGTAACTCAGTCACATATCTAAGCCCAACATCCTTTAAATGTCCCCTGTTTCTCCAGTGGTAAATAATTTATTTTTCTTAGCAGTGATTGATATGACAAGGGTTTATTGCATCATCTTGCTCAAACTATAATATGTTAGCATCTACTTTCAATGAAAACTATTTGAAAAAACTATATAGTTATCGAGATTACGTGTTTCTGTCACCAATAGTGTATGGAAAATTCTTTCCATGAATTTTCCCCATGAAAACTATTTGAAAACCCTACGATATTGATCTGAGATCAAGACAAGACAACTGTAACAACCTACAAGTAAAGATGGGCGATTTGAGTGATCAAACAGCTTAAAACTCTTTAAAAAAATGGACATATCATGTGATCCGGGAGATGAATTAATTACAAACAGGCAGGCAGAAGATGCCCTTGCCAGTTTAAAGAAACAAATAGCTAATAAATGGATCACACTATAACTGAATACCCTAAAGTTTCTTCCATCTTCATCAGAAAATCTTTGAAGATATCTATCGGGCAGGACCTGAACGCTTCTGTTAAAACCGTACTTGACATCATCAGAATCAGAGTAAATGCCATGTGAGGTACTGGTGTGGCAGCCTGCAACAAGTGGACAATCATCAACACGCTTTCTAATATTACGAAAATCTGGAAAAGAAAGTGTAATTATAAATCACAGTGTGGAATGATCAATGAAATTATTACAATACATGAAAATTGAGGATGAAATCATTAAAAAGTAAAGTGATGCGAAAGATAACAATGACAATGAAGTAATCCAGGATCCTGCTATTTTAGGCTTCTACAGTTGTCTACATAAATATTACCAATTTCTTGTGACGTTCTATAATCTGTTTCATGCCTGTTGCTTGACACAATGTTCCCGGCAACAGTGTTGTTTGCAGAAAAAGAATTCCAAAGTCCGATGTCTGTCTGTCTCCAGGTGTATGGACGAGAAGAAGACCCACATATGGATGCGCTTTTATCAAACGTAACATGTTCAGAAATGGGAGTGATCTGAAAAACAGAGCCTGTTATTGACTCAACCAATGGTGAAGCACTGAAGTCCTTCCCTGAATCTACATCATCTAGTTCAGAAGATAGAGCATGCTCACTCCAGGCAACTGTACTAGGACTTGATGCATAGGATGGCTGACCAACAATTGTAGCTTGGATGCCCCAAGAATGAGTTTGGATTCCGGAATCAGAGGATAATAAATGTGGAACGTCTGGTTTACTTCCCTGAAAAAAACATGATTCAATATTAATGGGAAAAAAAGCTAAATATTGCTAATTCGATTCAAAGAGAAGTTAAGTTTTTCAGTCAGAAAAAAGCAGGACGAAAGCATACCCAATGACACCTCAACACGGGTGTAACGCAGCTCAAGAAAATTGGCAAACAATTAGAAGTACATATTACCTTCGTACGCTCGGTCAGCAAGAAACAATATCAATTACATGGATCTTAAATGAGCGATTCATTTCTACAAATGAGGAACCCGTTGGAAACTGTGGGAAGTATCTTTATGAAACCCAGAAATTTTCTGGACGCATTACATAATTCCAGCATGATAGATTTCGTCACAAAAGCTTAACGTTCGTCGAACAAAGGAGAAACATGGAGATTTCCAGTAAAAAAAATAAAAAAATCACCTCCTACATCCTCTCGCTCATGGCATCCCTGGACATCCCTACTGTGATCGAAATTTTTGCATGTCATGATACCTCTACAATATAAAATCTGATGGCAAGATGTCTACTCAATTTCAGCGGCAGTATTTCCTCCCTCGGTCACCCTTGGAGATTCCTTCTTGAATCCATCTGGAGCAACAAGCAAAACTTACACGGAAAGGAAAGTTGGACTAAATCACTCACCAAACTAGACTAAGTCCCATCATATTGGCTAGGAATCGCAAAGCTCCTAAAATAAAACATTAGGTTTTAAAACGTCAAGATACTCGATAGGGTAATGTTTTAAAACTTAAAACATTAGGTTTTGGATGCGATTTACTTATCAGGTCAATAGGATTAACCCACGGCAGGTCCAAGTGAAAGTGCAAGCCAGGTTACTCCCACCAATTGCAAATATGTGCCTGGTGGCCCTCAGTAAAAGATTGGTCACGTGACTGAACAACTTTGGCCTTCCTCCATCAGATAGGAGAAAAAATGCTCATCACTATTTCACATAGCAATGACATGGCTGTACAGCAATGGCCACTCCAGTCACTGCATGTTTGATGAAGGAACAAAACAGAGGTCTTACTGTATATTCATGGGTCAACAAGATAAACTACTTTATTGAACCAACAACAGCCCGCAAGTGTCCTAATGTTAAGAGACCGATGATGGATGTAAATCTCCCATTGTGGCATGTTGGACCTGGTGTGGAACATGCTATGGAAAGCGAATATACCAGGACGAGGGTTCCAAACTGATGATTTGCCTCTGGAGCTGTAACTATTAATGGTTCGTGGCCAAGCACATGTGCTTATAAAGCCAACAGCAACTGTCTGTATGCGGATGCTGCTCAGGATTCTCCAGGAAGCCTAATATTGACTTCAGAAGTATACAGCAACATCTGAAGCCGCACCTACAGGTTGAAGCAACATGTAGCCCGCTAAATGTGGCTGTCTAGTTCAATGGGGATTTATTTTACTCATAAGATATTTAAATAATATTTCATTTCTTAAAACACAGGTCGACGTCATTTCTGTAGCAATCAGCATAGCCAACATTTTGCATCAACAATGGCTACTTGCATTTCATCTTTTTGAAAGACAGAAATTACCTCATTTACTTCTCGATAGTGAACAAGAACGATATGCTCTAGTTGCCTGGAAAAAACAAAACAGCATAAGTTAGAGAGACATTTCCCCATACACTGAAATGTTGCACTGAATCTAAAGCCATTCATGCTGTGATCGTACACCAAGAATGAAATCTGTTGAATATCATTTCATACGGCACTAACTTTAAGTAGACTGAGAATTTTTTTGGCAAAGACAAGGACAACAATATATGGGGAAAGACAACAAGGAAAACCCATCTGAATGAGATGGTCGAGAAAACTCCCGAAGGTAGTTTCGTTGATGGTTCAAAAGCAGCATGTTGGGTAGTCCAAATAAGAAGGGCATGTTAATTGACTGAAAAAAATGTCATTTATAACTTATTGTAATTTGACTGTGTTACGAGAAAAGTCATGTAATTCACTGAACCCGGATGAAGATCTCTGAGCCAGGGCTATTTTTCTGCTAAGACAGACTTTTGCCAAAAAAAATTCAGGGAAGCAAGGATTCAGTATAAAGTTATCAACAGTAACAAACTAATTACATATTTTACTGGACAATGTTCACGAAATACAAAATGATCTGGTCAAGAGATTAGAACTAGAAACATAAAGGAAGTAACGTTAAGATTGAACAGAAAAAAATTATAAGAAAAATAATGGAAAAAATTCCATGACATTTAAAGATGTGTCTACAAAGAACCCAAGTCAGAAAAGATGCTGCCGACCCCATTCTCACTCTATAACTTGCAAATTTCATGACGAAATTATTTATTTTCTTTTTGGTAATGGTTCATATCTGAGCGTATAACCGAAAAACCATTTTCTAGAGTTATAAAGCAGAGCAAGAAACCCGGCAAGTCATGTTCTATCATCCCAAAAGGCACGTAACACAGATGCCAGCGAGGTATATATACTGCTATGGCCACTTGTCCATAAAACCTTAATTGCATAACATATGAGTATCAGATGTCCCCTGGTATCAAAAGAAAACATAACTCACCCGTCAAGCATCCAATAACTTCGTCTCTGGAAATTTTCATTCTCCTCTCCATGAGCATAGTAGCAATGAAGAACGTCCACACTGCCAGACTGTACCAGCACATTGTTCTAAGAAGATAAAGCATACATGAACTAATTTTTTTTTTGATACACTACTCATGCTTCCAATATAATAAAGCATGGTTGTGTAGTCAGGCAAGTACATCAACAGGACATTAAAATGTTAAGATGCATCAGACCCTTTGAATTACATCAGAAACTGGACAGATAATAATTTACGTAATTCTCTTTCAATTCTCTGGGCAAAAAAGCTTTCTGTTTGGCATAAAAAAGAAGAAAATTCAAATCCAAAGAAATATTTAATCTAGAAATCAGGTAAACTGCGATCCAAATTTCAGGCCAAAATTAATCCTCTTGAGTACCAAATTTCAAAGAAAATAAAATATAAAACTTTTCTGCTTATTTTTATCATATGTTTGCTGCTCCGTTAATGTATCCCCTCAAGGAGTTGGATAGCCCATTTGTTATTAACCTAGGAAACCAGGCGAACATGGCCTCGAGATAAATTAGTGTAATGTTCGCCCGCTAATATTCAGATCAAGTCACCGCAGATAGAGAGAGGTTGTTACAAGCTCGCCCACTAATATTGTGAATCTCTATGGAATACTGCAGCATATAAATGTAAAATACACTACAAACCTCATGGTAGTGTTTCATAAGAAATAAGCTACGCAATTGAAGTTGGAATAATTCCACAGGTTTATCAAGAATGATTAAATCCAACTGTGGAGTTCTCCTTTAAAATATTTTTTACCTTTAATTTTTCATGAGCTTCTCGAACAGTCTTCCCATCTTTTTTCTTTCTCCATCGATGACCATCTTTCCGGAAATATCGAAGAGCTTTTCGATCAAATAAAAATAGTGACCCACCTAAAGAACAGGATTTAAGAGAATATATTAAGGACGGAGAAATCGTATTAAGTGGATATCCAAAGAATGACAAATAGAACTATCTTTAAATACCAAGTATGCACAATGATAGTATTTTTATCATCCATTCACAAGCACCAAGAACCTATAAACATAAATATAGCGAGTACACAAGATGGAATCAAGAAGGTGGCTTAGAGTGACAGCCAAAAAGAAGGTTAAAATAACAAAAACCTCAAATCTATAACTTAATTGTCAACTTTACTTTTATTTCCCGAAACCAAGGGATAACCAGATGCACTGAGAAAGATTTATCCTTCTACGTAAATAATAAACAATAATCAAACAGAAACGAAGGCACCTAAAGAGCAATAGAGGTTACCTGATGGCTTGTAAGGAGGATCAGGTTTGAGATGGAACCTTTGGTAGTTACGAATGATTTCACAGACTTCACTTGGACGGAGCCAACGATTTTTTGCCTCTTCCAATATTTGTGTAATGTCTGAAAAGTGTACATAAGTCACTCCATGTTAGAAAAAATTAAAAAAAAAATTGGATCCCAGAAAATTGCAGAAAGCTTTCTGTTTTTCTCAATGGACCATTCAAGTAAGCTCCATCCACTGATGCAACCAAAATAATTATGTTTTTGAATTTTAACGGATGCTTTTTCATTTATTAGGTCACCCAAATGGACAATTCGTTTGCATGAATAAGATGGTACCAACTGCCAAATTGATCCTAGTAGTAATAGCGGTGATACATTTCAAGAGTATCTGATGAGGTCTAGGAGTGAGGTACCAAAAATGTGGTAAGCATAAAATCAGAAAAAAAAAAGAAGAATTCACAAGATGGCACAGAAAGAAAAAGCACAATAACTGATTTTCCAACAAAATAACGACCACAGGGGATACAACAAACTTTAAAAGCAAGGATGAAAGAGGCAGCCGCAGAATCCACTCAATCACCTAGGACGCTGAACATGGCAACATGAGGAACTGCATCCAGGTAACATGGCTAAATAAACATAGAGAAAGTTTCTTCCGAGTAGGTTCAAAAGTGTGAGGTGTCCATTTATCAAATTCCAAATGTGCACGATTTCCACATAACCCCATGCTGGAGTAGAAAACAGTTTGAATAAAGTAGGCCACTTGGAAATAAAGCCCAGACAATTGCATGTGAAGCTCCAAAGATCCATACATGTTCACCTGGCACAGCACATGGCGAGTCCAGCACAGGTAGACGCGCATGGCACAGGCAGGTACATTGGAGAGCATGTGGAACCATGCATGCAACTGAATGAGTGAAATAAAAACGAATTTTGCGCATCCCTAGCTAGCTGTTGTAATCAGACTGGTGCCATTAATCAAGTCAGCTCTCTAATTCTCAAACAGAACCCAACAAATGGTACAATTCGCTTTTTAAACTTAGTTGGCAAGTGTAAGTCTGATGGTATGATGAGCTGATTCAAATATTTGGGTTGAAAGCTAATTCAGGTATTACATGTGGGATAATTGCATGCCATACAAGTAACAGCTATTTAAAGGACTGATAACATAAGTTTAAATCCGTATGCCCGTAATTTACAGCTAACAAACTCCGTGATGTCTGGTATCGTAAGTAGATAAGAAGTTGTTCCGTATCTCATACATGTCTTATGGCGTCTGAAAGTTAGGTGATTAGTCGGTCCAAGCAGTTCCACGGAGACATTTCTATTAGCAATCCTTTCTACCTAAGGTGTAAAATTGTCATTAAACAAAACATCTGACTGGATGTTTTACCAGCATCATCCACTGCATGCGGAGATCCCTAGGAGAAAAGCCTATCATGAGCTGGATCAGCCAATCCTTTTTTCTGAACTTTCTCTCTTCTTCTCTGAAGATTCAGGATAAGAATTACATTCGAGGCCACATAGAGGATCTGACTATCAAGGCCAATGACACGAATGCTTAAATGTTCACAGACAACATCCTGCAGTCCAAATGGGAAATTACAAAACTAACCTTGACAAGAGAAGAACGCGAGTTGAATACAGTCGATTTGTGTTGTATTACGAAAGTGATGATATTGAAAGCCCAGATAATTTAATTTGGCCGATAGAACAAAAGAATGACATGAAATTTTCGTGCAGCAACATCCAAATATAAATACTTATGGAGTCTACCAGTCAAACGCCAAGGGAGACAGCCGTCATCTCTTCATTGGCACTCTACATTATGGCTTTTCTTGGATCGGATGATGAGAAAGTATGGGACACCGTGAATATTACACACGTAACTATACACGTTAACATTTTATTCACCGTCATACCATCTTATTTGTTCTCTCTTTTACGTTCTTCTTACAGGGAAAAAATCTTTTGCTACTACCAGCCATAAGCAAGGAGACAACGGAAGCAGTATGGCATTGACCTGAGGGAAGTCTAGAAAACAAGAAAATAAAGAGAACATTTCCCTCCATGATGTAGCGAGCAATAATGAGCCAGTTTCGGTGACATGAAATCAAAAACCAGATGGTTAAAAGCATCAGACATAACAATGTCAAATGCATGCAGAGCGGTGAAGCTGAACAATTACGCGAAGTAATAAAAGCATGCCACTCTTTTAAGTAGACCTTCGCAAGGAATGTAGACTTCCCCTATCACTGGGATAACATTTTTTGTAATAATTTGCAGCTAAGACAAGGCCACCAACTGCACTCTCGCGGCAGTAAACTGAAACGAACGAGGAGAGCCGACGGCAGGGCTCCTTCCACCAAAGAGCATAGACAGAGACGAGGGATCGGCAGAGGAAGAAGAGAGATGAAAATGGCGTCTCAAGATGTCAATACCTAGGAGAGACATCGGAATGAACAGCGATGGCAGAGTCCCGAAGGTCAGACTGGCAGCTTCCGTTGATCCTCCGGGGAGCACATCACCGGCGAGAGAAAAGAAAGACCGAGCAGGACAATGGAGCTGAGAAGAGGGGGGGCTCTTGCACTATCCCCGCCGGAAATCCGATACCGAGGCGAAGATCACCACCGCCCGCGGAACAGAGTCCCCTGCAGACGCCACCAAGCCGCGAGCGAACACGCAACCGCCCGACGACGAATATGTAACCCTCCCCGACACCCCCCAGAAACCAGACACCCCACCCCCCCCCAACCGAAGGCTGGCAGGAATCTAATAAAACTCGGCGCCGCGATTGCATTCGCCGTCTCCTCCACCACGACGACAACGCTGCCGGCATGCGCCAGCCGCCACCACCAGCACCTTCTTCCCCCTCCACTGCCACCCTTTTTTTGAATTGAGGACGATGGCGACGATCCAACCCCCGTGCAAATTTAGCCAACCTCAACTGTCCCCCACCCTCCTCCAGCAAAAAGCCCGCGAAGCGACCGGCCACCCCCACTTATTGGCCGGATAGCCCGATAGCCCGACCGGACAAATCGTCAAGTAGGCCCATTAAGGCCCACGAATTAGAGAGAGAGACACACACAGAAACTCGGGGCTTCCAGGATTGTGGGACTGTTCTTCTTCCTGGGCTCTCCTCCAAGCTGGCTGCAGGAGGCCAGACTAGATGTATATATAAATATAGGGTCACTGAATGCGAAGAGAGCTTGAGCAAGGGCGGGTGGGTGTGGCCTCCGAAGACAGAGGAAGAGAGAGAGAGAGAGTAGAAGGTGGGACGCTCTCTCAAGGTTCTCTCAAGGAAAAGTAGTGGGGAGCCAACTCGGGGAGCCAGAGGGGGTCGACGCTCGTCACGTTGCGGAGGTAGTTCTGGTTCGTCCGCACGAGCTCGTTGAAGATGACGCACTCCGCCTTGGAGCGGAAGAGCACCGACGACGGATGGATCCGCACCGTCTGGTTGCTCCCTAGAGCCCTGTCCCCCAGCAACCACCAACCACCAACCAAAAAGAAGAGTAACAAAAGGCCATGGGCACGGGTTAGACAGAGTTCAACGCAGAAGAAAAGCACCGGCCATGTTGAGAACAGAGAGAGAGAGCGTCACACCTGAAAGTGCCGTCGGGCTGCCGTAAAGCCACGTTGAGGAAGAAGGAGGCGGCGAGGCATCTGCGAAACTGCAGCATGTCATCCCCGCACGAAGTAACAGCGAAGCCCATCTGCTTCACGTATCCATGAACTTGACTGCAATGGAGACCAGAGAAACAGCAAACGCACCATGTGATTGACTCGCAGGCTCAGAGAATCAACCATTCGTCAACATGGAGCTGAGGTCTCCTGAAATATTGCCCACCTGTGGACGTCACGGGCATGCTTTAATGAACGTTTATTGATGAAGTTCTCCTTGCACCATTTACTCAGGCCCCTCTCGGCCATCTTCTCATCGCCACCTGCCGCTCGGCTCTTGTCCAAGACCTCTTTGGAGGCTCTGTAGACATTTATCAGGGTGGTATGGTCCCCCTCTGGGCTTGAGAAGCATCTCATCGCCACTTTCGCCTGAGAAACAAGACAAGCGCAACAATGGAGATTCGCCCACTTGGTCGCGTAAAAATGCAAGATATATATCATCTGATGGCACACTCGCAGCATGGCATCTGATGGAAATCTCCCCCCCCCCTGATTCATGGGCACAGTCAAGTCAACGCTCTGGACTAACACCATTACAGTAAGAGTAAGATTCTTGAGACCGAGAAGACAATTAGAGTAAGATTCATCCCGTCTAACAGAGAATAATTTTATCTCCCAAAAAAGTCAAATTAGTCCAAGAAAACGTATCGCATGCCCAACTTATAAACCAACCGAAACTAATAGAGGAAACTAAACAAGAAACTTTAACAAGAGTGAGGGCAAGGCTACCTTTTCCAACTTCTCGTGGGGGATGTAGAAGATGGACTCCACCGAAAGCATGGCAACGACGATTAGCATTTCTTCCAGACAATTGAATTCCCTGGCCAAAATGAGCGCCTTGGAATACAGGGGGTCCAATGGAATCTGGGCCATTTGATAACCAACTGGATCTGACAACTCGTAGTCTTTTGTCAGCGCGCCTAGTAAAAGCAATTGCTCTAACGATTTTACAACTGCCATCCTGAGAAAATAATCAAATAGTTATAAGACACCCCAGTAAATTCAAGGATTGTAGCCCTGTAAAGGGAATAATGTTCAAATTGCAAGCAAACGATGATGGATGAAAGTATCCAAAAGGGGAAGCTCCCAAAGCATTAGAACCATCAAAGTGAATGCAGACTAACCATCTTAAATCCTCGAGCACTTGCCCCACAGCATGATTTAAAATAGCAATGAAATCAATTGGCGTGATCACCAAATCAGCTTTAATTGTAACCAGACAAAGAGGGATGGCAATATTGGACCACGATCGGCGAGTCATGGCAGTAGGCAATTGAAGCAAAAGGCCTCAACAGAAGTGGCAAGGGGCAAAGTGGCAAGGCCTCAACCAGAACCCACAAGGTTAAGCGCCAGGAAATTATTATGTATTGGTGCATTCACACATTACAAGTGGGGATTAAAAGGCACAAACGCTCCATGTTTCTATTATGCAGATGCTTCCAAACAAATAAAGCTTCCACGACAACAAGGATCCTAAATTGAATGTTGAGTTATAAAGGAAACAAAATAATTTTTTAAATGAAGCTGCTGCCATCATTCAATACATGAAATCTTACTGTATGCATTACTGACTCATGAGAAGTAAAAAGTAATGAAACAGATAGCATCAGTTCTCACCTAGGTGGTTTATCTATGAAATCAAATCCGAGTATGTCCTTAATACCCAGGGCTCTGAGCTGGAGTACAACGTTGGAGATATTGCACCTTTTGATTTCTGGAATAATGGAGTCTCTAAGCTTCGCAAACTCACTTTCTGGGTATAATCGGAAGCACTTGCCTGGTCCCTCCCGTCCAGCACGGCCACTGCATTAGGCGTGCATAAGTTCATGAGAAAATAGATACTAAAAGGAGAAAATTATGCCAGTATAATTTAGGGTAAGTGTAAGACTATGCAATCACAAGAAGAAAATAAGAGGAAATCAATCCTTAATGTTAAGCTACCAATTGTGACAGAACAATCCTAGAATGCCTACCTCCTTTGAAGAGCCTGTGCTTTCGAGGTTGGGATGACAATCAACGATTCTACACCTGTGACAGGGTTATAACAGCGAACTTTCACCAATCCTGGATCCACGACATATTTGATTCCAGGGATTGTAACTGATGTTTCAGCAACATTCGTAGCTAATATGACCTGCAGCGATCCATAAACTCATTTACCAACAACGTTGGTGAGAACATTATTCGCATGGAATTTTGAATTAATATAAAGAGTATAGTCATTTGAAACAAAATATTCACACAAAATTAGTCCAATTGATAGGGTAAAACACGATCAAAATGGTTAAAGTACTTAAATGTCTCAATGGTATATCTACCTTTGTCCAGAAGCAGACTAACAAAAAGTTGAGCAATTTGAAGCACACAAGAAACATCAAATAACGACACCAATCTCAACCCACTATGAGATGATAACTACATGAACGAAGTGAGTTTACTGCGTGTTCATGAAATTCCATGTGACTATCTAAAAATTCAAAAATAATGACACTAAAATCACCTTGCGAAACCCTGATGGTGCTGGTTTAAAAACTTTCATCTGCTGTTCTGACGGTAGAGATGAATAAATAGGAACGACCACAACATTTTTCTTCTCATCTGGCAGCTGGTCTGTGCCCTCTTTGATACGCCTTTCAACGAATTCAATTTCTTCTTGTCCAGTTAGAAAAACAAGGACATCCCCCGAACATTCATTTAAATGAATCTGACATGAAAGCAAATGTTTAGAGAATAATGACATTAAAAGAAAAAACTTGCCTGATACATAGGAATGCATATCTTGAGAATCAGGCTATTAAAATGAAAACGTGTATGGTGCATAATCTATAAACTTAAATTAGCAATCCTCAATACATAGATGTACTAACTACATCTAATGGCTACTATCATCTACAATCTATTACTTCCCTAGTTTGGTCATGAGAAATGGAATTTGCCATATTACTTCCATATATGGAATTTGCCAACAATATTTCTCGAGAAAACAATAGAAATAACGGAAAGAATGAAAGAAAAAAATAAACCAAGAAAAATGAAAATACTATGCTAAAAAGCTGCTAAAAAAACCGAGATACAATACCCACCCCGTGGGGCAGCATAGATAAAGCTTCACATGGATTTTTCTTATAATATTAGGAAGAAATGCAAACTTAAAATCTTTACTATTGGCCTTATTATCTAATACGGACAATAGAGAAAAAAACCCACAGAAGTCTCAATTCGTAATTAAGGCAGTATAGCAACAATCGAGAAAACAAGAAATAGTATCAAAAACAGAACAAATTCAAGAATATGACAGGGTCCCATTCAAAAGTAGAACGATAAAACTAGAATTTAAATTAGAAGGTGACAGTAGTCTAATAATCACCTGAAAAATTGTAATTAATGCAGCATCCACATAATCGGGTTCAGGATGATACGTATAGAGTATTTCCACAGGATATAGTCTCCCTTGAACATGTACAGCTTTTGCACCACCAAAATACCTCGAGAAAACTCTTGCATCCAAGCTAGCGGACATTATGACCAATTTTAAAGGAGCAAGCTTCGTATCTTGACAAGTCAGTAACTTTGTCTGCCGTAGACCATTGCACCCTTTCTCAGAGAGGCTATCCTTTTTACTATGGTCATATTCTGTCGTTGCATATTTTGATCTTGCATTTTGTACGTTTTTTAATAACCCCAGTAAGACATCGGTATGAACCGTTCGTTCATGTGCTTCATCAATAATTATCACACAATATCTCGATAGAAAAGGATCTAGTAATGCTTCCCTGTAAATTCAAACGAACAGAGACATGTCAATGACCCAGGTTATATTACCGACTTTTTACATTGGAAATTGATATTTCTTCCGAGGGATGCTTTCATCCAAACGTACAAGCATCACAATCATAAATTATATAGCAGGCATATAAATTTTTATAGTGAAGGGTATTTCGCAAAATAAAATGGCTCAAAGATACTCCATGATCACATGCTTCCAACATGAACGACTCACCGTACTGGCGTATTTTATTTTAATCAATCGTGCATTGTCTTTAATAAACACAAAATCATAAGATTCAAATGTAGAACTGTAAACTTGGTGAATCAAATTTAGTTGCACACCTCCAGCAACTTACTTTTTAATCAAACCTTATAGAAGTGAGATGTCATTATTAAGTTAACAACCATCCAAAAAGTCACATTCAAACAATAGGCACAATCAAAAAGTTGCATAATTCCTACAATTGAATTTCAGCAAACGTTGATAAAAGTTGTCATTAACACATTTACAACCGTCTGAATAAATTACATTCAAACCAAACACATGATCAAAAAATTGCATCAAAACAACTATTCTATTTTTAGTAACAAAATTCAATACACGATAGTCTTTTGACCTTGTCATGGAAATGTGTACGAGTGGCATGTCTGAGTATAGATTGGAACACATCCCCACAATTCTTCACAAGAATAATCTATGTTATGGGAGGTTTCTTCCCCATACTTATATGCAGTTGATCCGTACAAGTCCACTTGGCAGAAACCGACAACCGTCTTGATATGATAATCCATATCACTCCACTACGTAACCCACATATGCCCATCGTCGTATTTCGTTTCAAACGATATTCCACTCGAGTGGCTCCCCTGACTACAGAAGGGAATGCTTCGTAACTTTAGTATTATTATATGAAGAGGTGAAAGATCAAACCATATGACAAGTACAAAGCAGAGTGCACACATCCTACTCAACATTGGCCACATCCAAGACATAATGAAATAGTTGAAGAGGGGGGATCTCAACCTCATGATCAGTATTGAAATAAAAATGCAAGCATGGAGTATGCCATCATGGGTTTAACATATTCGCGAAAAAATTACCTTAATAGCAATCCATCAGTCATATATTTAATTCTTGTTGAGTTAGAAGTAACATCATCAAACCGAATAGAATATCCTACTCTTTGGCCTAGCTCAACTCCACATTCTTCAGCAACACGTTTTGCCACAGAGACAGCTGCGACACGACGGGGTTGGGTGATTCCAATGACTTTCCCGTCACTGCACAGTCCTGCATCAAATAAAAACTGAGGCAATTCTGTCAAAAGAAAAGAAAAAGTTAGAAAAAGATGAAATCGACATGTAATACTTTACAAACAGATAATTCAAATAAATAAATAAAAGTAACTCTCAATCTAAAAGCACAGATAGAAACAAAAGTAAATGCTGAATATATAAGTTCTCTAATAAAGAGTGAACAGTTCAAACATAACAACATAACTATCCCACCGCATATTGAATGTTCTTAGCTAAACAATTATCTCCCATTGGAAATAGGTCTGTTACTTAGTGGTTCAAGCGTCAGGAATGGCATGATTAATACCCCAAATTCGGGCTTGACGAGTAGACTCCAACTGCTTTGGACCTTTCTCATGCAATGCCGAGATGTGACCATCAAATTCATCTTATTTTGCCAAATGGAACAACAAATCAGCTGATTCACAGCTAGTTTTGGGCTGAGATCAATCTCCAACAGAGAGTGGAGGAAGCCCAACAATCTCGCTACCAAATTTGATTCTAACAGTCATATCCCAATATACTGAACTCAATGTGACAAAATGTATAAATTAAAAACGGAATTGTATCCATTAAAAACCTTAACGTCCCTGTCTATACAAGAAAGTGTATGATGATAAGTATACACACTAAACCATGAAAAATCAAGTTTATGACACCAAAATGGATGTTCATCCCTCTAAATCCACATGAACTAGGTCTTCAAAAACTTGCACAGAAAACAATATAAACCCGCACTGCCTGCTAAGTTTGTACCTATCAAACACAGAGGTCTGAAATTTCTCACTTCAGAAATATGGATTCCCGGTAATCAAACAACACTCGTAAAGATAATTCACATATCACTAGTTTCATTTTACAAACATATGAAAATCCCCAAGTTATGCTGGACATTGCATATAATGAGATGAAGATCTACTTTACGAATTATTCCTTTCAAAAGAATTCCGCATATATCATTTGGCCTTAACTAGGATGTGCTCTCTGAATTTCATGAGATTTGGAGCCTTCTCCGACCTAAAGTTTCAAAAGGCACTTATCATCAAACTGCCTCCAGCTTGTAAGACATCTTAATATTGAATGATTTTCTCATCGACTTACCACACGAAACTTCTGGCCTTAAAACACCCTAATCGTTCAATTTCATTTCATCATCTGAGATGATCTATCAACTATACACTAATAAGATTCTGCGAGGAGTGGACTATGATATTCACCCTTTCCAAAGTTGCGAACTCCTTTTCCATCTACCATCAAAAAAAGTATCGTATTTCCAAGTTTTGTTACGATCTGATCTCTTATTGTTGTGGTTTAGAGACCCAATTAACCAAACCCCAGCTAAAAATATATCCCTTATAACCTAGGATTTTAAAATTCAGGCAGTTCGACTAACTTACATGATGAAACTAACTGAAACACGCTAATTTCTACAATAAACGAAACCAAATAAAGTCTTGCAGGAAGTAATACTGAGCACACTTGAATAATAAGTAGAATATGTCAATTAACCATACTTACGTGTTGTCTTTCCACTCCCAGTTTCACCTACTATGATAAGAGTGTCATTGTTCTTCACTTCTTCAACAATCCTACTCGCCACTGAATCATAAATGAAAAAAATAACCAATTCAAAAAAAAAAACCCAGATAATATGCAGAATCATTTCGTTTAATCCCAGAAAAGTAATCTACGCCGCATAGACACCACGTAAGATTTGACAGACTTCTGAGAGTTAGAAAGCAACCCGTTAAAAAATGTCCCAGATTTGACAGACTACTAGAATGCCATGCCAAACGTTAGGCAATAGCTGGTACATTTCTCATCCATAGATCTTTCAACGACTATGTAATGGACTCTCGATAGAGATCTATAATAACAGACTTAAAAAACAGGTTAGTGTACACGTTGAACAGGCAATTAACCTTCCTGTGAGCTCTACAGTCTGAATGACTAATTTTCGTTTATTCAGCCAGGGAAATACAGAAGTAATATTAAGTAAGTCAGAAACATAAATATACCAGATGCTATAGGCAGGGCCTTTCTCTGCGGTGCAAGCATCTGCTGCCTGGAGCAAGAAAAGAAGCAGGTAGATTCAAGTGAGAATGCACGTCATAACTTGGTGGAGCTCCAGGGAATAACAGAGATAGATTAGCTCCGCTGTCAACCTTTCGTACAACTGGCGGGCATTTCGGTCTCTCGTCCTGAAATGACCGTTGCTTCTGCGAATCGGGCCCATCTCCCTTCCTCTGATCCCTTCCAAGTTCCCGTCCACCGCACCCCACTATGAGCACAACGGACAGGAGGGCCTCAAGGAAAAAAAATCAAACTTCAACAGGCGTGCCCCGGCAGTCTCCCACCTTTCCCCCGCGACGTTTAGGGTTCAGAGTTTAGAGCCCCCTCGTGAAAGATTATGACTATGGCTCCGAGCAGAGTCGCCATGCCCGCCCCGCCTCCGTCCGTACTGAAACGTCGGACGAGGAGATGGGCGGGTGGCAGCCGAGCTGAGGACGGAATCGGCGAAGAGCAGAAGCCACCAGCAGATGGGGAGTATGTATGGGGAGCTGTACACCAGGACCAGGCGGGAGGGAGGCAGGGAGATAGCGGGAAGGGGAAGGGCATATCTACGAGAACATTTAAATAACTAAGACTACTTTTATTTATGTGCAGATTTAAAATGGCCCAGTGTATTTTTCGGTCCGTTGATGGGTCCAATTGGAAGCCCACGAAGAGCGAGACAGAATCGCTGGAATCGGTCCGATTGGGAAGGCGGGCCCCGCAGGGATTCGATCCGGGAATCGAGGGGCCAAGTTGGGCCACGATTGCGGCGTTTGATTGGGTCTTCCATTCCGACCAATGGCATTGACACACGTCACACGACCGAAACGTATCCCCGCCCGCGGCATGGGGCAGCCGAATCCCACTCATCTTGAATAGAGTGTATCACTCGTCGGGGTCGTGCCGATTTGAGAACCTTCGGAGGTTCAATATGGCCTGGGGAGTGACCGAGAGGCCCAATGTAAATATTACGAAGATGGAGGGTGATATGTAAGAAGAAACTGGATGTGATTATTTTATTCTTTCTTCCGTCGAACGCCAGCGTGGCAGGTCGTATCGGCGCACGCCAGAGTCGAGTAAAAGAGCGGGGTTGTTGGGAGTGACGAGGATCCGCCGCAGAGGCCCATCTCTCTCTCTCTCTCTCTCTCTCTCTCTCTCAATGGGCTGCGTCTAAATTACTTGCTCTCTCTCCCTTGATGCTCCTCCACTGAAGTCCTGCCGTTTCCCGTCCTCTTCCTCACTCTGTGCTTACTCCTTACGCCTTTGGGGTCCATCGGACTGCGTCCCAGCGGATAGCCGCCGGGGGTTGCTGTTACACGGGCGACGGGGTGAATGGGGGGGGATCACGGAGGGGCGAGGGCGGAGATCTCGTTCGGCGGGAGGTTTGCCAGCAGTGCCTTCGCCGCCTGCTTTGCGGAGGTGGGTCTTTCTTGTTTACTCGACGCTACAGTCGGCTCGTTTCCGATTTCTTCCGTGTAGTTGATTCGCTACATGTCATTTCTTTTCTCTAGATATTTTTTCTGGACAGTGGATCGATTCCCAGTGGAGACGTTCCCCTTTCTAGTTTATAGCCAATGCCCGACATGGCGGTATTACTGAATCGTGATAGAATGCGTAATCACTATTTTTCCTGCACTTTGATCAAGTAAATTTTCGTATCTGATTCAAGGTCGTAGCGGCTCTGTTACCCCCGTTTAAGGATTGGATTGTATTTAGCTGTGTTTCTTTGTTTTCGCTTTGTGATTCGTGTTCATCGAACCTTATGTATTCTTCCCGTTCAACCAGAAATCAGTTCCTAGTTTATTTTTTCTCCGATGCCTTAGAGCAGCCACCTCATATTTTTTCGTTGTTTATTGCTTTCTCTGTTAGTCTTCTCCAGAAAAGTTCATATTACGTCGAAGCGATTTCCCAAAGTTTATTTTTCTGTGCAATGGAAAAATTTGTCTGCAATGCGTCGATTGTTCTCCAAACTTTTATCCTCAACAACCGTTAGCAGATTTCTATTCATAATTTTGGGGTTGGAGAAAAAATTGACGTGGGATATTGGCTATATTTTCTCTGCATCCTTTCTCTTAGAGCATGGTCGGCGACATTTCTCTACCCTGCGTTGGGGTCGTATAGTTTTTGATCCTATCTGTAGACTAAGAAGTATGAGCTGCGCTGTCAGTACTCTCAAGAGGCTAGGAAATAGTTTCTTTCGTCAGCATAAATCATCGCTCTGTCATCATCCTTGATTTGTATCGAATTGATCTGATAGTGACCTGGAATTGCCTGTTGCAGTCAAACCCAAAAATATGAAAGTAATTTTTCTCTCCAATCCCCATTTTCAGCACGCCATAATCCTACTGAACCTGGTCTAACAAAAGAATTATCATCCAAATTATTTGTTATGGCTGAATTTCGTGTAGAAACGCCACCATATCATGCGAGGTGTTCCATTGTTTCGTACCACGCCATCAAGTGTCAGCATATAATTTTGTTTTTGATCTTTGATTATTGCTGTTTGCCCGTAAACACAAGTCTAGACTTATAGGATCAGAGTTGAATGTGGATGAAGGCCATTTTCAGAAGATCGCATCTCAATCCGTTTCTGCACTGAAATTTTATAACATGGTGTCTATTTCTCCATTCATGTCTTACCTGAAATGGAATACTGGCTGCTCTTGTTCTATTTCTTACATTCCACCCATTGTATTATTTATCTCTTTAGCTTTCTGACTTAGCCACGCCTTTTTTGGTTTTATTCTGACAGCTCTGTACCATTCCCCTGGATACTGCCAAGGTCAGGCTTCAGCTCCAAAAGAAATCTATCACAGGTGATGGAGTGTCTTTGCCAAAATACAAGGGAATGCTAGGTACAGTTGCTACCATAGCTAGGGAAGAAGGTCTATCAGCACTCTGGAAAGGCATAGTACCAGGTCTACATCGGCAATGTCTCTTTGGAGGCTTGAGAATTGGACTATATGAACCTGTATGTGTCAGTACAGGCGTTTTTTGTTGTTACATCCGTCCTCATAGATCATTTGCATTGTTGTGCTTTCCTTGTGAAGTTTCTTTATATTCGTCCTCTTAGATCATTAGCAATTTTTTAGGTCAAATCGCTCTATGTTGGTGAGATTTTTGTTGGGGACATTCCTTTGTCCAAGAAGATACTTGCTGGGCTTACAACTGGTGAGTGGACCACATTTGTGATGACGGTTCCTGGTTCAGCTTTCGTGATAGTATTTTATCTCAAATTTCTAACAGAGTTTCCCTACAAAGTGTGCTCCAGAATAACGTTTAATCATCACACAATCCGTTCTGGTCCAACTAAATTGATAAACTGGACTCTCAATCAGGTGCTCTGGCGATCACAGTGGCCAATCCAACTGATCTCGTTAAGGTTCGGCTTCAATCAGAAGGAAAACTCCCACCTGGGGTACCAAGACGGTATTCTGGAGCACTGAATGCTTATTCTACAATTGTTAAACAGGTGATGCTCACTTGCTGATGGGCTAATTTTTCTTTTTTTTTTTTATATCAGAATGTCATTTCTGATTGAATTCGACAACTGTTCCCATAATTTAGGAAGGCGTTGGGGCTCTGTGGACCGGTCTTAGTCCAAACATTGCTCGGAATGCTATTATAAACGCCGCTGAATTGGCCAGCTATGATCAGGTGAAACAGGTAAAAGTTTCCACTCCTCTCTAAATATGAAAGAGGTAAAAAAAATTCTTTTATTAAGATTAACGGGCGATTCGTTCTATGTGTCTTCCTTTGAGAAGATTTGATGTGCTATATTTTGTTGTTATTTTTGTTTAATTATCTCTACTTCTGCATGCAGACAATCTTGAAAATCCCAGGATTTACGGATAATATCTTTACACATCTTTTATCTGGCTTGGGCGCCGGATTTGTTGCAGTTTGTATTGGTTCCCCTGTTGATGTGGTAAGAATTCGCTGACCTTGTTTTGGAGTTCTTCTTCACAAGGTGTTCAATTTATTTTATTTGTTTCGTGCACCAAATTTCTTCCAACCTGTCAACCATTTTGTATAGCTATCCTTTCTTGGTTAGGCAGAGACGAACCTGGGCAGATCCCCATGTATGTCGAAATTTAGCGAGCTATTTATTTATGTGGAATTTCATTTTTCCTGTCAAGTGTATTATCATCAGCTATTTCAGCTTCCTAGAACGCTTAGGTGGTGAAAAACCGTTCTCACAAAGGAACAACCAAATATGTCAGGTTTATATCAAAGAATTCCAAAAAACGTCCCTGGAAAATAGGGTAGAAACCAAAACCCGGGGCATTGTTTGGAAGCTTATGTAAACCAATATTCCTGGGAAATGTTGTGGAATGAGATCACTGCCAAGAAAAGTAGAATTTCGGCGGTGGTTTGAGCAATTCTTATCGTACAAACTAGCTGCTTGATCTACATAATATCGTCCCTTTCAGATGTCTCTTCTTCATGTGAATGGCACAATGCTTCAGTTAGATCAGATTTTCATGCACGAAGGTACTGCTTGCTGGCCTAGTAAAATGTTAATGGTTCCGTGTGTTGCTGCAGGTAAAATCTAGAATGATGGGAGACTCGTCTTATAAAAGCACGCTCGATTGTTTCATCAAGACATTGAAGAATGACGTACGTTTTTTTATCTATTTTTCTTTTCTCTCTGCATTTCCTCCGTTTTAAGTAACAGTAGTTTTGTTGCTTTTACCCTGCTCGATCCCCCTCCTTAACCAATTTCGCGGCTCCTCAACTGAAAGATGTGCTTCTTTTACTGGTGGAAACAAAGTCAAAGCAAGACTTACCTTAATTATCTGATGAAACAAACTCTGAGAAGCTGCCTTTTTTCTTCTGATAAACATCTGATGATACTGCCGATATGTATGTTAGTTAGTCTTCTAGTTCGACGAGCCCTCCTCCTCACTGCCCTCGAGCATCTCAACTCCATTCTTGCTTTTTGTGTTCTGTTTTTTTTTTTTGTTGGCAGGGACCCTTTGCTTTCTACAAGGGATTTATCCCAAATTTTGGCCGGCTGGGATCATGGAACGTTATAATGTTCTTGACGTTGGAGCAGGTATTCTCCCCTCCCTTTGTTGGTGTCATCCTCCTCCCTTTCCTTCCTGGGCTTGAACCGCTGACTGCTTCACGAAACCCGGCTGGCCCGAATCCCAAGTTTCTCAACCTTTCTTTCGACGTTACTCCCTTCTCATCCAGAAGCGCTCGGGTTTAAAAATGGCAGGTCAAGAAGCTCTTCGTCAAGGACCACCTGTCGAGCTGATGAGTCGTCGTCGCCACGGCTTGTCGTCCTCTCTTCTCTGGAAGATGGGTCGCGCCGCACTGTGTTCCTCAGGTCGATCTTCGGCCAGAATAGCTGTGGTCGTGGCTGTCCCTGTCCCCCGGGGTGGGAGCGGAGTGGGGAGGAGGAGCGTGAAGAAGCCGGAGATTCTTCTCTTTACTTGGGTTGCCGACCTCCCCAAGAACCTCCCAATAAAAGCAATAAATCATTAAATCTGCCGTTGCATATATTCCCGTGTCAGGTGGCGGCACGAGGAAGGGCCTGATAGATTCGGAGAGAGAGAGAGAGAGAGAGAGAGAGAGGAGGACGTGGAGTGTGGCCTAACACATCACATCACATCACGTCATCGTCATCGCCATCGCCATCGCCATCGCCATCGCCCCATGCCTCCTGAACGTAGTAACGGGCTTTCTCAAGTATGGGCTTCCATCAGCGTCCGAATGGTCTTCGAAAGTCCAGACGTTTCTTGTCAATTGAACGGCCTAGCGTCTCACCACGCTCGAATCCATCCTGATTGGCCGGTAGAGCCCAGTGGATAAAGCTCCGCCGGGGCCGCCAATTGCCCGCCCCGCTCTAGAACCTTCCTTCTCATCGCTCGAATCCGCTATATAAAGCTCTGCCCGTTCCCCTGTCACCGCACTGCGAGTCTGCGGCATCCAATATCTGGTTTTAGGCGCTGCCTTCCCCCCTTTGTCCGTTTTTTCCCTCCGCGTCCCTTCCCCCACACCCCCCCCCCCATCCGATCTGCTACGCGAGGATGTCCCTCGTCCCAGGATTCTTCGGCCGGCGCAGGGGCGTCTTCGACCCCTTCGCTCTTGATCTGTGGGATCCTTTGGAGGGATTTCCCTTCGAAACCTCTCTCGCCTCGTCCTCCACGTTCGCCGGCACCTGCGTCGACTGGAAGGAGACCCCCGACGCTCACGTCTTCAAGGCCGACCTCCCTGGGGTCAGGAAGGATGAGGTGAAAGTGGAGGTCGAGGACGATCGGATCCTGCAGATCAGCGGGGAGCGGACCAGGGAGCAGGAGGAGAGAAACGATACCTGGCACCGTGTGGAGCGCAGCAGCGGTAAGTTTGTGAGGAGGTTCCGGCTGCCGGAGAACGCCAAGGTGGACCAGGTGAGGGCCGCCATGGAAAATGGAGTGCTCACTGTGACTGTTCCCAAGGTCGGACAGAAGAAATCCAAGATCAAGGCTGTCGAAATATCCGATTGAGGTCGCCCGCATCGTTCGAATCACTTTTGCTAGCAGATCGGCTGTGTCCGTAGGCAAAGATGTTCTGTGGCTTCTGATGTTGCTGTCTGTGCCTAAGTCTTCTTGCGAGCGCTGTTGTCCGACCCGCTGTTCAACTACACCCTCTCCTCTGTAAGCGAGACTCTTGATCTAATGAAATCCGTCGAAATAAGACAAGGGAGAAAGGTGGTAGAGAAAAAACGCGTCCGGCAAAACTCTAGAATCCTCATACATCGCTCACCCAAGGGGTCCCCAGTCCATGTCCGAAGGTTAGCACGAGTACCAGGTCTTGGCATGCAGAACCGGTGGACGAAGATCTTGGCATTCTTTATTTGCAAGAAATCTCCGCACACTGTTTTGTTTTCGGGGATGGAGTCGCGTTCAACCTCGACCGCAGTTCGTCAATTCCGCGGGCCCCAGGTATTACAATCGGAAAGGGAGGAGATGGAAAGATGGGATTTCCTCTGTTTTAGAGGACAGAGGGGGAGGAGCGGGGGAAAAATACCTCATTTTTCATTGATGTCTATCTCCCATTATACAGCAGCGAGAGGAGAGAACCCTGCCCCAAGAAGAGCGGTGTGAAGGGGATATGGTGACAATTAGAAAGAATAAGAGAGATACTGATGGGAACCCTTGGTTCGGCTGAGTGTTGTTTGCACTCGAGCAACACGAGAAAATCAGCAGGGATTGGATATTGATTACTTCTGTCCACGAAACGGCAGGATAACACAGCGAACCACGACAGAGAAGAAATCAGCAAGGGGAGAGATGGACTGATGGAGTTATCTTTGAGTGGAGGAAGAAAAAGATTGAGTAGATTAAGTTATGGTAGTTTGGAGATAGACATCATACCATATGAGAATAATCATTCATCTCCGGAATTAAATCAACAAGGGTTTAGATACTATCAACTACGATAGAATAAAGTTTGTGCAATAGTTTAGTGGGTGTAATTATTTGCCTCTCGATCGTCAAAATACTATACAATGCTAAGATGCGCCATCTTGATTCATTCGAGATTTTCATTCTCCAATTATTACGTGGAAGAAAAAGAAGGGAAAAAATGTTGTATGGTATATGTAGTAGATTGGCGTCGCACATGATTAATTCTCACGTGTGAAATCTTTAAGACTCCCTCTCAAGATGGGCAATAAATATTTTTAACTCCCATCTTGGAAAATAAATGAAATAGTTAACTTGGTGGTAGAGGTTTTGTGAAAATACCAGCAATTTATTATTAAGATCAAATGAGAATAAGTATCATCATGGATGTCATGCATGATGATACTTAAAATTTCTTGACTATTATGGATGTCATGCATGATGCAAAGTTTAAAATAATATGAACTGCAACTTGATTATCACAGAAGAGAAGTGTGGTGAAAGACAACTTGATAATAATGTCATGCATTAACAGTTGCCATTGAAAAGCGTCTATAATAGTGGCTCATGCATGATATCCAGCTTCAACTTGCGCTTCATAAACATTTTATTATTTCATTGCCTTGTAGACACGAGAGAATCGCTAAAAAAATATACAGAAATCAACTAAAATCAGACCAAAAAATTCAGTTTGTATTGAAAAATAATCAAATTTTCAAACAAAATATAAAGTCAAGAAAAAGAGTCATTGACCAAGTGTACATTAGGGATATCAAAGTACATGATATGTAGCAAGTAATTGAGGATCTCAAGGTTGAGCCATAAAACAACCTTAATAGTTGCACTATAAAATGATATTAGGAAATGATAATGTCAAATATGATGGTGGCCAATCAGTCTTTTATATTGACATGCATCTTTAGATGAAACCTCATTTACAACAAAAAATTGTAGTCAATAGTCTTAATAACAAGTGTGGATATAAAATTAAGAAAATCAGTATCTTCAAGTAATTGTAGCATATACTCACATTGAGATAAATAAACCATGTGAAAAACTATGTAATTTTTAAATTAAGAAAATACCTCAAAGTACACAGATCTTTGAATTTAAATTGAGTATGTAAATAATCTTATAAAGCATTAATACATGATAGTGGAGGTACAATTAATATATTGTCATCAACATATACAAGTAAGACTAGAAAGAGAATCATAACTTTTAGTAAATAGTAAATAACTAGATTTTAGATTGAGTGAACCCAAAGTCAATTAACAAAAAATATAACTTTGAGTACTACTTTCTGAATACCTACTAAAGATCATTAAAGTGCTTGTAATATTTATAGATAAACTTTTCAAAATGAGTAAAAACCTATTCATTATTATAATAGTTTAAAAGTAAGTCGATATAAACCCCTCTTCTCATAAATCACCATTGAGAAAAATATCAACCTAAATAATGTATTGATTATGTATTATAGCAAGAACTAATATAAGTTTAATTATTGATAAGCTAGAGAAAGTATTTCATAAGAATCAACTCCTATATATTGACTTGACAACTAATCAACCTTTGTAGCACTCAATAGAATCATTATAATGGTATATAATCAAATGTTTTTCTAATAGTAAAATAATAATTGGTTAAGTATTATTTGATTTTAAAGCATATAAGTCAACTTTTACCATCACCACATGCTATTGACAATCAGTGACATGTTGATCATAAAATTGTGGCTAATATTTGAAAAAAAATAATGATCAACTATCTATGGATGGAGATCAAAAAAATTATAGGAAATAAATCTACAAGAAGATAAGGTAAGGGTAATTTGATTCATCACAATGAAGATGAGTTTAAAAATTAGAAGGTCAATCTAAGAGGTAAGATGTTGACACTACAATCTCAACCTGACAAAAATTGTTCTAGTAAGATATTAGTTATATTGATGTAGGACGCCACGTGTATTGACAAAATCTCTAAAGGCAAGTTCTTTTACATTATACAATCAAACTTATTTGATCTTACTTGCAAATCGACTGTGAATCTTGGAAAAAGAATTACTAATAATAGTTTTGGCATTTGACTTATACTTCAAAAGAAAAGTCTATATAAATCTTGTAGAATCATCAATAATTATAAGAAAGTAACAATGACAAGAATGATTAGGAACTTTATATAGTCCTACTAGGTCAAAAAAGATTATAGAGATATTTTATTGTGACATTCAAAAGATAAATTACATTATTTTGTGAAATAATAACAAAAAGTTGCATCAATAGATGCTAATTGAGTGTATAATATATTAAAACTTTAGAGAACAAATGATCAAGTCTATTATACTAGATGTAAGGAAAAATATTTGTTGCAGATGTTATAATGCATTAGTGATCCACAAAGAAAATCATGATGATAAACTAGCTTAAAGTTTATCTGCATCTAAAATACAAATATCAAATCTTTTACTCTATTACACTTGTTAATTAGAATGTAATGACGTTGAACCCAAATCATGAAGTTATCATAGAAGAAATGATGTTAAAGAATTGAAGTAGTTATTAATACACTCACAGATGGTAAGTTAAAAAAAAATTGAGGGACAAATAATGTATGTCTTTTGGTATTAATTGATGATCTAGTTTCAAATCACCAACCAGAGTAATTGAGATATGTTTATTATTAGATAATGTAACAATTGTATTCCATATTGGATGTAAAAAAAATGAATGAATTAACATCCTAAGATATGTGTATTGTTGGATAATGTATCTATGCACTTGAATAAACAATCTAAATCTTGGTAGTTGAAATGATAAGATTGAAAACAATTAAGAGACATAACTTTTATATAATAAATGATGATGTATCTTATTTGTTAGTCATTGTTTTAGATGAAGTCAAGTGTAATGAAGGTATAGTCATCAATAGATGATATTGAATCGATTAAGATCATGTAAAAAAAATCAAACACTATTACCAAGTTGTTCATTAATGCTTATTGAACCAGCTTCATGAGAAATATGATGAATAGATGTTAGATGACATTTCTATTTTGATTTATAACCAAGTAGATAATCATAAACCTTATAACAATTCTCAATTACATGGACCTGTAAGTTGCAATGAGTACAATATGAACAATCTCTTTTTTGCTCTTGATTACAATGGGTTTTAAATAGAGCTAAAGATGATCTGAGGAGATGATAAGACTTTTTGAGGCAGTGTAAGCCCTAACTTCACTCTAGACGGAGAAGACGACTACCAACTCTAGTGGTGAAGTAATGTAGATGGCTCAAAGAGTTGATGTCAGTGGAAGCCCTAAACCCATTATGGTAACAGCTGTCGCTTCAATACCATGTTACAAAGAGAAAGATAGGAAAAAATTCAAAGAATCTATCATGTCTACAATGTATGTTTTATTTAATACATTGGCCTCACACATGTTTATTCTCACATATGAGATCCTTAAGACCAACCACATTGGCATGTTTCAAAAATGTGTTACAAATTCTCTAACATATTTAACATAATTGTCCATTGCTGGTGTGAGATCATGGCATTAATTCTCCTCCTCCAGTGAGATATTAATGAAGACCAATAATCTCGCATACCAATTTTGTATAATTATTAAATGTCAATTGACTGACTTTGGTCCCAAGCACAATGCCAAATACATCCAAATGTGAACCCTTTTGCAACTTCAATCAAATGCCAGCTTAGCCGGAGACACACTTCAACAAGAGAATGAAATAGGTGGAAGGAACGTCTCGAATATTCTGAAAGAAGTCAAGCTCTACGACTTGACAACGTTTGTATTTTGTGTGACAATTCTATTGTCAAATGGCTAACACACAAAGTAAATTGCAAATGAAAGTCAAGGAGAGTTATTCAAACTTGAGACGGTTGATTACAGTCAGCTAAGTATGCATCGGCTCACGAAATATTCACGGTCTCATTGAAACTAATACGATCAACCATGCCGAAGAGGGAAGCGAGGAGGCGGTAGAAATATCTTGTGCCTCTGTAGCCACGCATCGTTGTCTATAGAGACAACTATACATTTGTACATCTGTGCAGCTTTCTAGGTTTCATGGATGTCTACGTCGTGCATTTGTTATCGTCAAAGTGATTGTCTTTGCCTTGGCGAGTTAAAAGTGTCGGACTTGCAATGAAAGCAAGTGGGACCAGCTTTGAAAGAGAGGAAAAGGAGACAATCCGATATGGTACGTTGTAATCTCAGAGAGAGTCGATGTACTAATTGGTAGCATAGTTTCAACAAAATAGGATGGTAGAGAAGTAAAAACCAGCAAGAAACAGCATCTCAAGATAGATACGATAGTTCATCAATGCTTAAGCTGCAGATAGTATAAAATCTGGCTCGTGCCCATGAGCTAACTGCTGACTTCAGCTGCAAGTTGTCGTGGTGGCAATCTCTTTTTTTTCAAGTAATCAATGTCACTTGCTGACCCTGGGGAACCTGATATACCGATAAACACAGAGTTGACGCTGGGGTAGAGGGGAGAGAGGAAGAGGAAGGTCGGACTTTAAAATGCTTCGCAGGATCAGATTAGACAGAAAGCTGAGAACCAATTTGCTCCCGCAGATACATCCCCATCGTTGTTTCTCCACGCAGTACAAGAGTACGACAGTTCGGGCGCGCGCGCCCTTATAAGACCATAAGATTGCAATTTGCGCCCTATGATTTCTGTCTCTGAGAGAAAGAAGGCTTGCGGACAGAGAACTGCCAAAGGACGGGGTGGGACAGGAACTCGCCGGAGATGGAGAAGCGGTACACCCACATGACTTTCTTCTGGGGAACGAACTCCGAGATCCTCTTCACGATGTGGCCAGGCACGAGGCGCGGCATGTACGGGCTCGCGCTGATCGTGGTCTTCCTCATGGCGTTCTTCGTGGAGCTGCTCTCGTGCCGCCGCATCGCTCGTCTCGGGCGGCAGCGGCCCCGCCTGCTGGCCGCCCTCTTCCAGACGGCCGTCCACGCCCTCCGCGTCGGGCTGGCCTACCTCCTCATGCTGGCGCTCATGTCCTTCAACGTCGGCGTCCTGATCGTGGCAATCGCGGGGAGCACCGCCGGTTTCTTGCTGTTCCACAGCTCGGTGTTCCACGGGGTGGAGCCCTGCGCCGAGGCCATTCCCGTCAAGCAATAACATACAGAGCGCACACATCGAAAATAAAAAGGGGAATGCGGTCGATTGATCCCGTCCTTCTTCCTGAGGGGTGATCGTGATTGTGTGTGGGAATAACTTGAGGAGTCGGATGCATCGAGAACCCTGACCAATGTTGCGGGAGGATCATACGGGCGTAGTGCCACTTTCCCCCGACTCAAAGTCTTCTTCCGCTCGATGTAACAATCAAACAATGTCTGAAATTCACGTCTGTTGTAAATGAATGTGTGAACATTTTTTCCGATTTACGCATCTCGTTTTTCATCTTGATCAACCATCTGAGTAACAACGTACTCGGGAGATAAATCTGTCCGTACCACACGGCACGAGATCTTACCTTTTCATGCACTGTGAGGTTCTTCTGAGAGTTGGATTAGCATCCAAATACCCGACGCTGTCGTAGCATCCGATCCAGTTATGTGGATTAGAGATTGCTCGAACTGTATGAGACGCGTTTTTTATATCTGCGCGATGGCACTGTTGAGAAGACCGAATGATTTAAAGCTCGACCCCCAAACCTCCCGGGAGGAGATCGGAGGGCGTCTGCGGCGCAGAGCGAGTTGGGTGTTCCCTGCGCGGCCGGAAGGACCCACCAGGGGGCTCTGCTGTCGGCGTAGTTGGACCAGTTTGCTAGATTTTTGCTTCTCTGAGAGAAGAAGAGACCCTCGGGGGCTGGGAAGCCTCCCAGGTTTGAACTGATCTTCTTCTGCGAGATATTTCGCGAGGCGACGGAGATTGCCTCATGTCATCGCCCACGGCCATGAATCCAACGTTGGGGAGATGATCCACCCGATAACCAGAGTTTTTGCACGCCGACGGAGGCGAGAGCGACCTGCCGCCGCCATCAAGGAGCCATCTTTCTCGATGTTTTGACGTCTCTGCCTTTGACATTCCAGCCGGAAAAAATAGAAATATCTCGGGGGCGTGGTTGTACCGCAAGAGAAACAAGCCTGTCATGGATAGTACAAATATAGTACACGCCGTTGACCGCAATACTCCTGTATAACTTTGGTCGCCGCCGGAGGATACGCCTCGGTTGGAGAGGAAAAGGGAGGAGCAGAGTAGGTCTTGTTCGAACCGGCGAAGATGGACATGGGAGCGCATTCGCACGGCGGGGACATGAGCATGGGAGGGAGCATGAAGAAGTCCTACACCCACATGACCTTCTTCTGGGGGAAGAACTCGGAGATCCTCTTCCAGGGATGGCCGGGCACGCGGGGCGGCATGTACGCCCTCGCCCTCATTTTCGTCTTCGTGATGGGGATCCTCGTCGAGTGGCTATCTCACTGCCGCCTGATCAAGGAGCGATGGCCGCGTCTCCCCGCCGGCATCTTCCAGACGGCCCTGCACGCAGTCCGTGTGGGCATCGCATACCTGCTGATGCTTGCGGTTATGTCGTTCAACGTGGGCGTGCTAATCGTAGCCATCGCCGGGCACGCGCTGGGCTTCCTGCTCTTCAGCGGCGCGCTGTTCGGCAAGAAGGCTGACGAGAACGTCAGGGACCTGCCGCCCATGAAATGCTAGAACTCCGGAGGAAGGAAAGGCATCTTCGTGCTGCTCAATGCTTCGGTGTGTGCAATAAGAGAAAATTATTCGGAAGGAAAGGACGTTGTGTGATTTGGCTTGTTATTTCGCGGCTGTAAAGTAACTGGCATGCTTCTGCCGACATAATACTCATCTGTTACTTCTCTTCCCTCCCGATTATTGTGATATCTTCTCATCTGTTCATAATGTTCTGCACGTCGTTCTAATCCTTGGCACAGCTGTGGAGTGCTCCGCGGGTCCGTCTGAAAGAGAGAGATACCCGCTAAACCCTCGTGGAGCGATTTATGGCAATTGCTATGCACAGCAAGAGACAGAGAGAGAATCAATCGGCTGGAAATGAATTGAAGAATAACGAAACGCGTGGTTGGTGGTGGAAGCTCTTTGCTCGCCATCATCCCTCGTCATCTTAGGGCTGGTTTGAAGAGTATTTAGCAGCCCCCACCACAGTAAGGTTGTTCCCGAGGGTTTTTTTGTCGATATAGTCGCCCCCTGATAGGATCAAATATACGTACGGCGTTCGAAGAAAATTTAACCAACGTTTTTTATCAAGATCTTAAGAACGATTTCTGGATGATCAGCGTTCTGCAATCAACCCTGATCATCTGACAGTACGATGGGAGATGACAAATACTTGCTTGCACCCAGAGCTACTGCCTCTCGAGAAGTACGACGGTCTGCCGGCCGGCGTAGAGACCACGAGCTCCGTCAATAAATAACATGCGATAACAGGGAGGGGAGAATGAATGCTTCTGCTCTGTGGGAAGGAAGCCCGTGAGGAGGCGAGGCACGAGGAGGGTGCAGTCCTGCCCAGTTCCTCCTGCCTCGATGCCGATGGACTCCCTCTCCCCGCCTGCTGCACAGCCAGAGATCATCGTCTCCGTGTATCGCATTAAACGCTCTGCCCCGTACACTAAATGGCCCAGTCGTCGTCTCTTCCGGCCAGAGTAACCCGGCCTTCTCCCCTCGAGGTCACCATTTAGCCGGGAAGGAGACCTGTCTGCAACCTGTATCGTCATGCCGATTCTGAAAATAGTATCATCTGTTAGCGCGCGTATGATAACCAGCGAAAAATCTGACAGTCCCCATCTCTCAAGCGTCCCTCTCTCTCTCTCTCTTTTCTGGGGAGGGAAAGCTGTGCGAGCTGGGATTGGGCGGAGGACGGGGACAAGGGGGCGTTAAGAGCCTCGAGCGCACAAAAAGCTTCCCTCGCTTGGGAATTACGTCAAACATCTGCCGGCGGCGACACCGAGTTCCATCACCACCGAAACGATGAAGACAGTCAATGCCGCCGGCATGGCGGCAAGCCCGTGAGAAGCGAAGCACGAGGCCGGTGCGGCCCAATCGGCCTCGGCAACGACGCAGATCAAAACTCCTCCCTCCGCCGTCGTGTGCCTCGCGTGCCCCGTATTCAATGCCCTGCTTCTCGCATTAACTCCGCGCAGGGAGGAAAATCACCGTGCATTCGCAGCCGCCTTCCCAGGGCGGAGGAGAAGCCGTCGGACACCCGCCCACCGTTGCGGGTGGGGTCTGTCTTTTGGTTGTGAGCTCTTACCGTGCTCTCGCTCTGCTGCGTGAGATACAGAATAGTCCAGAGGGGATCCTGCGGCAGGAAAAGGATCCCCGTGGGGAGGGGTGCGGCTGGAGAAGTGACAGATCGACGGCGGAGTAGGGTAGCAAGCAGGAGCTCAGCTTTGCAGACCGAGGATGAAGAAGAGAACGGCTAAATCGGTCGGCAGAAGGTGGCCGGAGTCCATCGATGAACTCGTTGAGAGGAGAATAGAAGAAGAGATCGAGTAGAGAGAGAAAGGTGCTACTAAGTACCACGTTGCTGATTACCAGAAGCAGCCGGCACTCCACACGCAAAACGACCGATTATTGTCGACCTCCTCTCAAAAACATACCCCGCCCCGCGAGCCCGGACCTCTGCACAAAATAGCTCTACCCCCCTCCCCCTCCTCCAACCCCCCGCGGCCTTTCTCCATTCCCCTACATTTCTCTATCGATGGCGGCATCTACGTTGCCTACTGAGACACTCGCAGTAACTGCGACATCAGCAGTTAATAGGTCCAGTCCGCAGGCAGGAAGCGCTCGGTGCCCGTCCTGGCGGGGGGCGAGAAACCTCTCCCCAGCGGCATCACGGCGGAGCTCCTCGAGAGTGTGATGTCTGCAACAATACGAACCCACGTCAGGTCGTTTGGAAGGCGAGAACAGGATTGGGCGGAAAGCCCTCCCTCGTTCCTCTCACCGTGGTCGATAAGGGGCGGCGGCACCTTCACGTCGAGGTTCAGGGCCTGCACCACCCTCGCCGGTAGCAGCACTGTGGGGGGGACGCCTGCGGCCACCAATCGGAAGGCGACGTTAAGGCGTTGGAAGAACGTGGAAAGAACGACCTACGATGGCCGGCCTACCTTTCCGGCGGAGAAGATCGAAAAAAGCTGAGCGGTAAAGATTCGGGCAGCATCGAAGCTCCCCGCCCCCCTTGTTGGTCGAGGAAAGGGAAAAAGTCGATGAAAAAAAAAACGTGGGCCAAGGAAGAGGATGGAGGGGGCAGCGGCGGCGGCGGCGGCGGCAATGACCCACCTTGTTTCTTCCGCAGGTCTGACGGCCGGCCGAGTTGCCGGGGGAGGAACACGCCGGTGCCGCAGGAGACCCCCCGCTTGGGGACGGCGCCGAGTAACACCGCCCGACTGCCCGGTTCGGGCTGCGGCCGGAAGGCGGCGGCGGTGGGCGACCAGCCCTGAGGCGGCGCCGGCCGGCCGCCGTGGTCGAGCATCTCGTGCTGCCGCCATGTGGCGGCGAGCTGCACTTTCTTCGGCTGATGGAAAGACCAGGGAGGATCGGCAGCTCCGACGCGCCTCCTATTAATCCGACCGAGGGTTGAGTCAGTCTGTAGCAAGCCTACATGGTCAGCGGTTTCCTGGTTCTGGCCTCGAGCTGGACCTGGGCAATAGCCGTCGGCGGAGCTCTCGGAGAGAACGGCAGGAAACAGAGAAAAGGATTCCGACCGCGCCGGTGGGCACAAGGGGCCGCGCCGGCCGGTGCGCTGCCGCTTGCCGAACTCGTCGTTCCAGCTTCCGACCGCGCAGAGGATAGACTGTGGCGAGCCCACCATCAGAGTCCCCTGCACAAGGTCCTCGAGGTTACATACTCTGCGAAGCAGATGAACGTCCACAGAGGCGAGGCATCATGACCGGCGGTGGATACCTTGGGAGCGGCGGCGGCGATAGCTGTGTTCGAGGCAGGCTTCTTCTCGTCGTCACGGAGGAAGTAGTGGGCCATCTGCCAGGTCAACCCGGCCAGGTAGTCTTCCTCCTCGCTGGCGTCGGTTCCCGCGGCCGAGTCCCCCGGCGAGTTGACCTCGGAGTACCACCCCCACTCGTAGGGAAACTCTGAGGGGAACAAGGCTGCGCCGCCTCCGCCCCCGGTGCCCTTTTCCTCCACGAAGAAATCCTCCGTGAAGAACTCGGAAGGTAGACCGAATTCGGCGTAATCCAACTCCTCGGCCATCGTCACCCAACTCCTCGTACTGGGTCTCCGTTATTACCGCAGGACAGCACGGAAGAGGGGGGAGGAGAGAGAGAGAGAGAGAGAGAGAGAGAGAGAGAGAGAGGGAGAGAGAAACCTCCGCACCAGGACGAAGGAATGTCGAGGAGGGCGGTGCGGGATGGCGAGGATTCTATATAAATAGATATGATGGGGATGTGCGTGGGCAAGGGATCCGGCGGGCCCCATCCAACTTTGGGCCGTCTGCTGTGCACGCGGATGCGGCCCAATGATAGCCCCCCGCCCCACACACCCGCTTGTTCCAACGACCACCGACCAAAGGAGAATCTTAGAGGTCAACGAAGGGTAATCAAGGCTAAATAGATCTTCAACAAGGCCGAATGTTCTTACAATCGAAGACGGGCTTACCTCTGCGAGAGCTCTGCATACGACCCCCAAAAGCCGGAAGACGGGGCGGGCTTCTCTGCACGCCCTGCCGACGCTCCGGTGGGACAGGGAGCTCGAGCTACCCTGGAAGCCTGCCCTCCGGGCCTTCCCCGTTCAAGGAGATCTGAAACGATGTCGCGGGCTAGAAATGCTCGGTGCACGCGGCTGGGCTGGAAGGTAGAGAAGAAGACTAATGAATGAGCAAGTTACCAGAAGAATGTCTTCATCGGTGCCGAAAGATTTGCGGGCTACTTCCAGGCAGGCTAGCGGGATCCGCTCCTGTTTCCTGCAATATCGTCACAAAATGAGCACTTTTGCGGCGGCTCTCCCACAGGACCCTGCGATGGTGGTGACGGAGCAGTCTTCCGGGCATCCATCACACGCCGACAGAATCTACAACTGTACCAGCCCGACAGGATCGCTGTGTAGCTGCTATCTCCCTCGGTTGAAAGAGAGCTGGGACATTCGAGGGCCGTTTAAAGTCTCTGGTTCGTGGTGCTGGTGCTGGTGCTGGTGGTGGTGCTGGTGGTGGTGCTGGTGGTGGTGAGAGAGAGAGAGACAGACAGACAGACAGAGATGGGTCGACTTCGTTGACTTTCGTCTCTAACAATCTGAACTGATGGGGTTTTTGGGACAGCAAGGGGCTACGGTCCAATGCTATCTGGATGCCTTGAGAACGGCCATTGCCGGAGATTGTGGGGATACGATCCGACACCAAGGGAGGGGCGAGGGCGAGTTATCTATAAATATAACAAGAAACATAACAGCTGTGGCCGGTATCATTCTCGCCCAGGAAGGGGGTAGAAAAGATACCTCGAGCTGGCAGGATCTCTGATGTCAAACTCGTCCTTTTCTCCGTCGTATCCGCATATCACAATGAAGTGACCTAAGCAAGTGACAGGAAGGCTCCAAATGAAACATTTATAAAGTGGAGAAAATTCATGCATGGGACAGATTAGTCAACTATAATCAGACAGGTGAGTAAAGTGGCAATTTTCTCTTTCTGGCAGAGCAAAGATAATCTGGATATTAGCAGCGTACACAAAAGGATAGAAAAGGAAACAATAGATTTAATTGGGTACGCATTTGAAGGAAAAAAGACAACTGGACCCAGTTCTAAACATGCATCCTGATGAAATATCTGCAAGAATAAATGAATATCAAATAAAGAAGTTATTTGAAAAATAAACTCCGTTTTCCTCACCAATGTAGTTTGGGCGTCCGTCGCATAATTCCGGCAAATAGAGATCCTTTGCGCAAGAGTGACTGCGTCACATAATTCAATGATGTAAAGTGGTGGATGACAGATGCAATCTTCAAGTAGAATCATAGAAGTTGTACGATGTCAGATCGTAAAAATAATAGTCTGCAGAAAAAGGATGAACACAGGCGCATGTAGGCCAATCCCTGAGTTCTGGGGCAAGGAAATTATAGACATTGGAGCCTAATAAACATTAAAATGAAAATGGACACAATGGCATGTCTCCTTGGTCGGTCCTATTGCGGAGTTTTCCGACTCTTTCACGGCATCACACCGAAGAAGACGTTGTTACTCTCTTGGATTTAATATTTTGGTATTACCTTAGTGTTCATTCGACAGGGGGGAGGAAAAAAAAACTACATGGTAAAAGGAACTTGACGGTAAATTATAGCAAGGAAATAATAAAATAGAAGAGAAGAAAGTGATCACGACTTGACTCTTATTTTCTTCCTTTCCAGAAAATAACGCAGTTTTTGCATATCAGTTTTAACAATTTAGGAAAAACTTATGGAGCGAAGAAAAACCTAAAAGGGAGCAAGGGAGCCTCCTAATTCATTTTCATAATGAGAAAAAAATGTGGTTTGCGTTCGTGTAGAACTACCTCAGCTTGTATTTATCAACCAATGCAATAGCAATGCATCCACCTGATAACATTAGGAGAGAAATATCATTTCCGCTAAGCGATCTGTGCTGTAGAGCACAAGAAATAGTTAGCACAAAATGAGTAAGGCCACTGCATATCGTCTAGTTACATTTTAGACTTATTTTTGGCGATTTCTATCAATTTTATCACATTTAATTCAATATAATGAGCTTGATGAGCAATTCACACGCCAATAAATGGAAAATGAAACCCCAAGCTTTCCAAAATCATTATTAGGACACGCATCATCACTATTTCTGGCATGATAAGTATCGACCCTAGATTAAGACCATGGAAGGTGATTTTTTGTCTGGAAGAAATACTTCTTGTTGTGGTACGGTAAAAATTTGATGAGCATTACAGTCTTATGTCCTACATGTTAGTTTACAGCTTCGTTCAAGTCAAAAATGTTAAAAAGTTACTTCTTCAAGCCAATCACAAAATGTTGTCCAGCTCAAAGATGAGATAAAACATGGTTATATTAAGCATACGAGACTCAATAGATTTTTACTATTCAATCACGATTAATCGACACAAATATCCTTCATCCACCATGTACTCTATCAGTAACTAAGAAATCCTTTCTAGGAATGAATAAATCTTATAACTCTTATCTCAATGTCTACTTGTCGAGCAAGGTTTGCCCTCTTAAACAGTCTTGTTGTCAGGTTATGCTTAAACCAAAGGCAACGAGATGCCCTAGAAAATATGCGAGAAATATAATTTCCTAAGCGCTTTATAAGGAAGTAGCTCTCCATAAAAGGTTCATGGCTGAAGACAGTACTCACCTCTATGCGGATTCCAGCTTCTAATGCTTCCTCAAAAAGCGTATTAACTCTTCCCCGATCATCATGTAATTGCTCCTGCAATAATTCCATAACAAAACAGAGCGTAGCGATTAGTTAACTATGTAGAGAGCATCATCAACCTTTAGGTAAAAACTTCTCCTTTAATTATAGCAAAAATAAGAGCTATTCTGGCATGATTGCATAAACGGCACTCGTCATCAGATTCACACCCAATCTCAAGCTGAATAAGATAAAATATCGAACTCTGGTTAAATTTTCCAAAGAGGTGGAGGGCTAGTATTCAATCAGGCTCTAGATACAATCCCACAAAGTGAGAGTCCTCACTATCGACATTATTTTTCTCCCCATCCCCAAAAGTGCCAATTTAGGGAAACGAAGAAGAGAGATCGTGATCTTCATTCTCGAGACGTCCAAGAAGGTTGGTGGCTCAGAGAATAGCATGACTATTGGATACAATGGCATCAACCAATTTCCAATTAGCAGATATTACCTGGCTAAGACATGGGTTATACTTCACATAAATATTAAGAGACAGATAAATACACTCACACAGAAATGGAGCCAAGCCAGAGCAGGATAGTTTGCAAATAGTGCATAGACAGAAATTTACAATAGAAGGGACTGTGAGGAGATTGTACGAACGATAAGAAAAAAAGGCCACGTAGATCCCCAATTGGAGCACCCGTTTAATCAACCAAAGAGATGTAAAACAGAAAAGAAGCGAAAATTCTAGAGAAACAAAGAGAGAGAATTGATGTTCTATCGCTAAAATGAGGCTCTCTCCCATACATAAGAAAAAGACTCTCTCTGTCTCTCTCGCTCGCTCACTCAGAGATATGATCTCAAATCAAACTTGGAAGGCTCATTGCCCGAAGGGACATTTCAAAAGAGGAGCGTCGATCCAAGAGGACAATCAACAACGTAAAGTGTCCTCAGACATGGTTCGATAAGTTCTGTTAGGCACAAATGGTTTTAATAGTATCATGTAGATCATTATATCGCCAACTGCCTTCAGAAGTTGGACTCCTATTGTATATATTGAGAGCATCGCAGAAATTCATATGCCATTTTAGAGGCAAAATATTCATTGAAGAAAAATCACAGTGATCTAAGAAACAGACTATTGCAGAAAGATTCAGTATTGAGGAAGAACACAGAGTTACGACTGACCGATCATACGAATTGATATAACTGAAAGGTCTCATAAGAGTTATTGGAATGGGTTACAGGGATCCCAAAAAAATGTATTCTGATAATCCAGTTGATATCTTAGTTGTCAGAGGTTAAACTTTGATGAGAGAACTAAGCACAGTCAGGTGGATTGACATTTTAGTAGAGAGGCCCTGGTAAACAAGAACACCTGCACCTATTACGCAGGGTCTGAAGATCAAACAGTATGCATCAATCTAAGAAGAATATAAATATTAATCATCAATCTTTTACATCAGAAGTTGTCCATGACTGATATGTGCATGCAAGTTGGCAAGTAAGAGTCGGATTAGTAATTTATTCCAGGTTAATGTAACAATCAGCCCAGTAGTACATGGGCCTAATGACACAGGAAAGAGACAGGCCAATCATATAAAACTTTAGTTTATTTCTCTAACAAAAACTTGAAGGAAACACGTCTACGCTTGTACTATTTCTGGACATATCTAGCATTGATGACAGCTCACGTGTTATGAAGATGGAAAATTTTCTAAATTTAATGTATTACCTTTCAAGATGTTTAATGCAGTATCTCCACAAGTTAAATGACTTCTGTCAAGTGATCCCAGCCTATCAGCCCCTAATTTTTGACGTGTCTATCAAACATCATCTTAACCGTTGGACATGAACACTAAGCGTACGAAGTCATGGCAACATAAGAACGAGAAAAAAAAACATAAATTGTGGCTACGAACATTTCTCAGAATTGAAATTTTTTGCATAAACTAAGTTTCCAAAATCACAAGGTCCCTTCTGGAGAATATTGCTTTCATATAAGTAAAAGTTTAAATTTTATATAAAACAAAACTTGTTGGTTATCTGGAGTTATAATTGACGCACCTTATAAAAGGCCTCTGAAGAAAAATCCGGATTGGCTCCTAGAGTCACAGTGAAAAATGAAAACTTAATCGAGAACTTTTTCAACAAATACGCCAAGTCAACAGTCCAGATGCTGCAAAAGGGTAAAGATAACTGTTAAAACGACTTCCTCTGATTGATGTACAGTGATGGAAAGATAAATGATGAAATCTAGAATATCTATCAGCCAATATTTTCTGGAACAAGAAAATGTCGGTAGAGAATGTTTTGCATGAGTATTGGAATCGTGCCATGATATAGGCATTTCCACAAGATTGATTTCCTGAAAAGTGTCCTAATTCAAGTCACATGTAGCACCCTGACACTCTAATTTCCAGGAATGTCTCAGGTCCCTAAAATAAATCCCTGAATATAAATACTCATTTAAAATATCCTACATACAAATGATTTGACCATGGGAAGAAATGAATTTCCAATCCTAAACCAGATACAGAATTTAAAAAAAAAAAAACAGCACAAAAACACCAAAGATTACATCATACATTGTATCCACAACAGACTCAGTACAACGCGCGTCATGGCAGAATTTTGGCTTATTCGTAATTCACCAGTACAATATTGTAGCACATCCTCAGTATGCATTTGAAAATGAAACACGCCACGTCAAAACCTCCTAAACATGAAAAGCTCGAGAAGAACATAAGGCAAATAAGAAAAATAAATAAATAATTATAAATTCGCAAGTAGAACAAAAACAGCAAACAGATCGCAGTCAAAATATTACCAATCTACTAAGGTTGATACTACAGTATGTTAGAGGTATTTTAAGAACTGTATATCATAAACGAAATCAGATAACTAGAATAAATTACCACAGAAATTGAGGGCTGAGGAGAGAAGAGGATATTTAAGCATCTGTAGCAGCATTGAATAAAAACAATTCTACTGCGGGGGTATATCATCTTCAAATAACCATTCAGTAACAAGGCAGGGTGATATAACTGACCTCGTTGTGCAGCAGAACTCTTCAAGATCGTGGATGCTGAAATCATTCATACCAAAAGTTCTAAGAACCATCAGCACACAGGCAAGGCCACAATCCCAGTTACAGAGTTGTCTGACGTGCGGAACCTGCAACTTGCCCCAAGCACAGATACAAGAATCATATTACAACTTCACGGGAGCGGGAACGAATCTTTGAATAGCTAAACAAAATAAGATTACGAGATTTTCACTAACATCAACACAATGGGACCTAGAAGAAGAAACCGAATCATCGTAGCCCTCCCTTGAAAAAGGCTGCCTTAGGCCTTCCTCCTCGTTTCCGTACATCTTTGTCAAGAGCGAAGCGTCTCGCTGGCGGCTACCGGCATCGTCCCATCCCATCAATCCGTCCTCCATCTTCAGAAATTTGGCAGCGAAGATGGAAATTCCCCACATCGAGATCGATAGACTTACGGACTTTTCTCGCCCCCTCCCCCCTCCCCCGTCCCCACCCCTCCCTATTCTACGTTTTCGTTGAATACAGTCGAGAAGTTTCGAAGGCTACGAGTACATCTCATTCCTCTGCGAATTCAGACTCAATAGATAGGTGGCCGCAAGCTGAGGATTACTCCAGTCCCATCATCACCTTCGCCTGCTGTCGTCGTGGCGCCGCAGATTAAAAGTGCTACTCAAAAGTAAGCGTCGTTCTGCTCATTCCTGCATAACAAAGCGTCAGGTACGAAAATAAAATTTAGAGTAGAAACAACTTCCACTCGATCTTATCCAGTTGAATAAAGGACAGAGAAAATTAAACGAGAAAGAAACATATATCAACAGCTACGTTTATATAGCATTTCTCCGGATCAGCTTTGAGAGAAATTTTCGAGAATATCAATCAAGACTAACCTGTTGATAATATATTTAATAAGAAATATACCTTTACTCGTAATGTTCGCCTACATCTACATTTTTCCTGTTGAATAGGTTAAAAGATGGTAATTGTTTCCAGAAGATATATTTTGATGAATTGGGGAATCCTATCGGACGACGAATCGCCACGGACAGGATCTCACATCCAAAAATATTTTATGATATTCATCCCCAAGATCACGAATCAAAATTTGTTCAAAAACAAAGAGCGTCACTTCTGAAGGAAAAACAGAGGAACAGGAAGAACGGAAATTATTATTCGAGAGCTCATCAAATGACGGCATCCGACGGGCGCGACAAAAACGACGAGAGGTCCAAGAAGAAGCTCCCCTTATCTCTTCCAAAAGTCTATCTACCTGCCTTTCATCGGCCTTTCCACTCGGGAACGAAAAGAAGCGAGAGACCGAGGTAGAGAGAGAGAGAGCTAGAGAGAGGGGGAGGAGGCTGGGAGGAACCTACCGCTGTCGCCGAGGAGGAGGAGGCGAATGAAGAACAGAAGATCTTCCACGGTCGGTGACACGCCGAGGCGTTGGGATCGCTCCCGTTGTGACCAATTATTCAACCCCCTCAACTCCCCTCCCCTGTTCTCCACCATTGGCCTCGGCCCCGCTGCGGAACAGACCGATACACGAGTAGTCACGGAGTCAGCCGATGTGGAATGGCAGGAGCGAGCCTTGACTGCGAATATCCTGCCGCCATGGTCACTGGAGGTCGCCGTCAAAGGCCATGTGTAGGCCTCCGGTTGGCTGGAGACACGCGTTGTATTACATGTGTAGGCCATGTGCTAACGACCCCCCATATATTACGTGGTCAAAGCACTCCATCCGTTCCATTACGAAAATATAAAAAATATATCGTCGACCCTCTCCCGTGTCTGACGTCACCTCCCGTTGACAAGCTTGTTCCCATCTGTTTCCGTTTCAGGAAGACTGGTCCTCGCCGTCCGATGGGCATGGTGATGGGTGGATCGCCGGATGCCGTCGATTAGAAACAGACCCGCCATTGGTTTCCACGTGGCAGAGCAGGATCATAGTGCACGCTCTCAGCGACAGATGCAAACGCTGCCTCCCGAAGGATCCCCCATGAAAACCAGAGCCTAGAGAGAGAGAAGAGAAGAGAAGAGAGGACGGCGGGATGAGGAGGGCAGGAAGATCGATCGGGACGGCGCTGGACTGCTCCGAGAGCAGCGAGTTGGCGTGCTGCGGTGGGGCGATCGACCGGTTTTCCGACGGGGAAGAGACGCTTGTTGTGTCCTCCAGGTACCATCTCTGGTCGTCTGCGGGATCCCGTAGGGTTTTTGATTGTTCCCCTTCCGCTTCGTCCTCCGTCTCATTCGTGATCCGACTCGGACACTCCCTCTCTCCGATCTCTTCTTCTCTTAACGAATGAATCGATCCCGCCGGTGATTTGTTTGTCCTGTGCATTCGATCGTAGCTCTGATCCCTCCCGTGGAGTTCCCGGACGCGGAGCTGCTGAAACGCTGCGGTGCTCGAACACCGCCTCCCGGCAGGAGGTGAGCGACAGGTTCACCCATCTTCCTCCGATCTTCGCCCTTCCTCCTGCCGTATAGTCCCTTCCTCTTCCAGTGCGCGTTGACAAGCAGGTGAGTCTTCCTCTGTTCCTTCACCGACCGTATCGTACCCCTCCCCCCCCGCGGTCGGTCGTACTGTGTTGACGGTACGGGCAAGATCAGGACGATGTGATAGACCGACGACTTTTATGGATCAGGAGATGACAGAGACGACACAGCGCATTCGGCAAAAAGATTGTAAGAAACAGTAAAAAAAACGTGCTGGATCTTACATACAACAGCGTTTGCTGTCAGACAACAAGGGTGAATCAATTCGAATCCAGGACTCGGGCGAGGTTAACCTAGTTAATCCAAACCGAGTAGTATAATAAGCTTGCTTGCCCCGAGTGATGGGATGGACAGCAGCGGCCTCGGCCTTCTTCCAAACGGAGTGGGCCAGAGGATGAAAATATACGTACAAACTGGGCTATGGGTCAGGCCCATTAAGACTTGTTACTCGTCGGGATCTGGCCGGGCCCATTGGCTCTCCCCCGAGTAGAGGAGGTTCGGAATGCCGAAATTTTGGGGCCCGATGTGTGTGGGCCGGGAATGGCTGCCTTCTTCGGCCCACACCGGTTCGGTTACCATGAGTCGGGATCTCGAGGTGTCCCGGAGCCCATAATAAATGGATCCGGTGGCTTCACGGACACGCGAAGGGGGGGGGGGTGTGGGGGCGGGTGTGGTCCACGGCCCAGGCCCGTCCCATCAGCTCTTTAATGGCGGCGCACGAGATGGGCGGGGTTTTGGATAGGGGGTTCGAACCGGCCGACCCGACCCTCTCTCGCTCACGTGATGCTCACTCACTCACCCACCCCCTCGGATTTGAAATCCAGGGACGATGAGAGAGAGAGAGAGAGAGAGAGAGAGAGAGAGAGAGAGATTTGAATTCAGATGCACTGAGAGCCGTTGCTGCCGCGACGTCGGGTGGGAAAGCCCAAAGGGCAGTTGACTTATCCTAACGGTCAGTCTTTACATATATATTATATGTGAAGAGAGAGATTTGACCGTTACTATGATTCGGCTGTTCTGGTCGTCGCGACACCTGCCGCGATCACCAGATGGGAAAAGGAGGAGACAGAGAAACACCATCAGTATCTCTCTCTCTCTCTAGACATCGCCAGTGGTGGTGCTGGTTGGTTTTGCAGGGAAAGGTGGGGGATTTAATGGAGACCCTTCGTAGATGATGACGACATCGTAATTGCAGCTGGGATGGGAGGGAGGGGAAGGCGAGGGAGCAAAATTCGAAATAAAGGTGTGCGTGTACGTGGGTCTCCGAATTGAACTCTTTCCCTCCTCCGCCGACGACGACGACGGCGAGCCAACACTAGCCGTTGCGGCGGAGCAGAGGGGGACCTTTGGAGTTGGACTGGCCGGCGGCGAAGGCGGCGAAACCGGCGGCAAAGGGCATATTCTAATCAGTGATCTGCATTGAAGCAGCAGCCCTAGAAGAAGAGAGCCTTCCGAGCAAAGAATGTCATTCTCCTCCAGTCTGCTTGCTGCTCTGATTCTTGCGGGGCCCTTCCTCCACCTCACCTTCCCCCGCCGCCGCCCGCCTCCCTAGATTTAATGGGGGCGCTGCTTATCAGTAAGCCGTTGTCTCATTCGGCACAAAGCATTCGATAAAAGTAATTACTGTCGGTCTGGTGTAGTTTATTCTCTGATGATCAATCAGATCCCTCTCTCTCTCTATCTCTTTCTCTCTCTACTGTGTGCGCCCCGACGCAGGCGGAGGCTGAGCATCTGGTTCTCCTCGTTCAAATCGATCGAGCAATAAAAAGAAAAAGGCTGAGGGAGGAGCGAGGCGCCGGAAAATGGCCTAGAAAGAGATGGGTATTACGAGGATGCCATCACCCCCACCGCGGAGTGCCCGACGCCGAGTTCCGATCGCCGGTGGGTTAACTCGCCGCCGTCATCTTCATCGACGGCTCCGACAGCGGGAGTTTGGGATTCGAAATTTGAACTCTTGAAAGGGTAATGAATGATTTCGACTGCCGGAATATCCCCGGGATTCCAGAAGCTGGAGCTGAGCTGAGCTGGGGTATTGCGGCGTCATGAAGAATGACCGCCATTTGAACTCTCGATGGCCTCTGCTGGTAGATATGATAAAAAGCTAGGTCTTTTAGCCCACGTTCCCCCACCCCCCCATCTGCCCTGGCCTCCTGCTTATCCCGCCTCACTTACAGGCCACTGCAGGGAGACCAGGAGAGAGGCAGTTACCGTTGGGCCTGGTTCTTATTTAAAGATTTTTAAGTAGAGCGAGAGAGAGAGAGAGAGAGGAGAGAGAGGAGAGAGAGGTCGAGAAGAGAAGAAGAGAAGGGAAGAGGGGAGCGTCTCCATCTTCTTTCTGCATTCCATCTGCGGCAAACCCGGCGAGGCGGAGGAAGAGGTCATGCGATAGAGCGGGGTTTCGTAACCATGGCCGGCTCCAACCCCATTGCCCGTATAAAAAACACAGGGGAACGAGCACAGCAGACAGATCCCAGCCTCTCTCTCGACCACCGTCCGGAAATGCAACCCTTCTTATGGACGCGGATGGATGCCTCCTCCGCCTTCCAGCAGCCCTAGCCGCAGCAGCAGCAGCAGCAGCAGGGGAGGAGGACGTTGGCCGGAGCTGTGTTCCACGCAGCAGGAGCTCCAGGGGGAGCAGAGCCACCAGCTCCCTCCCTTTTCTGAGTTCCTGCATTCCCCTGCCTTCCAGGACTTGCTTCCCCCATGAGATCTTCCTGAGGAAGTTGTCTCACAGGGGGGTTTGGGAAAGGAGCCCTGTTCTGTGGGGCTGCTCTGTTTTCGGCGGAGAGGGAGGGAAGGACTCAGAAATGGGGGTTCCGGAGGAGGAAGAAGGGGGGGGAATGAAGAGGGACGACTGTGCGTCGACAGATCCCAATGGCGGAGAATCGGCCGAGTCATTCACCGATTCTGTGGAGAACCGGCGGGAGAGCAGCTCCGGTTCCTCCGACGCGACGTCATCCGGTGACAGCCGCCGGTGCTCCGACGGCGCGCTGCCGCCGAGCTGGCCGTGTCGGAACCGCCCCGTTCCGCATGCGCCGGGGGAAGAAGAAAAGGGTTCATGGAACTGCGAGGAAATGGCGAAGCTGAAGCAGAACTCTATGATTTCAGGTATCCCAGCTCCCCCCTCTCTCTCTCTCTCTCTCTCTCTCTCTCTGAGCCCTAAGAATGAGATTGTCTCATCTGAGAACCATCTTGCGCAACTCCGTCGAGAGTTTTTTTTTTTCCCTCTGAAATCTTCTGTTTTCGTGAGTAGAAATCGAGATGATGAAGGAGAGATTCTCGAAGCTGCTGCTCGGAGAGGACATGTCAGGATGCGGGAAGGGCGTCTGCACGGCATTGTCGATCTCAAACGCCATCACCAACCTCTGCGGTATTGTTTCTTTGACCTGGGTAGGTTTCGAGGTTGAAGACGGCGTCCTGTTCGCTAATTCGATTGTTTCTTCCGCCATGGTTCTTGGATGGACGCCTCACCAGGCACCGTCTTTGGGCAAATCTGGAGGTTGGAGCCACTGCCCCCCGAGAAGAAGGCCCTGTGGAGGCGAGAGATGGAATGGCTTCTCTGTGTCAGCGATCACATCGTCGAATTCACGCCCTCTGTGCAGACATTTCCAGACGGAAGCAAGCTTGAGGTCCGCAGGGTTCCCGCTGTCTGTCTGTCTGTCTGTCTGTCTCTCCCCCTCTCTCTATCAATCTCTAGCAACCTCTGTTTCCAGAGCTGAAATCGTATGCGTTTCAGGTGATGAGTTGCAGACAACGCTCCGATCTGTTCATCAATCTCCCGGCCCTTCGCAAATTGGACAACATGCTCCTCGTGAGACCTCTTTCTCCCGCTGCTTCTTCTTCTTCTTCGAAAGTGGGGGTTCCAGTGGTTGACTCGCTGCGCGCTGCAGGAGATTCTCGATAACTTCAGCAAGACGGAGTTCTGGTACGTTGATCAGGGGATTCTGGCATCGGAGTCGGACGGCGGCTCAAGCTCCTTCCGGAGGCCCCTCCAGCGCCAGGAGGAGAAGTGGTGGTTGCCGGTGCCCCGCGTCCCCACCGGCGGCCTCCAGGAGGGCGCGAGGAAGCAGCTCCAGTACAAGCGCGAGTGCACGAATCAGATCCTCAAGGCGGCCATGGCCATCAACAGCAACTCCCTAGCCGAGATGGAGGTCCCTGAAGCCTACTTGGACTCGCTCCCAAAGGTGTGGTGCGGCCTCGCGTCACCTTCTGACCGAATAGATTCGCGACGCTTTCGGAAAGTTTTCTTTTTCCTTTCTTATGCGCTGACTTGCGTGCCGGCGGGATCTGGGTCTCTCTCAGAACGGTAAGGCGGCGCTCGGGGACCTGATCTACCGCTACATCACCTCGGACCAGTTCTCACCAGAATGCCTCCTGGACTACCTCGACCTGTCCTCCGAGCACCGGGCTCTGGAGATCGCCAACCGGGTGGAGGCCTCGATCTTCGTCTGGCGGCGGAGGGTCAACCCTAGGGCGGTCAACCCGCCGCCACGGCCGAACACCAGATGGGGGATGGTCAGGGACCTCATGGGGGACGCCGAGCGGAGGGAGCTGCTGGCCGACAGGGCCGAGAGCCTCCTCATTTGCCTGAAGCAGAGGTTCCCTTGCCTCACCCAGACGACCTTGGACATGACCAAGATCCAGTGCAACAAGGTTCTGGCTTTCTCCGACGACTCTCCGTCTCTCCCTCTCTCTCCTCAATAAAAATACAAAGGAATCAGATTCTTCATCAGCCCACACTCATCTCGTCTTCCTCCTTTCTTCTTCTCCAGGACGTCGGGAAATCCATTCTGGAGGGTTACTCTAGGGTTCTGGAGAGCCTGGCCTTCAACGTCATCGCCCGCATCGACGACCTCTTGTACGTAGACGACCAGACGAAGCATTCCGACAAGTTCTCGCCGACGATCTCCAACGTCAGCGTGATCGCCCACAAGCGAGTCTTGATCTCCCCCTACTCAGTGCCCATCTCAAGCACTCCTTACGCCACCCCGAGCTTCTCGCCGGCGCCGGCGGCCAGCCCGGCGAGGGGTGCCGGCGGCAGGACCCCCTTCCTCGCCAGGAAGCCCCCCCCTCACCACAGTCGCGGGTTCGGTGTGAAGAAGGCGTTGACTGAATACCTCGGCGTGGACGCCGTCAAGGGGAAGAACTGTAATAAAAATGGAGCAAGCTCGCCGCCGATCAGGGACCCCGGATCGCCATCGGCAGGAAACCTGGAAGGCCGACTGACCACTACTAGAGAGCTTTTTCCCAAGAATTAACTATATAACAAACTACATCTCGGATAGGTGTTCTTGTCTGCGCTTGCTTGCTTGCTTACTTTACTTGAGATGTTTTCGAATCAATCTGCATTGGCTTTCTACGTGGATCCCATCCACCATTAAATAAATCGAAGCGTACGTTCCGACACTGATCGCTAAAAACTGTGACATCATCCTTGAAGCGTAACCGGGTTGATTGATTCTCGACAGAATTCACCCGAACTGACGCCATCTCCTCCGTCCGGGTCGATCTCATAACACTTAGATCTGGAAGAACGGAGGAACCCACGAGCCCACTGGATCATCATCGATTGCTCGGTATATGCATCAATACAGAAATATATATATTACACACAGATATCCGATTCCTCGGATTCAGCGGAAGTTAGGGGCACAGACACTCAGATACAGAGTTATTTTTGCCTTCCTTGCGCCGCTACTGTTACTCGGGAGGGGCAGGAAGCCTTGCACAAATAGCCTAAATATTATGGACCAAGAAGCTGAGAAAGCGCCCGTCGTCTTCCTTCGATCTTCGTCAGTCTGGCTCGACGGCCGCCAAACAGCACGCTGCTCATCGCCGACCGACGCCACGCTCTGAATTATGGCCGTCAGGAGCGCTGAGGAAGAATTATTTCCCGGCGGGGTAAGAACAGATCCGAGAATGCATTTGACGGAACCCTCTCCGTGCCGGTCCTCCTCTTTTGCGGAAAAGACCGACTATAAATGGGTAGAATGGGAAAGAATTTGGAGTACCTTCTCCTCGCAAACAAGAGCAGTTCGTCCCCTAATAATACAGCGAACCTGAGGAAACGCAGATGGCCTTCTTATCATTCTCGATCCACCCGAAGCTAATTAATGGCTATGAAGAAACGATTACACTCGGGATCTCTCTCGTACCTTGCCACCAGTTCCCTCTGGAGGCGGCGTTTGGGTTGTTCGAGTCGTCTTCCCCGTCCTTTTTGTGCTGATAATGAAGAAATTATGCGGCATTAAGCTCGAGAAAATACTCGAGAATCCCGAAACCGAACCACCTTTTATGAGACACATACGAGATTCACGGAATGGATCGGGATTAGGTCAAAGAAGACACCCAAGAACCCTTTAGATTGCCCGCTCGGTCGTTCACACCAGGAAGCTAAGGATTCCTAGAATGAATGAGATATCCAGAGGAGAAGACAGGTTACCCACATTATATCCGGGGCTGTGGGAAGTCGGGGCGTTGGTGCAAATATCTTGCCCGCCGTAGTAGAGGGATGAGCTGAAGGAGCATGGGTCGATCTTCTCGTGCTGGTAGGCTGGGCTCTTCTCTTTGTTTCCGCTTCCATGGAAGGCGCCATCTGCGAAAGAGAGGGACGAACGCTGAGGTTGATTCAACTGTTTCATCGAGGTTAGAGAGTCAGAGGAAACATGTTTTTTTTTCCTTTTTTTGGGTCGCCATGATAAAGAAGCTGCTCGCTTACAAGATCCATGAATCGACTTCAGAAACAGGCACAGAAAAATTCAGCCGGCGACTGCTGATCCCAAGAGCAGCTCACTGTCTGAGTGATGGGCGAAGAAAAATGGAGGAGATCGGGGTGGGAGCTTATGCATGCATGGCGATCCTCTCATGGGGGGGAATGAGGGAAGAAGGAGGGTCTCCACGAACCTGCGGGGACGTTCTGCCCATTCCAGGTCTGGCCCTGAGCTCCCTGCTTCCACGAGTCCCGTCCCATCACCTGAAACATCACAGAGCACGGAGGAGGCGACGATGAGAGGAGGGCAGAATGAGGAGGCCTGCTTGTTTCCTGCTCAATCGATTCACATATTGCGCCTCATGGACGGGTGTGAAATGGGGAGAAGAAGCGTGCGGAGGAAATAAAATTTGAGGTCCCGAAGGAATCGGGGACCTTTGTCGACCACCAAGGACAGAAACCCGCGACGAGAACACAACCGGGAACATCGGAGACCCCACGCGAAGGTGGCGGCGGCGGCGGCGGCGGCGATGCATCCATGTCGGCATGTGGGGAGGCGGCGGAAGGGCCGGGGAAGGCATGCATGGCGTACCGTGGAGGCCGGGGGAAACACGGAGTGGAAGAAGCTCGAGGAAGAGGGATTCGGTGCATTCTTCCCCCCGAAAAGGTCGGCGACGAGCGAGGAAGTAGAGGCCGGAGGGGAAGAGGAAGGCGCCTGCTGCTTCTTGCCCTCCATTACTCAGCGACGATCTTTGATCTTCCGACAGGAACGAGACGGCTACGGCGAGGAGGAGAGGCGGGAGGAGGGAGGGAGATGGAGGAGCGAAGAGCTAGATAAGCGGAGGGGGTGAGGAGAGACCGGACAAAGGTGGGCAGGTGCGTGGGAGGGAGGGAGGAACACGTGAACGAAGGGGGAACGGGGTTGGAGATTTATAACCGAGACAGCCGGCCTCCTACTACGTCCTCGAAACCCCCTCATCCCCACCCCAACCTGGCTGCGGCGACTTCAAGCCACGCTCTTGCCACCTCCACCCTCTCGCTCTCTCTCTCTCTCTCTCTCTCTCTCTGCGCGCGAGGTCTTGGGCAGGTGCTGCTTTTCGTAATACCAAGCATAGAATCCCGAATAATCCTCTCTCTCTCTCTTTCTCAATCCTCGCAGTCATAATTGTCACACCCCAGGATTGGGAATTTATCCATGGGCTTTCTTCTGAAGATACGGACGAGGGTGACCCGATCTCTCCCCCTCTCTCTCTCTCTCTCTCTCTCTATCTTTCTCTCTAGGGGACTTACTGTCGCCGTTGCAGTTCCTGGGGCTTCTGATTTCCCCGGGCCTCCTGTTCCGTTTTCAACTTCGCCTCTATTTCCCTTTCTCGAAAAGATTTCCTGGGTTATCCGGCGTAGATGGATAAGGGCGCGTGGGGTCCGCATCGTAACTCTTTCCACACGTGTCCGATCGTCAGAGAAACAGCGGCAGCTCTCTTCCTCTCTCTCTGACGTCAGTATCCTCCATTCCAAACATAACCGTCAGAGAGAGAGACAGAGGCTCTTGGTGTGTGGAGAAAACCCGGAAGCTAGAGGGTGGCGAAGAGAAGTTTTGAAAAGACGGACGTCCCAGCTGACCGGAGACGAGAATAGCTCAGCGCCGGAGCTCCGCCAGTTGACGGGAATGTCGTCGCTTGTGGGTCTTCTCCTCCGCGACGTCCGGCGGCTAGATGCCGCCTTCCTTTCCGGTCCACGTCCACAGGAGTAAGATCACGCGTTTGGCTAGTTCGTTTACTGTTTCTAGAGAGAGACTGAAAAAGAGAGAGGGCTCGACAAGGATCCTCTGACTCCCGTGTCGGGATGATGTTGCGTGCGCGCGCGAGAGAGAGAGAGAGAGAGAGAGAGATTAGCAGGTCGGTTCAGAAGAACCGAAGAAACCGCCATGGCATGCGGCGGTACGGCGCTGGGTCGCCGGGTGTCACTGCCACAGGTCAGCACGTGGCCGGCGGAAGTCGTGCCGCGTATACCTTCTTCTTCTCCCACGACGACGACGATAGAGATGGCTGCCGTTTCTCCCCCCCACCGCCCAACCCAGGATAGGCCACCACGCGGTGCCGCCGCGCATATGACGAAGAAAAGCATTTGGAGCCTCCCTGCGGGTCGTTTCTCAGATGGAACACCTCATCGCCGACGGCTGACATCACGGGCGCAATCCCGCCGCCAAAACCGTGACTAATCCACAATCAAAGACGGCCTTTGCCGACCCGATTACTGCCGCGGCATCGCCCTCCTTGGCATAGGCAACAGGGCTCGACAGCGACGAGGCAGGCGATGAGGAAGGAAGGGTGACGGCTTTCCATCTCAGACAGCACCATCGCCGGCACCGACGGGGCCTCTGAGGAGATCGCCGGGAAGCCCTCCCACCCGTCGAATTCTTGCGGGAGGGCCCCCCGGCAGGGCCGGCGGAGGCGGGCCCACCCTCGCACCAGTGGGGGTGAGTGAGCATCTTTGACTTGGAAGAAGCAACTTGGAGCATCGCCGAGTGACAAGGGCATCTCGCCACTTATGTGGAAGTGTCAGCGGATAAGTCCTGGTGGCAGTTGGGCCGCCCCCTTCCCCCTCCCTCTCAGGTGGGTCTACCTCGTAAGCTCGGGGAGGGGTGGTGCCCACCTCCCCGTCGCCGGTGACCCGAGGAAAGAGTGTTTTTTATTTCTTTTCCGGTCTCCCCCATTGGATTCTCCGGGTGGCGCCCATCAAATTGTTCCTGGGGGACGCTCGGCTTCTCGGGCAAGACCGCTGTGCCCATCAAACCGAATGACCGGGGTTTCTCCCTCTAGAAACAGTGAATATTCCTGGATATTTGTCCACCTGGATGTCACCACCTCCTCACTACTCCCCTCAGAGAGAGAGAGAGAGAGAGAGAGCAGGACCTCCGCTGGTGAGAGAAAACTTAACGCTTAAGAGACCCACATTTCTTAGAATTCCCATCCGGAACGATGTGATCCCGAATCCGTGCAAGCTCCTCGTCAGAAAAGATCGGGACGAGCTCCGCCGGCTCTCAAAAAGATGGGATTTTCTTTTGAGAGTGCCCCCCTTCCATCTCCGCCCTTCTAAGGTCAACGCCCCCCCCCCTCCCCCCCGGTAGTCGTGAGCCTCTCATAACCTGTTGACGTCACGACGTTCGTAGATTGTCGCCTCCCCTACCCCAGCAGGTCGGTATCCATGGTAGGGAAAGCCACGTGAGGAAGATCCTCACTCCTGGCCTCTCTTTCCGCCACCTGGGCCCGGGGCCCATTTGGCCCCATCACGCTTTCCTCTCTCCCCACCACCGCCACCACCGCCACAGGTTCCCCAGTGGGCCACGAGGCCCATTGGGCCCCTTGCCCAACATCACGGCCCTACCGGCCCCCGTCGCACCAATCGTGCTCCCTCTCAGGTATCCCCCTCCGGATTAGGGCATCTCGCTCTAGCTCCTCGATCCCCCCGCTTTCCACGTCAGCCGACGGCTGCGAGGATGCGATACCCGCCGTCCACGTGGGCCCTTCCCCGCCCCATGACGCTCCCCCACAAAAAATCTTATCTGGAAGATTCGTTGCAGGAGGTCAGCGAGCATTGGAAGGCTGACCGGTGATGGTCAAATTGGACTGAGCCGACGGGTGGTCAACGACCGGTGTTATGGATTTGCGCTAGGCGGGGGGAGATCTTTTGGTCGGCCCCACGGGAGCCGCCATGTCCGGGCCCCACACCATGTCGGAACCTTGGCATGTGGGAGCCGTCCTATCCAGTCCAGTCAGCTTTGATTCCCCTCGCCGACGTGGTAGACAGTGCGAAGTCTTCTCCTCTTGGGGTGGGGATGATTATTCGGAACTCCCTCGACATGTTTGTTTTGACGAGTTTAGACATTCTTCCCTGCGACTAGCAACGGATACCCGTCGCTCACTTGCTAAGTGGGTCGAGGAGCCTGGCCTGTTGTGGTTGTTCGGGCCTCGTGGCCCAGTTGACACAGGCGAGATGCCTCGGCCCATGTCCCATGTCGAATTTTTCACGGTGTGGAAGCTCGCCCGTGGCTGCTGCCTACGCAACTGTTCACCACAAGGGCACGTTAGAGAGAGAGTGCAGGACACGGCGACTGGCGGGTGGGTGAAACGGTCCTGACAGGAGGGAGAACAGAAGATCACATCACAACATCTTCTAGACGAACCGAAAGAGAGATAGATAGAGGGACCGCTTTGCACGTTTTCTACGTCGCTCTTTCTCTCTCTTTATAAGGGAGAGAGAAGCAATGAGATCCTGGCTATGAGGGAGCAGAGAGCAGCGGTCGAACCGAGAGAGACTCATTGGACTGAAGGGGGGGAGGGGGAGGCCGATCCTTTCCATCCTGTTTTGATATCCGCCTGCGTCCTCAAACCCAGAAGACGCTTCACCAAGCAGATACCCAGATGAACCGTCGTCAACTCTCCCTTCTCTTCCTTCTTCTCCTTGTCTCCGCCCATAACAGCATCTCCGGAGGCGCGGCTGCGCGGCCGCTCAGCTTCCCCGATCAAGGAAGTGCTCTCTCTCTCTCTCTCTCTCGCTAACAGCAGGGATTCTACCGGATGATGGTGATGACGACGACGATGATGATCGAGACTGGTTATCTTGTTCCTCGGACCTCCGTAACGATTGGGGTGCTTTATGGCGGCAGGGTACGCGAAGGCGTTCTCGTCGCTCGGAATGAGGTGCGAGTGCTGCGACGCCGGCGGCGGGCAGTGCAGGAGCGAGTGGGACTCGCCCTGCCTGAAGCTCGAGTGCCGTCCCTGGAAGTTCCCTTGAGTCCTGTCCGTTCCCTCTCTTCGCTCTCTGGCTTTGCTTTTGATGATCCAGTCCCCATCAATATGCAGAGAGAGAGGGAGAGAATTATTTTCAAACTTATAAATCCAAGAACTCAAAAGCATCATCAATCGAGCATCGCAGAGTTGTACGTATCGTCCAACTCAAGGTAACTGCCCCGGGAGAAGAGTAAGATGGTGCGATTCAACCACGAGATTGACCGATGAGGGTCTCTTAATCCTTCTACATTTTTGCCACACGGAGTAATACAAATCTAATAATAACCCGGGGAATTCGATATCACACCGAAGAGGTGAGATGTCTAACACGAGATTAATTGACAGTGGGAGCAGCCGATAAGCATATCCTTTCAAGTCTAAAATTATTCTCCCCATTAGTGCAGGACTAGTCTAACAGTGCAGCACAACCCCTCTGACAAGTAAGAGAATTGCCAGTCCATACGCAAGAATACACAGTACAAAGCACACAGAGAAGAGAGAGAGAGAGAGAGAGAGATTTCAGAGGGGCGCTGGGGAGGGTTGGGGGGGGTAAGTGAAGCATTTGCAATGCCGTCAGGTGTGAAGGTAGTTGGCCGCCATCATCAGCTCCAGGGTTATCTCGGGTTCGATGTGGAATTCGGACTCCTTCCCGCTGCAAGCAGATATGTTACTGAAATCAGACGAGTTTTTAGGAAGAAGATCATCGCATGCGAGGTTCCATAGCGGGGTGAGGCTGATATCTATGGTAAATCTCTGGGAGAGATTCTGACTTTTTTTTTTCTTTTTTTTCTGGTGTTATTTCACATCACTGGGGGATCATACTTCCCCAGCTGGACTTGCATTTAATGGGAACCGCAGCATCATATCACAATACATTGTAGAAAACTGACGAATGAATAGATTCACAGGTTTGAGGAACTGGATTTCAAGTTCGAGACGAAATCAATCCAAAGAAAAATGGAGCTACTAAGTTTCATGCTGCAATTAGTTAACTAAAAGATGGTGTTTTCTGGATCGCATCTCTGGGCCTTCCAGTTGCTGGTGTTCATTCCCCTTAGTTTTTTTTTCCCAACGGGAAGAGTGGGGGGTGTTCAAGTGTCTGGAGTCACAATACATTTGATTTAAGGGACTATGGGGCTACGGTTCTTAGCTTCTGAGGTTTGTTCATGGGCAGGGCACCTGAACAAAATGGTTGCGCAACGCTTATTCTGTGCAATACATTAGTATCACAAATTTACTGGGAGAAATATACTGATGTTTAACATGCTAAGAAATAATCATACTTTTTCTGTGTTTGGGGCTCCTCCATTTATCCCCAAACGAACACTCTATTCCCTCAGGCATCTCATTTCTTCTTCCAACTTCTTCTGGGATCTCATAGTAGGTATACCCTTTGTTGATTAAAATTATGGTTAAGGCTAGTCCTAGACAGAATCTCAATCAAGCAGCTGGATTAATCTATGTGGTATGCTAGCGAGAGAGAGAGAGAGAGAGAGAGAGAGGTCTTTATCAGAGCCTTATAAGTCCATCAGAAAAAAAAATACCCCAACAAAACTTATCGTATTCACCTCTAGATTTTCATGTCTGATGATAAACCCAATTAGTCCGCAGAATAATTATTTCTAACACGCTTCATTCGCACGTTAAAGCTTTAAACAGAGAAAACGGGATCTTAGGTGATTATAAATCTTCAAATGACAGACAAGACGCATGACAATAATACGGTTGGCAGACAATAATCATCTTCAATTTCAAAAGTAAAATAAATGCCTTCCGAGCAACGATGTTCCTATGACCAAACATACAATACCATGTAAGGCAGCCAATTTTTCCATCTCGTCCATAGATATGTACCTTCTTCACACACGCTAAGCAGAGCCTAATAATAAATTTACTTAATACGACCATAATAATTAAATTCACAAGTAAAAAAACGAATGAAGATCTTAAATTCATAGTAAGGCCTTATTATAAAGGATATTATGATTACAGTGTACAATCCTTCTGTTGGATTTTGTTATAACTACATATATCGTGGAAAGGAACATACTTTTGAGACTCAGTTGCCTCAAGGGTTCAGGTAAACATGGGATTTCTTCTCAATTTTTATAGTGTCCCATAAGTAAACTGTACTTTATTTTCTGGGAAGTAATAAAATAGTTAAAGAAGATAACAAACGTTTCCAGTTTGCAAAGCATTGTCTTATTTTAATAAAAACTCTGAATTCCAGGAAAATTACACAAGAAATCATCATAGGTTAAAATCTTTCCATTCCTCTAATCTTGGGTAAAAGAAAGAACGGAACTCCAAAAAAAGGTGGATGAATTATCGTCCCAATCCAAAATAGTGTAGCAAAGGAATAAGGGAACATAAATCTCCAGTTCCAAGAGAATGCTCAAATGTTTGTAAAAGATCACGAAAAATTGATCAAATATGTATATTTTTATCTTCCACCGCATTAAAAATATCTTTTCATTGGAATCCAATTATTGGACAGAGAAGAATAGAAAGCAGAGCAGAAGCAATTGTAGACTGGAGATATTTACGTGTTTAACAACAGAGACATCTTGCATTAGAGATGAATCATAAATAATTCAGATTTAGCAATCGCTAAATTGAATATATTACATCTGATCCCCATAAGTCTCATAAGAGGGTGAATGACATGGTGCAAAAGGGCAATGCATCTCACAAGTTCAATTTTGGCCTAAGATGGACTATTCCCCATGATGCTGAAAATAAGCTTTCAAGCTTGATGAATTTTTCTTTTTAGATCCAAGGAGAAAGTAAATCAAACTTTGAAATGTGACAAACAGACATAGAGACAGCTTAGTGGCTGTCTGTACATGCCACATGAACGCACGAAGAATGACTTCATATTAATACATAATTGTCTACATCACGTCATAGATCAATCAGCCAATATTTGCTGAGCGATATATGCCATTAGGTTCTGTGGCAGGGAATAAGACCACCTTTCAAAATGGGCATACACTATTCCCTGAATGATTTAAATATAGGAAACTCAATAGATTAAGGACATTTAAGATCCATGTTGCGTCACAAAAATGTGACTTCCGTCGTAAAAGTTGGTCCCACTAGTCGCCGCATCATCGATTAAGATTTTCAAGTCGCTTTGGTTTCGCATGAGTTGAAAGACACTGCGTAATTTGCAGCTAAAAACTGAAGATTAAATTCCTTTGATACAATATATAAAAGATTAACGAATGGAAAACCTCTCAGATGTTTCCCACGCAAAAAAAAAGAAGCACCATACTTTATCCCAGGAATTTTTTCCAGAAAATAAATATTCTGGAGAAACAGACGAAATAGAAAGATAGACATAGATTCTCTCGGGAAGAGTAAATACAAATGAACATAAATGTCTGGGGTCGGAGCCGTTGACATATCGGAGAAAGAATGCAGGGGAATAGCGCACCTCGCAAATTGCAAGTGCCAGTAGAAGTACTGGCAGATCTTCTCAAGGATCGGCGTACTGATTTCCGGGAACGTCACCTCCCCGAGCCGCGTCTCCGAGAAGTTACCTGCCATTACGGGGTACAACTCCACGAATCGGCAACAGGAGATGTGGAAACTACTGAAACTGGCGAAGAATCCTTCACCTTCGATTTCCCCCATGTTCAATCTAATGCACATGAGAACACAGGGGGAAATTCACCAGGAGGGAGGGAATGGCGTGCAGAGCCACGACGCACCTGGGGAGGTGAACATGTTGCGGATGGTCTGCGAGACCATAGCGGCCTTCTTGTCGATCACGAATTCGAAGCCCTCGGCGCTGATCAGCTTCACTGTGTCCTCCTCCATCTCCCGCGCAGTCTCCGACCGCCACAGAGGCGTGGAAGAGAGAAGCAGAGAGGAGGATGGGAACCAGATCCTCCGACTCCGCCTCTACCCGTATACATATTGCCCAAGCAAAGCCCAAAAGGCCCATGGCTCTGGAACCATCATCTCCGAAGAACCGAAAGCTAGTGTTAATGGGCCGACGGGCAAGTGGAGAAGAGTGCTGGGCTGGGGTGATGGGCTAATCAGATGGCCCGGGAGGCTCATCAAGTCGAATATTCGAGAGAGACTAGAATATTCGACGGCCAGTAACCGCCGTGAGCATATTCTCCCGGCTAATATGCCTTCTCCGACGACGGGGAGAGAGAGAGAGAGAGCGGGGCATTGGGAGCTTATTGGCTTTCTGAGACGTTTGCGTTCCGGTGTGCCGACGGAACATTTCAGGAGGGGCCAGGTGTCTGTTAGAGATTCACTAAATTAATGTGGACGAACGGTGAGTGGGAAATTTAAAATTAAGTGGAGGGGCGAAGCGGAATAAAATCTAATACCCACCGCTCTGCGGAAATCAGCGAAACAGCCGGTTTTGAAGTCTCTCTCTCTCTCTCTCTAGATAGCATTTCGTTTCTGGAGAAGGTTGACGAGGGGAGAGAGAGAGAGAGACTTGGGTCCTCCTCGCCTGGTTTCCGTGAGGTGTTGGGGCAGCTGATTTCATGCGAGGGGGAGGTAGGACTCGGAATCTGGTCTAGGGTTTCCCGGGGGATTCTGGATAGGCGGATTTGAATGGATGCCCGGGTTGGGGCGCTCAACGCCGGGCATGGGGGAGGGGCGGCAGCCGTTGACGGCGGGCCATCGAGGATCACGCAGCAGCAGGAGCATGAGCAGCAGCAGCAGGCCTTGCAGCAGCAGCCGCAGATCGGAACATGGCAGCATCTCCTGTCGGGCGGGGTCGCCGGGGCAGTCAGCAAGACCTGCACGGCGCCGCTGGCGCGCCTTACCATACTTTTCCAGGTGGGCTACTTAATTCCCCGAACGGGGGTAGAAGTAAGGCGTCGACTTCCATTTTCCTTGGTTTAATCATTCCTTGAAAACGTGGCAAGAGATTTCGCTGCGGCTAAATTTGTCGCTGATGGAAGGACGATAAGTTTCCGTCCTCTGAACATTATTTGCCATGAATCAGCATTGTCATCCTTCAGATGTTCGCTAGCTAGAGGAGGAGCTACTTTTCGACTCTGTAGGAAACAGGATTTTTTACTCCTTTTTCTCCTTTGGTGTGTTTTGAGGTTTATCTAGTTTCGATACCCAACGGAGGAATCCAGATCTTCTTAACTCTATTCAATTATCCTCTTTATAAGATGCATAATATCTCGTCTCTTCTGCAGGTGCAAGGTATGCATTCCGATGTTGCGACGTTAAGCAGGCCTAGCATGTGGCGCGAGGCTTCCCGTATAGTTTGTGAGGAAGGATTCAGGGCATTCTGGAAAGGGAACCTCGTCACAATTGCTCATCGTCTTCCGTATTCTTCCATAAGCTTCTATGCTTACGAACGCTACAAGATTGTGAGTTCAATGAACCCTCAGTGATGACTCTTTGTAAAGTTATCACTTGATTTTGGTCTTTCTCGGGTCGCCCCATTGTTTATCCCATTTGTTTTTTCATTTTTGCAGTTGCTGCAATCAGTTCCTGGGCTGGATAGGCATAATGACTTTGTGGCAGCAGATATATGTCTTCGATTATTAGGGGGCGGTTTGGCTGGAATAACGGCTGCATCAGTGACGTACCCATTAGATCTTGTGAGGACACGGCTTGCAGCTCAGGTAACCTAACTTCATTGAGAGGTGGAAGCGAAAATTTTGGTTGGTTGAGTCGACTGTAGCACTTGGGAAACTGACAATGTGGCTCTCTCCTTAATGTCATAATTAGAATCTTGATGAAAATATATAGCTACATATATTCTTTCATGCTTTTTTTGGGGGGGCGAGGTGGGGGTCTTGAGTGGTTCAATCTGGCAGGGCAAGTTATCCGAAATGGATCAAGAAGGAAATACGATTAGGCTGATCCTGGATCGGGATTAGTATCACTTAGAATTGCTCGAAAATTATAGGGGTTCCTAGGGTTTTCTGAACTTATTTTGAAAACAATTCGAAGGATTGAGATACTCATCGAAAATTATAGGGGTTCCTAGGCCATTTCTTGGAGCAGCAGAAAAAGATTACTTATTATGGACTGGTGGGAAATCTCTGAATCTATTACATGTTTCAGAAGGTTTTGGTTTGTTCCTCTTCATGATATCTGGAGGTAGTCTGACATTTAGTTCGTGATATTTACGTGTTTTCATCACTGCGCTTATGTATAGTTGCCTATAGAAAATGCAGAATGCAGCCTAGCCATGGGAGCCTGCCCAAGCACCTGGGTGGACTTGCCAAGGCATCTGTACATAGGCGGATCCCATACCAGTCAATGTAACAATGGGTGTGCTCCTAACTTCAAGGTGGGTGAGGCCTTGATAAGTTGGGACTAGTTCACGTAAATTTTATAATTTCTTTCCGTTTCCTTGGAACAACAATGTTTTCAATAATATTGAATATTTTATGTCTTCTTCCTTTTGTTAATGGTGTATTCACCCCTTACTCATCTGGCTGGATAGAAATGTCATACGGTCTTTTTGGCTTTTAGATTGGTCTTCATGAAGTATATTGGTTTTGAATCATTGCTTTTTGTGAACTCTTAACCATGACACTACCTAGGATTATATAAACTGTGTAATGTTGGGGAATGGCTATTTATCGTAAAATCTGCTGCCAAGATAGAGAACAGCATATGTAGGATCCGCTGAGAGCGCACCGTTAGAGGGTTGGAGTCTGAGATGAGGCATCATTGGGGGCGTTATTTGGAAAACCCCTCATCTCTATCCTACCCTAAAGTTGATAGAGACTTTGTTCATGCTCATTGAGTTTCATGCAATGCTGAAGTTGAACTTTTCTATAGATCTTAAGATGAATCTAAAAATAATCAGTTATCTTATGGTCAATAAAGTGAAGAAAATGTAATCTTCAGGAAATTTGACTGTCCGTCAGCTTGTTGTTAATTTCCATTGGTCCTTGAGAGGGTTAAATATCTGCTGCATAAGTTAAAATAATTTCATCGTAACGAGTCAGCTACTTCAGAATCGTGGATTGCATACAGTGACAATATTGCTTCTCATAATTTATTGTTTTACATTCGATTATTAGGGTACTTTTTCTCTCCCTCAGCATGTTATTGACCTTTTTTCATTTAATCTTTCAGACTAATGTTATCTACTACAGAGACATTTCTCATGCGCTCTATACCATTTGTAGAGATGAAGGAGTCAAAGGTCTGTATAAAGGCCTGGGATCAACATTGCTGGTACCCTCGTAGACTCTCAATCCGCAATCCCATCAAATGTGCTTATATTTTATCTCTTTGAGGCCTGATATGCGATCCCCAACGTGCAGGGTGTTGGGCCCAACATAGCCATCAGCTTCTCTGTTTACGAGAAGCTCAGATCCCATTGGCAACTGCGAAGGTGATTTCTCAGAGAATGACTGAAACTTAGATTACGAAAAACCCCTCAGGAAATTAAGCTATTCAGTCCCGAGATCCCCGGTGCCTCTGCCCCTCCCAGGAAAAATGGCTGCAGATAATATTATTTTTCTTGCAGGCCTGAAGATAATACTGCTCTTGTCGGGTTGGGTTGCGGGAGTATATCAGGGATTGCCTCCTCTAGTGGTATGCATTCACCTCTAGCCTCAGGGTTGTGACTAGCTATTATTAGTTGGGTTACGAAATGTGTATCCCCAGTCTGGCAACGTAGGGTTTAAAACACGCCAATGCCGGTCTCAGCTGTGGATATTCCCGCGCGTTGTCAATTAATGGGTGGGTCTCCTCTTCTCTGCAGTAACGTTTCCTCTGGATCTTGTGAGACGGCGGATGCAGCTGGAAGGAGCAGCTGGGCGGGCCCGCGTCTATAACAAGGGCCTGTTTGCCACATTTGGGCAAATTGTTGAGAGCGAGGGTCTTCGCGGTCTCTACAGGGGCATCCTGCCAGAGTACTTCAAGGTTGTTCCCAGCATTGGGATCGTCTTCCTGACCTACGAGTCACTGAAAAGATTCTTCTCAGGCGTGCCCTCTGACAGTGAGTAGGGGGAGAGAAACAGGTTACTCTTCCTCTCTTTTGCATCTCCTTTGCAATGCCCCTTTCCCCCATTTGAGTTTTTGTGTAATTCTGAGAGTCCCAGAGGTGACGGCGAGTTTTCCGATCCCCGCCATAGGAAACATTATCTGTATAGATAAATAGATGGATAGATAGAAGCATTAAAATTGCCGAGTGTTTCCGCTGAGTGTGTAACTTCTACGCTCCCTTTTTTGATGTTACCTAGCCATGCTCTTGCACTCTTCTCATTCATCAATATCCAATGGCAGGAGGTGATTCAATGCACCTGAAGAGTATGTGTTGTAGACGTGGAGAATCCGAGAAATAATGAATAGAGTTGGGCTGGTGAGAAATAATCCGGTCATCCCCAGTTATTATCTGTTGGTGGCTATGATGATTGGATGTATGACGAAATTATTGAGATTTTCCTTGATCTTTGATGCTGGGTATGTCTTTTCTTGACTCTGAAATGCCTGGGGACCCCAGCCAAATGAAGCCTGAGCATCAGAATGAGCCCACACTCCCCGTCAGGGCATTCACGTATAACACTCAGACTATAGGAGAAGAGCACATAGTTAAAAGGATGGTATTGATTTATGCTGCGGGATATGCACTACAGTGTGGGAAATCTAGAAAATGTGTGATCTTGCCTGCATCAGTTCATGGGCAGGAACGCATTCAACCAATTGACCCGCATTTCGGGAAAGTGCCAATAAATCATAATCTGATGGTAGAAACTTGGAGTGTTTTTGTATGATTGCAGCATATATTGTTGTATTACCGATGGTCGACGGCGTAAAATGATTGCCCGTATGTTTATTTGTTTGTTCAAAAATAATAATATCTCAGTCCCCAAAGCTCATAATACACCGAGTCATAGATGCAAATGCAGTGGATTTTTCATGTTTAAAATGGCTATGGCTATGGCTATGGCTGTGGCTATGGCTGTGGCTATGATTGTGGCTATGGCTGTGGCTATGGCTGTGGCTATGGCTGTGGCTGTGGCTATGGCAATGAGTGTTTCATGCTTCTTCAGAAACGCAGGAGCCCCTCGTCTCTTGCAGAGGAGACGGTCGGATCTGAGACAGCTTTAGCAAAGACGCTTCCCACCTTTCAGGAGGCAAAAAGCTAGGAAAGCTCGATCTGTTTCCATGTCCATTCCTTCCACGAGCCAAGCACTCTCTCTCTCTCTCTCTCTCTCTCTCTCTCTCTACCTGTCCCCCTGTAGATCACTGAGAAGCATTTCTCTACGCGAAATATTTTCAGGTTTAATTTAATGTCCTTCATTCCTCGAAGCTCATCCCATGATAAATGATAGATCATTTGTTAACCAATATGTGCCGTATTTACTCATCATATCATCCTTGTTAATATAATGCTAGATAATCACATTAATTTTAATAGTAAAAAATATCGTCACGCATTTATTTTAAATAATATAATAAAACTTATAATTGTGATTTTTAAATCGCAAAAAACTTATAATAAAAATGTTCGTCAATCTAATAAAAAATATAATTTTAATTTTTAAATCCCTAAAAACTGTTCTCGTGCTAAAAAAAGGAGAGATTGAAATGCCGACAAACTTCACATATTAACAGATATTTGCTCAGAACATCGAAATAATCCGGAATTTATAAAAATACTTCGGATCTCAAAACGGGTCGAGTGATGGACGGCGTTGACTTCCGTAAAAAAAATAACAACCTTGTGACACCACCACCCGTCGCGGAGAACTCCGTGGAAAATCTCGATATTTTACGCTCACCTAAATCTACTAATTTGGTGGATTTATAGATATAAATCTACTAATGTAGAGGGTATATACGTTAGAGACATAGAAAAGAGGGTGGATATTTTATATATTTCAGATTGCGCCCTGTGGCTTAAAGCGAGAAAGACCATTTATTTTGTGCATTCCGGGTTCTTTAACTTAGTTAGAAAATTCCTCATCAAAACCTTGGAGGATACTTATTTGGTGAAGTACGCTTGTTTTTGGTTCGGATCAGATTAAGCCAATCGTTGGGATTATGGGCCCTTTTCGGGTCCATAACGGCTCAAGTGCGACTTATTCCCGTGCGTTTCAGGTACTCCTCGGGAGTAGCATAATCATCGATGGTCGTAATGTACTCCGCGGCATGGAGTCGTTTAGTGGGAGGGGGGACGGAGTTCCCGCTGTTTTTCTCTGCACCACGGTACCATTTAGCGGTGATCGCCCGTCTCCGTCTTCCTCGCGCTCTTCTTCCTTTCCTTCGTTCCCGGCGGAGCTCTCCCGGCGGGATCGATCGCCTCCTCTCGGAGATCGGGAGGGGGAGAGTTGGAGATCCGGAGGGAGGAAGTATGTCGGAGAGTTCCGCCGCCTCCCCGCAGAAGCCGCACCAGATACAGCCCGGAGGAGGAGGGGGCGATCCGATCGCTCCCTCCAACAACCAAAACCCTAGTATAGCCTCCTCGACCCCGATCTCGCCCTCCCCTTCCATGGAACACCCCGTCATATCTTCTCCTCAATTGCCCCTTCTCAGTCAGAACCTCCAGCCTCAAATGAACTCGGCCGCAGGGTCAGATTACCCGCCAAAGCAACAAATGCAGCCTCAGCTGCAGACGCAATCAGCACTGACCCCTCAGCAGCAACAACAGAAGTCACAACACCTACAAGTTCAGCAGCAGCAACAGCAACAACAGCAACCGCCACCACAACAATTGCAGCAACAGAGCGTGATGGGTGCTTCAACGAATTTCCAAATTCAGCAGCAGAACCTGCAGAGGACGGCTTCAAGTATTCCTAGGATAGCTCAGATTCAGCAGCAATTCGGCGCAGCAGCAGCGGCCAACGTAATGCGGCAACATACGGGGATATATGGCCAGATGAATTTCGGCGGGTCACACATCCACCAACAGCAGCAGCAGAAGCTGTTACAACAACAACAACAACAGCAGCAGCAGCAGCAGCAGCAACAACAACAACAACAACAGCACCAGCAACAGCAGCAGCACCAACAACAACAACAGCAGCAGCTCCAACAACAACAACAGCAGCAGCTCCAACAACAACAACAGCAGCAGCTCCAACAACAACAACAGCAGCAGCTCCAACAACAACAACAGCAGCAGCTCCAACAACAACAACAGCAGCAGCTCCAGCAGCAGCAGCAGCAGCAACAACAACAACAACAACAACAACAACAACAACAACAACAACATCAGCAGCAGCAGCAGCAACAACAACAACAACAACAGCAGCAGCAGCAGCAACAACAACAACAACAACAACAACAACAACAACAGCAGCAGCAGCAGCAAAAACAACAGCAGCAACAACTGCAACAGCAGCAACAACATCATCAGCAACAACATCATCAACAACAACAACAGCAGCAGCAGCAACACCAACAACAACAACAACAAGAAAAACGACAACAGCAACCGCAACAACAACAGCAGCCGCAGCAGCAGCAACAGCTACAACAGCAACAGCCGCAGCAGCAGCAGCAGCAGCTACTACAACAACAGCAGATTGGTGCCGGGATCTCACGTCCGGGGATGATGGCTCAGGTGGCAGTGAGCGGGCAGCTTCCAATGCTGGCGGGGCAAGCTTCTACGGCTCAGTTTAATCTGCAGAGTCAATTACTTGCGCAGGTGAAGTTTCTGGATCACGTTTGTTTCGTTTATGCTGGGTTTCTATTTCCACCCTCTAAATTGTTGACATGAACGCACGTGTTGCCTTGTAACTTGGTCTGATTAACCCTGTTAATCAAGGACCAGAAACTATGAAGTTTTCCCCCCTGTTATTCTCTGTTTTGTGATATGTGTTGCGTGTAAGCGAAATTTTGAATGACACGTTTGTCTGCAGCCTAGGCAAAAAGCTGGTTTGGTCCAAGCCTCCCAGTTCCATCCTTCTAATTCAACTGGTCAGACATTTCAAGGTGTGCAATCAATTGGTATGATGAGTTCACTCGGGCAGCTTAGAGCGAACGGGCCTCTTTCTTTGGCTCAGCAACGGTTACACCATGGACAAATGAGGCAGCAGCAGTTATTGCAACAGACGCCACCATCGCCTCAGGTAGCCGTTACTAATATCATCCAGTAAATGATTGTATCTCGTTTCTTATCATTATGTTTTACCTAATATTTAATTTATGCCAATTGCATTAGAAAGGCCCTTGTTTCTTTCTTTTCGTATGCCTGCCAATGACTGTTCTAAGTGAACATCATGGGGGGTAGTAGGAGTTAGATATAGGAACTAGTTCCTGAATGTTTCTGCTCCGAAATCAGTTCTGATTTTGTCTGTTTATCAAAATTTTCGTATGATTCTTGGAAAATTAATTTCCTAGTAATGTTCATTAGAGGGAAAGGGTGGAATTAATTGGTTATGCTAACTTGTAACATATTATATCCTATTTATGATTAGTTTCTTCTTGACTTTGAGGGAACCAACTTGTTCTGAATAATTACTTCTTGGTTCTACATGTCAATAATTGGAAGCCATAATATTTATAGAAATAGGCTGCTTCTGATCCAGATATAAACTATTCAGTATGCTCAAAACTGTGGCTGAATAATATGAAGTAAAAGCGGGAAGCATAAGTTGGAAGCACTTAATTTTGGATGGTGTCTATCTGTAATATTAGGAACACATAAAACTAGTACAAGAAGAGTGAGACACGATCTTACCATCCGCCATCCACAATCTATTCTGTCATCTTCCCTTCAATCTCCGGTTTTATGAAACCTTTTTTTACCTCATTGTGTTCTATTTATTCATTCTGTTATGATTTTTTCTTAAATTTAACTCCTTGGTGATAATTGCTTGGAGACGATGTCATGGGACACATTCCCTTGCCATTGGTTTGAGTTTTTTAAAGGTTTTTTTTGGTGACCAGGATACTAACCCTCACGTTACTGCCTCGGTGACAAGAGTAGTTTCTAGGCCATGAACATATTTAGGATAAAAATATGTAGCAATTATTACAAAGAAAATATGGTTCATTTCCTGAGTTATACTAAAATCACGGTCAATTTTTACATGAAAGATTCACCGAAAAGATACAAGCTATAATCACTATGTCGCAAAAAATAAATGAAATAATTGAATGATCATTAACATTTATTAATAAATGTTCTAAATTTTAATTAAATAATTTAATAAAGCACTCTCAAAATGCTACTTATGCTGTAAAGCTAGGCGAATCTTTTTTTTCCTTAATTCTAAGAAGCTCGTTGAATTAGACAAGACAATCTCCATCAGTTCCTGCCAGTTGACGCGTTTTTTTGCTCCCTCTTATTGTTTTTTTGCTCATACAAGATAAGACAACCCCCCGGAAATCAACCTCATATAAATTTTTTTGCGCACTTTCAGCATGCAATTTAGAAAGTCCAAAACGTGTTTCTGTCTTAATAGTTTGGATCGTTCACTCATTTTTGTACTATTTTTCCATTCTACTAGAAATTGACGGGCCAAGGTCTCCAAAGGACGTCATCGTTGGCATCAATGACTACACTGTCTGGGTTAGCTCAAAATGGCCAATCGGCGTTGATGCAGAATTCTCTTTCTCAACCGCAACAGTGGATGAGACAAATGCAGCCAGCGATGAGTAGTCCTGGTTCCCCTTCATATCATATCCAACCACAGCAACAGAGACATCAACAAGCCTTTTTGCAGCAGCAGTTCTCAAGTCAAATGCAACAAAAAGTCATGGCTATGAGTCAACAGCAGATTTCTCAACTAGTACAACAGCAGCAGCAGTCACAGCTTGGTACACAGCAACAACATCAATCCCTGCAGCCAACTTTGACGCAGCAACAGCAGCAACAATTGCAGCTTCTGCAGCAGCAACAATCTCCTAGGATGCCTGGGTCTGCAGTTCAGAAGTCTACGAGTTTAACCGGATCATATCCTGAAAATCCTGTATCCAGCATAACCACGCCTGGTGGAGGTGCGAATCAAGGGGCAGATGCTAGCAATCAACTTCTTGGAAAGAGAAAGATACAAGACTTGGTTTCACAGGTATTTTGCTGACCTTTGTTCATTGGTTTCGTCCTTAGCCTGGTTTCTATCGTATTGTATTTTTTTGATTCTAATAACTGTCACATGTTCTTCATTTTCTAAAACTTGTCTAGTATTTTTTGGGGATATCTAGAAGGATGATATCTAACTGACTGGCTGACCTAATCAGTGTTGTGTCTAAATCATGGAAAACAAAGGTCGAGGATGCAGTTTGGAAAGGACACTGGTTGGGCATTCCATCTTTTTCAAAGAGCTACAATTAACAGCAGAGAAAACTCAAACGGTATTAAACGCAAAGTTAGAGAGGAAAACGTATATTTGGATGAAGAAACTTCCCTGTTTCTATTTTTTTGATAGTGGAAAGTGCCACATATTCATTAAATGCAAAGCAGAAATGAGGGGTATGCTTAAAATCAGCTCTTGTGGAATCTACTATACCATAGAACTGTATACAATGTTAGGTATGTATCCAAGATACCAAAAATATATAACTATAACCTTCTTACAGGTGTCTTCCAGTCCTTGACTTCAGACAAACACAAATTCTTACGTATTTAGATGAGAAAATGGAGAGTTGAAGATAGTAACTGAGGCGGTATGCTGGAGACTAGGAACTTGGACGGTTCATGAGTCATGGAAGAAAGCAGAATCGGACAATAGTTGAAATGCTTTCTGGTTCTCGTTGGATGGATTTGCCTAGGCCATCCTTCTACCTTTAGGTAATTTATCCTTGTTCGTTGACTACCTTTGCAATCGAGGAAGGCATTCCTGGTCTCCTCTATCTAGCTTGGACAACAAGAGGAATCCCTCCAGAGAGGCTTGATTTTGGTTTAGATGGCAGATAGGCAAAACTGAATGTGATATTCAGCGACACATTGGCTTCTTTCAGCTCGCTAGAAGCCTGAGGGGGAGGATAAAGACAAGGCTGGGAGTGTGCAAAACTATTGACCCCAATAAGACCCCATAATTGTTTCAAATCAAATATGATGATAAAAGTTGATGGCAGGGATGATAATCACAGTAATTTAGTTTGTCAAGGTTTTTTCGATAAGTGTGATTTTTAATGGGACTTATTGATAATCCCATAGATTTAGTGTCTGCAATTCCTTTTACTGGGCACCTTTTGAAGGCATACGAGAAATGATTAGATAAGTATTACTATGACTTGTTGACGCGTAATTTTTGATTTTTCAGGAGAATAATGAGATAGATAATAATTATTATTCCAACTTATTTGCTAGATTTTTTTTTCTCTTTTTCTTATCAGTACCTTCGAATCTGCTGCAGGTGGATCCCTTGGCAAAACTGGATCCTGAAGTCGAAGATCTGCTCCTTGAAATAGCTGATGACTTCATTGATTCGGTGATGTGCACCACATCTTTTTACTTCTGAGGCATTATTATATTTATGTTGGAAACGTTTAAGTCATGAAATATAGTTACTTTATATATTTTTTTAATCCTCGCGTGATAGACTTTGTGTTCGCTAGAACTAGGACGACGTCAAGGTGTCTAATGCCTTCCTTCAGGGAGACATGGTTCTGTTGCATTTTCTTTATTTTTGGGAAAATTTATAGTTCACACCATTGTTTGAAGAAAAAATTAAAAAACGAGCAGGGATTCAAAGGGGGAGACTGCAATCATTCCTTTTATAAATGTAAATAGAAAAAAAGAGGGTGTGGATAAGAGAAGTGGATCATAAAGTCTTTTAACAATGCCAAATAGCATATCTAATTTTATGTAATCTGTCCATACTGAAACATGAGGTTTGCATTATTCGAATCTTTTCCCAAGTTGATCATGTTAGATCCCAATCCGCAGTAGAATTAAGTAAACTAATTCAAAGGAGTTGATCATTTGGATCCAGAAAATGGAAGTGATGTTTTAGAGTTTCGAGATTGCATTTACTATTGTTTTCTAATCACTTTTACTAATTTATTTTTGGATCCCACTCCCAGTTCTTGTTTGATATTGATATGAAAAGAATTTGAGTGTGAATGTGCATAGAGCTACCCTCTTGAACCTTCCATGCGACCGTTAGAAGGTTATTTATAGGTATATTTTCGGTGATTATTCGTTTTTAAATTATATTGCCTTGAACGTATGAAATCGACTGCAGCGGTTCACATGATTGTTTCAAACCCCGCTGCATTCTTTTGTCTGACAAAAGCCAGACTCCACATGGCAATTTCTTTCATGAACTACGAATATTTAGGAACGTACTTTTTTAATTTTAAACTTGCGTCTAAAATTTCATATCACTAACTGACGTTTGAGGTACAATTCGGATTGGTCTTGGCGATGTATCAAAGACTTTGAACGAGAGGCAAGGAAGGAAAAAATACCTAAGAAAAAATGGATTCAATTTGGAGAAAAAACAAAAAGCTCAGATTAGACTGAACTTGAGAAAATGTCCGAGTTCAACCACAGATCCATGTCTGGTCGGTCTGGACTGAACTGAAAATGGTCTCTGGATTGGGCTGTTAGAGTGCCTGAGAACAGTAGTAGTGCTCGTAGCTGAATGGAATCAGTTGAGGAGGCGTGCCTCCATTAGAGGGATTGGCACGAATCTATTATGGACGTCCTTCAAGGCTCATCTCGGAGCCTTGAAGTATGGAGAAGATTGGAGTCGTTCATATGCTTGGTAGTTGGTGGATCGCTTATCTCGTTGAGACTGACTGCCGAGTATGGAGCTTTGGGAGGAGGTTCTTCTTATCCTAGATTCGATGCATGTTTCATGAAGAATAGCTACGAGTGTAGGTGGAGGATTTGCAATTTGATCTGGACTTGCTTGTGAGGAACGCCACTATAATCGGTCTCATTGACTCTCAGGATCAGTGAAGATGTTTGACTTGATTCATGATTAGCAAAGCATGCTCTCTAAAAACTTGAGAGCATGTATTATTGTATACTACATTATACCTCCATGAATCATAGGTCGCATGAAATCGGACCCCACTAAAACAAGAAAAATAATCAGAATATTTCTGTTTTTACGAGTTATAAATTATTTTCCTCCCGGACAAATTTGCCTCACGCTGACTCCTCTATGGGACTTAAATATTTCCAGGTCACTTCATTCGCCTGCAGCCTGGCGAAGCACAGGAAATCCTCGACTCTGGAGTCTAAAGATTTGTTGCTTCATCTAGGTCCGCCTCTCTTCTGTGGCAGATTTTGGCTAATCATCTTCCTCTCCATATAATCCGTAACTTGCAGGCCTCTGATATTCATTCTTCTTCATTTATCTTTCTTGCAGAGAAGAACTGGAAGCTGAAAATCCCAGGTTTTACAAATGAGGATCACAAGTACCAAAGAAAATTGGTAATAACTCAAACCCTCTCTCTATCTCTATATCTCTATGTATTTCTCTCTCTCTGTGTCTGTCGGCCATGTTTTTCCTCTACACCTTGGCTTGGAGAAGCAACCTGGGTCCTCAATCAATGTAGTGGCCATGTGCCATGCACACGAGGATGAGGAACATTTATTCTCCTGCATATCTAATGCAGTGAAGACGGGATCTTTCTCTACTGCCTTGGATTTTCCACCAGCGCTTCAAAACCTGTCGAGATTGCTCGTATTAAGCCGGCCTGCAATGAAATCGCTCACTCCACTGAAATCCTTTCAGAAGAATTGAGGGTGGGGGGTCCAGCCTCGGATTCTTCCCCATCTCATTTATTTGATCGAGCATGTTAGTTCCTGGAAAATGTTATAATTGCGTAGGCCGACCGACGTTGGGACGCTCCACTCCCATCTCACCAGATTCATATGAACTGACGGGCCTTTCCATCCATAAATGTGACGCAGGACGAGTGCAGAACCATCTCCAAGGTCTTCTGATCATCGCATTTCCGGCGGAGGGCGAGGGCCGGTCGCGTGGCGTAGGCATCTAATTGGGGAATAAATCGACTGCACCGCGCCGCGCCCCATTCCGTCCATGAGCAGACGAGGTAATGCCCTCGGCGGGTCTTCTTCGGCATCCTCTGCCGACACTCGGAGGACCACTTCTTCTTCTTCCTCTCGAACCCTTTCCAGCTCTGCGCAAAGGGACCATTTGACCGCGGACGGATCGACGATCCATGGCTGCCCGTGTAAGACCGGGGAAGTGACAGATGGAGAATTTGTGATCCCGCTCGGATGCTTTTTTTTTTTTCTTTCTCAAAATCATATACTATTACTATTGCTTTTCCTTCATCAAATTGATTGGCTCCTGGTCGCATTGAAGGACAGTTTCTAGTGTTGTTGTTGATGATGATGATTATGGCTTAGTCGATTAGGAATCTGAAGGATGGCGCTTAAGCAGGTCTTATCTTAGGCCTTTGTATCTGATTTAACCCAAAGTCGGCATTTGGGGACCTGCGACAAGAAGAGCTTGCCGGACGACCACAAGAATATACGAATGAAGAATGAGGTCACAGGACGAATAGGACAGCCGGCATCAAGCACAGCCATGGCCGCGCCACTACCACCACCACCACCTCGGGCCCACAGCCGCCGGCCGGCGCAAGGACAGGGGGGCGGAGGAACCCGGGTGGGGTGTGTGTTGGTTGCTGGGTTCACAACCGCCGCCGCAGCCGCCGCCCGGTGGAGTCAACGCCGTCGGCGAGGTCGAGCCCTTCGACGCTGCTGCCGCCCCTCTTCAGGGGCATCTGGCTGGGGTCGTCGTCGACCACCGCAATCGTCTCCAGAAGGTCCGACAACAGAGAGGGGCAGGTCTCTTCCAGGTACCCGAACCCTTCCGTCTGCATCACCGCTGCAAGGAAACGAAGCAAAAGAACGACCCCACAAAACCCTCAGGACATTGAAGAAAAATGATTCCAACACCGGAAGAAAATGCACTACTTGAGAGTGTTTAGAGGCGGCGGGGCACCCACCGCCCAGGTTGGCCGGAACGGCGGCATATTTCAGGCAGATGGACTTCAGCAGAGCGCACTGGTGCTGCTCGGCCAGAGCCAAGGTCGCCGCCACCGTATCTGGAGTGATCTCCCGGCACAGTTTCTCCTCACAGAGGAGCTTCAGCCGATCCAGCCCGTACCGATCTGCGGCCGCCAGCAGATGCTGAACCAGGATCGTGGACGTTCTCATCGAAGGGGATTCGCCAACTTCACCGGCGTCGGGGAGAAGGTCGGAGTAGATATACTGAAGCATAGCCTGGAATAATAGAGCAGCGATGAGATGGATCTATCTTCGTTTAGCGAGCGTTCGTCACCGTGAAGAAAAATCTCTCTCTGCAGCTTTTCGCATCGAATTTACCTTGAAAACTGGGGGGTCTACGTCCTCCACAGCCACAGAGCCGATGTTGGGGTCTCCGATGAGGCCGAAGAACTGGGCGCGAAACACCGGGGAGCGGGCGGCGAGTATCAGCTTGTGGGCTCTGAAAGATTCGTCCCCGACTTTGAAGACTACGTCGGAGCCGAGGCCGGTTTCGAGTAATTTCCCCAGACACTGACCCATGTCCGACGGCGGAACGGGGACGCTGAACTGCCATGGCGCCTCCATGCGGGTCCTCACCACGCCAACTGTGCAGCGCATGGCGAGACAGTCGTCCTTTATGTAGTCCGACGTCTCCAGCGCTGATCTTCTGAAGAACCGCTTGTAGCCCCTGCAATCCACGCGAGAATTGGGAGTTTTTACAGAGGAAGCGGGGGAAAGGAAGGAAGGAACGAAGGAAGGAAGGAAGAGATCATCGTACATACCACATGCTGCCCTTGTACTTGAGCGTGTAAGGGCCGCTCTCGAGGGCGCGATCGAAGTGGCTGTGCACCTTGTGCTTCTCCTTCCCGCTCTGGTCGAGGAGGGTGAGTTCGAAGAGCGCCCTCACGTCGGTGCCGTCGCTGGCCAGGGCGATGAACACCGACACGTACAGGGCGCCATCCTCGGGGTTCTTCCCGTCCGGGTAGAAGTAGATCGCCCACTGGTAGCCTCCCACAGTGAAGGTGTCGCTGGAGATGTACTTCCCGGGCCCCATTCCCTTCGACAGCGAGTACCCCTTGATCGTGTACAGATGAGACCCGTTCACCGTCTCGCTCACCGATTTCGACTGTGTCAACTGCGGCTGCGCCGGCCGCTTGGGCTCCCCCGCCGCCGATGAGAGCGAGGGCCACCTCGCCGCCCGGTCGCCGCCGTCACGCGCTCCATTGAGGTCGGCATCGAGCTTGGCCATCTCATCGAGCTTGAACCCCCTCCCCGATTTAGCAGAGCAGCAGGGAAATCCCTCCCTCCCTCCCTCCTTCCCCCAAACTCCGCTCCTCAAAACCCTAATCCAGCCCTAACTAGCTCCAGGCGGCACCGCCGGGAGGGACGGCGGAAAGGAACGACGCGGGGGCGGGAATTCGCCGGGACGGCGGGGGGTGCCTTGATTGAGAAAATCCGGCGGCACTTTGACCGGAATGGAAGGTCACCGGCGGGGCGGAGGGCGGCGTGGTTGGGTACGAATGTGGGGGGCGGGGGAGACGGCGTTCGGACGGGATATGGCAGGCATAGAGAGAGAGAGAGAGAGAGAGAGAGAGAGAGAGAGAGAGAGAGAGAGAAGGTGGATGAAATGATTTGTATTTATAGAAAAGTTATTGGCCCTGCCTGTTTTGGACATCACGTGGGGTTGTTGACCCAGGCCCAAGCCCAGGGTCGACATATCACATCGCAGGTATCAGTAGGGCCGGCCCATTAATGTATCTTCTCTACGGGCGTTGGAGAACGCGGGAGAGAGAGGGCCTGCCAGCCCAACTCCAAGGATGGGTTAACTTGGACAATATTGTAGCCCGACTGTCCAAGCCCACAGTTCAGACGACTAGGCCCAGTTTACAGGTACTCATATCCACCCTAGAGAGAGAGAGAGAGAGAGAGAGAGAGAGAGAGAGAGAGAGAGAGAGAGAGAGAGAGAGTATGCACCGTGACATTGAAAAGAGGAAGAGATTGGGAAGCCGAGATCCATGGATAGAGGGAAAACGTACAAGGGGGTCTGTCAATCTAAGGCCAAAGGTAGAGGATTGCTTGATTCCAGCTCTTAGAAGACTACAAGCCTCTGATTCCCCAGCCCAAGAGTAGAGATGAGCTGGAATCTCAACTATTGTGGCAGCTAATGCACAATATTCAACTTTGTCAATTGATCAGGAGATTGTTGTTTGCTTTTTTGCCTTCCATACAACAAAAGAACCTTTGAGGAAAATACAAAAACCAATAACTGATTTTTGAGAGTCTAAATGTATTGCTCAGTCTACATCTGATGGGGATTAGATCTGTCACATCATTAGTGTCTACCATGTCATCAAAGGATGCCATGCCATCATCAAATATCACATCATTATTAAACGACATGTCATCACCACATAAATGTATCATTTGGTGAATTGACGTTCCCCTTCATTATCTATAAATATCCTTATAATGATGATTGAAAAGAGAAGGAGAAAGAAGAAAGAGTTTATTTGGTTAAGATTAACCAAGTTCACCATATTTAGGGTTTGGTTGCAAGGACCACCATCACCTTCAGTTAGTGAGATGGTTGAGATGACCATGGTTGCCCCTAGTCAAAGGGTTGGTCAAGAGGACCCCCTCGATTTAGTAGGATTGGTCAAGAGGATTATGTTGCCCCAGTAGGGTTGGTCGTGAGGACCCTGCACACCAAGTCAAAGCTTGCAGCCTGATGCACCTTTGTCATGCATCTTTCGAATGCCACCACCCTTCTCACCTTCGTTTCACCCTTGATGAGTAGCCTCATTGTCGCCATCCCCCTCCAATGCTGCTGTCCCACCTTCTAGTTGCCTCCATCATCGTTGTCCCCCTCTAGTGCTGCCATCTTGCCTTCCAACCACCTCATCGTGGTCATCTCCCTCCAACACCTTCACCACAATTGCAACGCTTGATTAGGTTTTCGACAATGACCATTTTAAGATGGCCACTTATTGAGCCCTACTCACATGTTCGATGGGCCTAACCCCTTAACCACCCAACCCACTAGACCACCAGCCCAGCCACTCAATTACATAGGTGCAATAAGCATTTAATTCCTAGGATCACACACTTCTCATAACCCATTAATAAGTTTTTATATTTCAAGGCTTGATTCATGATAAAATACATATTTTTATGTTAAATTGAGAAAATTCATTTTTAGTTAATTGATATGATTTATGTGAATTTATATAATTTTTATATAGATGCTTTTGAGATAAAATAAAAATAAATAAATAAATTAGAAAAAAGGAGGACCTGCCAACTAATCAGACCCACAAGTGGGTTGGAAGGATAGTTAGGTGAAGCCATGAGCAAGGGGTTTGAGTGGCTAACGAATGATCAAGCGGGGCACATGTGTGTCACTCCCTTTTCACGTCACTAGTGGTCAACCAAGCATGGGGCAATAAGTGGTTGTACACACGTGAGAGGACAATATTGATTAATGAAATATGTATTGGTATAAATATGTCTCAAAATTAGAAAATAACTGATGTGTGACTAAATCTACATTAATACTTACAAGTAAGTTTTAGATATTTTTATATCTATAATGCCCCTAATCTATGAGAAGAAACTAACTCTATGATGTCACTGGATAAGAGTATGAGTACAATTGATTACCTCTATCTCACACTAAAGCCAAAACTCATATTTTTATTTTATTAAATTATGATTTTCTTACAAAGTATTGGTTAACAATTAAGTCACCTAAAATTACTCAATCGCTAGCGAAAATATCATCGACGTAATTTGCAGAGCATCGTTATCAACACCAAATGATTCTAAATAAAAAGATTGTGAATCTATTGAGAAAATCATTTTCGATTGATCGATGAATAAGCCATCATCACCTCTTGAGTGCATACCAAATGTAATGAAGAGCCTCTTTTTATTGTGCGTACATGAGGTGAAGTTCTTTAAAATGCGCCTCACTTTCATCTAACTTATCTCTATTGAGTGTCAACTATCGAGATCTGAAAGTCAATTATTTTCTCATTATGTTATGTGATAATCGTTGGAGATGATTTGTCAATCTATTTCATTGACTTTTAGACTTTATGAGAAGATCTAAAGATTATTAACATCATCTATATCTAAGGAGAGCCTTTGAGGCTATAGACATTACACAATAATTTTTCTGAACACATAAAATTCTAACAATTGATGTTGTAAAGTCAAAACTCTACTTTTATTACTTTATACTTAATTTAGTAAGATTTTGTGTGAGTTTTAATTTTAAAAATATTTTTCATTTAATTACTATTATTCTTTCTTTTATATATCTTAATTTGATCAATTAAATCATCTGTAATTATTTATATAAGAATTGTTAGTTGAAATTTATTTTTATTCGATTCACTTTTGTTGGATGCAAACGTCACCATGACGTCCTCACTTAAATTTTCTTTTTTCTTGAATGTCTAAATATATTTTATCTTTATCTTTTAGTTTAAAAATAATAAAAATATATTATTTAAATAACATTTTAAAATATTATCATATATTATCTTACATCCCCATGATTGACTTAGAATTTTTTAATATTTTTAACCTTTTATTAAATTATAATTAATTTATTTGTTTTGAAACAATTTTAAAAAAATTAAAAATAATATTTTTATAATTTTATAAATGTTAAATTTGTATGATTTATTATACAATGATTGAGACACGTAACCCATGAAGTAATCTTCAAGTCCAACTCCTACCACATAGTCAAGACCACCAATCTCATTAGTAGGTTGCCCTATGTCAAATGACCTTAGTCTTGCCCATTCAGCTTAATATAGTGAGTTGTCCTGCATCAGAAAAAACTCGAATTTGTAGAAAAAGACAGTGAAAAAGAAGATCCCTTGATAAGAGACGATGTATAATATGCATGTAAGGAATTTGAGGTTAAATTAAATATGATAAATGGTCAATCAATTGATAATATTAAGTAACATCCTCAAGTTATGATTTAAAAGTAGTAGTGAGTTTTAAGTGACAATCCATAAGAGTCAATGATGGTTTAGATGTAAGAAAACTAGTATCTTCTAATAGTTGTAAAGTGTAATACATGTAGTAGATTGTGTAATTTACATTTCCAAAAAATACCTCAAAGTATCAAGATCTTTCAATTTAAAATGTGGATATAAAAAAAAATAAATCATTAATTATAGAAGTGAATGGTCCTACTAAATAATATTATCTACATAAACTAGTAAAACAACAAATGTAAGTTCCTAGCTTTATTGAAGAAATAATAATTTAATTTAGATTGTGAAAATTTATATTGTAATAGTGATTTTTTTAAAAAAAAGTAACACTACTTATAAGCTTGATGAAGTAAATAGATAGATTTATGTAATTTACAAATGAGCTTACCATTTTGAAAATGAGTTTCCCCCTCACAAGAAAAACCTAAAAGAAGATTCAAATAAACTTCTTCTAATATGTCACCATGTAAAAAAATATTATTAATATCTAATTAAATAAGATGTCAATTATTGTTCGCAACAGGAGCTAGTAATATTTTTATGGTAACAACTTTTATAACATGAGATTAAGCTTCAATAAAATCTACACTATCTTATTGTGTATATTCTTTCACAACAAGGCATGTTTTATGTCTCTCAATAAAACTATTAGAATTGTACTTGATTGTGTAAGCCCATCTACTTCTAATGACATGTTTCTATATTGATAAATAGATAAAAGATCATATATTATTTGTTGCCATGACATTCAATTCGGTGTGGATTACCTCTTGCCATTGAAGAAATTTAATAGCTTCATGATAGAAACAAAGTTCATAATTAGAGGAAATTTATAAGGTAATATGTTTCTATGATTGTGATAATAAATTATAAGATAAGTAATTAAAGATATGATATAAATGAATCTCATAGAATAAATTATTGTGGGAGAACAATGAGACATGACATTATAATAAAAGTCTTAGAGATAAGAAGGTGGTTTGCTCAATTGATTGATTTTTGAGTTGCAGAAGGTAAAAGTGATTGAGGTGACATGAAATCTGTAGGTTAAATATTATATTCTACAAGTATAATTTTATGTTTGATGTGTGTAAAAACTAAATATGAAAATAGATCACTAGTTTCGTCTAAATGATCAAGTGTTTGAAATGAAAATGTATCTTCATGAAATATGACATCTTATGAGATAAATGTTTTTTATTTCATAATCATAAAACTTGTAACTTTTAAC